AGGTCCGCTCTCCAGGGTAAAGTCTCGTCTGCTTCCCACGAGGAGCACTGCTGTATCGTCACGAACTTTGAGCGATGAAGGACGAGGGCCAGCTTCAGGGCGGAAAATGGCTCGCTGAGGTTGAAAGTACGTGCAGGAAGGACACTGACGATCGGCTGTGTGTCGTGAGAAGTACTGCCAAACGCTACTGCAATCGATCTCACCAGATCACTGCCTTCTTCGGCGGTTTCTTCGAGCCAGGCGATATGTGCGTGTACAGTCGGACTGGTCTTATCATAAGAGAGTCCGATCAGCGGCCCCGGAGCGCCAACGGCACGGCGATGGTATAGAGCACTGGTCAGCAGCGGGTGGATAGTGCACGCGTTCGCCACACAGACGTCAGTAGGGCCCTGCGGAACTGGACTCCTTGAATACAGAAGTTGTTGGGCGTATCCGTATTGGGTGACCCCGCTCATGTCGTCCCGGTCCTCAGACCCCTGTGTTGAAGCCAGTATCAGTCTCTCCGATTCTTCGCTCCAGGAAGTGCACTCGCCATGCTAACGCCGTCCACAAACGAACCCGACGCCATTTCAGGAGTTTGTGAGTCATGAGCAGGCAACATTGAGTTGAGCTCGATTTGGGTTACGTCGTTTATACGTCGGACAACCAATTCCGCTCTCAAGCGAAGAGCCGTGGCGGCTTGCTCATCTGTTCCCGTAGGTGACTTGGACACCGCAAACATGACAGAGTCGCTGATGTTGGATGGAAAATTCAGCTTTCCTCGACCATTTGTACATGGAGCCCTACTCACCAGTGCTCGTGGGTTTCGTAGGGAAAGCATTTGCGTAGGATGATGGAAAGCATCACAAGCACTTCCGGTAATACAATCCTCTGGTCGTCGTCGTTCTTTCGGTACCCGCGAACGGCCATAGACTGTCGCAAGATCAGCGCAAACATGCTTCGTAACAGTTCATGTTCTTCGGAACTAAAACACTCTTCCTGGGCAAACATGCTGCCGTCGGCGTAACGTATATGGTTCGTATAGTAATCGCGTGTTTGCTCGCAGAAATTGGAACCATCCTGATGGACCTATCATGATGCGCGCAAGCAGGGTATGCTACACTGGCACGTACCTGCATCTGCACCCATGTAGGCAGGCGCACCGATTCTAGCACATCTACAATGTGACGAACAGACAATGGAAGGGGGTCCATAGCGCTTGATCAAGACAGCGTGAGCTCGCATATCAAGGAGTACGGAAATAACTACGGACTGAAAGTAAAACGGAGGCACACGGTCGAAGACAACCACCGCAATACATCGCGATCGCGCGACACAGGCGACGTAACGCAAATGAATCTCCGACGATCTCCGCCTCGAACACATGCATTACTTAGTCTGAATTTGTTTGGATCTATGTGTTACTCCGGTGATCGCCTCCGCTAACTCATCCACACAGGCCATCTCAGGGGGAAGATCATGCCCCAGGGGCACTCCGAGGTAAGCCTTCTCCGCCTTCAAGCAGTCGACAAATTGCCAGTCGTGGGACTTGCCATCTGTAAGCGAGAACCGCACGTCGATGGAGGCTTCGCGCATAGCATCGGCCAGTTGCTCGATGTGCCCCTCCGAGACCTCGTTCGTGCCAGCACTCACCCACACCTTCTTGGGGAGTATCTGCGCCCAGTCGCGACCGCCCGGGACCGGGTAGACGACGAACTGCACATACGGGAGCGCGAGGTCTGTATTGCCGTACTCGGACGCGTCGAGGAATATGCCGCTGTACTGAGTAACGATGGACTTCGAGAGCATATCGAGCCCGTCATTCGTCTGGTAGGTCGAACAGGAGGTATCGGCCGTGACGAAGGGGCTCATCAGGAACACCCCTTGTCCCGGTTTGGGCAGACCTTCCGACGGGTTTGGGGAGAGCCATTGGGTTGGACGATGAAGGTGGGTGAGGAAGCTGAGACATAAATGGCCGCCGGCCGAGTCGCCTACGAAGGCGATTTTGTCGTAATCTACGTCCATCTCCTCGTGTAGGTACTTGTACATCGCGGCCATTTGACCGACCTGGGTTGGAAACCCCGCTTCGGGGGCGAGGGAGTAGTCGAGGGCGAAGACACTGACGGTAAGACCACGTTTCATGATGGCCTCCACGATGGCGAGGATGAAGGCGGTGTAAGTCCCTGGCTGCCAAACCGCGTACCCTCCGCCGTGAACGTAGCAGATAACCAGGTCTGAGGAGGAGGGAGGCTTCGGATCGGTGAAGGAATGACGAAACATCCAGTAGCCCGCGAAATCGGGCTTGCGAACGTGTTCGTACAAGTTGGATTTGACGGCGTCAAAGCGGGGTGAGTTCAGGACGCGCTTTGCGACCGCGTCACCGGCGAATGCGACACGAAAGATCGAGAGCGGATACATCTTGAAGCCACTGCAAGGGAAAATGTGAGGGGACGTCCGTGAAGCACGATATGGCGAATATCATTTGCGCACAATCGAAACCTGGCCCAATATAGCTCTTCTTTCAGCGTGATTCGTCCGCGCCCCTTCCTGCGGATACAGACCGCAAGAGCAACGAAGGGCCATAGACATTCGGCGGCGATGGCTTGCATTTTTTTGACGAAACTCACATGGTGATAGTTTGGATTGGGATCCATTTCCTATCGTGCGGCTCGATCGCTGAAGACGTGGGGATCCGCCTTGTATACCGGCGCCTTATATACCACGAGAAGCCAAGGAACTTCTGCCCATATGCATACATGCATCCTAAATGAATGGGGTCACACCAAGGGCAAACCTTTTTAGTGTTGAATGCAAACAGTTGTGATAAGGCTTGAATTGGCCAGCGGTGTACAGTCGCCCGTGCCAGGAATACGCGCGGACACGCTTCGAAAGCAAATCAAGGATCCTCCTGGTTGCTAATCTCGGAAGTGATGAGCCCCCCGAGTGTAGAGAGAGCGTCAATGATAGTGCTGTCATGGCATGAGATGCTGGTAAGGGAACGATCATGTGAACAGTGAGCCAATGTGGTTGGCGAGCACGAACGGCCTTGAGGCTGATCGATGTGAGAATTTATGGAGATACACAGATCGGTTCTCAGCGGCCATGAGTTCCGTATGTTCCACTTAAGCAAGGCGACCCATGGACGTGGTAGAGTGCCTCGGAACTTGGACAGCGAGGCGACGCAACGCAATTGAATCTCCGACAATCTCCGCCTCGAACACCGGGCCGTCGATAAATTTCGCCTTGCTCAACTCTGCGCTCAGGCCGTCATGTCGCGGCTCATTGTCAAGAACATCCCTTCTTATGTTACCCCCGACCGCCTCCGCGAGTACTTTCAGCAGAAGGGCGCACCCTCCGGGACGATCACCGATGCCAAAGTCGCACAGAAATCCGACGGCACGTCCCGAAGGTTCGGCTTCATAGGCTTCAAGACGGACGCGGAGGCGGCAGCTGCGAGGGACTGGTTCGATAGGACGTTCTTGGACTCCAGCAGGATCGCTGTTCAGATCGTTCAGGTGCGTCGCTCCGGCCTGGTCGCCTCTCCTCCCTTAAATAAGATTGGTGATTCTACGTTCAGGGCGCTAAAGATGCTCCTGCGCCGCGGCCGAGCAAACGTCCTCGGCTAGGGCCTTCGCCGGCGGAGCGAGATACACCGCAAGCGTCGTCATCTACGCATGTGAAGGAGAAGGAGCAGGCTATGAAGACCAAGAACAAGAAGGACCAACAGCTTGAGGAGTTCATGGAGACAATGAAGCCTCGAAAGAAGGGCAGGACATGGGCCAACGAGGAACCCTCTCCGTCGGCACAACCCGACGCTCTGCGTCATCCGGACAAGAAATCTCGGTCGACATCCAAGAACCCCGAGGGCGCATCGCCGGACAGGAATGTTGATCCTACAGGAGCGGACGATGGTGACCAGGAGAATGTCGGCATGTCGGATATGGATTGGCTGAAGAAACACATGTCGAAGCGCGTGGAGGAAGTTGAGGCTGAAAAGGCGTTCGAGCAGTCTGATGAAGAGGATTCCATGGATACTCAGGTGATTCTTGGCTTTTCAGTGACCGCCTCACGATACTTACAATGGTTGCGTCCAGGATAGGAACAAGGAAGCAGATCAAGCTCCCCTCGAGCCCGAAGACCCGACGCGGCGAACTATCCTCGAGACGTCTCGGTTATTTCTGCGCAACCTTGCCTTCACATGCACGGAAGCCGATTTGGAAGAGCACTTCAGACGGTTCGGTGCTATCTCTCAGGTACGCTACGCTCTTCCCTTTATGTCGTGCTTCGGACCAAGTTTCGTACTACCGTCCACCTTGGAGATGATAAACTAGTATAGGGACATCAGACTCTTCGGAGCATGTTGATCCTCAGGGAAATCCGATAGTAGAATATCTATCTGAATCTCTGTTCTCTTTGTCTCGACTCATCGAGCGCGCGCTGACGACGTTCCTGTTTCTTGACATGCTCTCACTCGCCTCTCGTGATATCTAGGTGAGCATATCATACTCTCCCTACCCCCGCTTTCCATGATGTTACACACATAAAAAGTAGATTAGGACAGCAGACTCTTCGGAGATTGTTGACAACCTTGGATATTTCTGATCTCTTACCTTTTGACTTTGCGAAAAGGCTGCTTGGCTAAATCGCATTCTCCGTCAGGTGCACATCCCACTCGACCATGCGACAAAGCAATCCAAGGGTCTCGCTTACATCAAGTTCGCCAAAGCTCAGGACGCTGTCGATGCTTACGACGCGCTCGATAAGACGTCCTTCCAGGGCCGGCTTCTGCATATCCTTCCCGCCGTGGAGCGCAAGCCCCCGCCGGAGGTCCAGGATGCAGATGGGAAGAAGAAGACGGTGAAACAGGAGAAAGCCGCGCAGCGCAAGGCGATGGCTGGCAAAGGCTTTAACTGGAGCATGCTATACATGAACGTGAGCGGCAAGCTACTTTGCGTCGACATTCGGCTGACATCACGCTCAGAGCGATGCGGTCGTCTCCTCGATCGCGGACCGAATGAACGTCTCCAAAGCAGACATCCTCAACCCGGAGTCCGATAACGCCGCCGTCAAGATGGCTCTCGCCGAGACGCATGTCATCTCGGAGACCAAAGCCTACCTGGAATCGCAGGGCGTCGACTTAGCATCCTTCGCCCAGCCAGCTCGATCCGACACGATCATCCTCGTCAAGAATATCCCTTATGGCACATCAGCGGATGACATAAGGGCGCTGTTTGAGCCACACGGTGATCTCACGAGGGTTCTGGTACCGCCCGCGGGAACGATGGCGGTAGTGGAGTTCGCGCAGCCAGACGAGACGCGGAAGGCCTTCAAAGCGGTGGCGTACAGGAGGATGGGCAACTCGATCATTTACCTCGAGCGAGGCCCGGAAGGGATGTTCACGGGCAAGGTGCCATCCGAGGAGGAGGCAAATGGCGCCCTGGCGAAGGAGCCGGTTCGCATAGAGGAGCCGGAGGAAGACGCTGCCGGGGAGGAGCTCTCGCTTGCGGCCGGAACAACGCTCTTCGTCAAGAACCTCGCGTTCTCTACGACGTCGGAACGGCTTACCCAGCTCTTGCGCCACTTGCCTTCGTTCGCTTTCGCGCGTGTGCAGACAAAGCCGGATCCGAAGAATCCCAACGGGCGCTTGAGCATGGGTTATGGCTTCGTCGGTTTCAAAGATAAGGAAAGCGCAAAGAAGGGTATGAAGAGTCTCCAGGGAACGGTAGTGGATGGGCACGCGCTAAGCGTAAAGTGGGCGGGACGTGGTCAGGACGAGAAGGAGGGCAAGGAAGGGGAGGGCAAAGCGAAGGCAAGGACGACGAAGATGATTGTGAAGAACGTGCCGTTCGAGGCGACGAAGAAAGATATCCGAGAATTATTCGGGTCAGTCATCGTCCTTCCCGGTCGGTTGAGCATATCGCTGATGTTTGACGTGTCGCAGCGCCCACGGGCAACTCAAGTCTGTGCGACTACCCAAGAAGTTCGACCACCGGTCTCGTGGGTTCGCGTTCCTAGATTTCGTGTCCAGGCACGAAGCAGAGAACGCGTACGAGGCGCTCAAGCATACACATTTGCTTGGACGGCACTTGGTGCTCGAGTGGGCGAGCGAGGAGGATGTCGATGTCGAGGCACTGAGGAAGAAGGCTGGTGTTGGTTACGGAAGTGGCAAGGAGCTGCCTGGACGGAAAAGGAAGCTCAATCTGGGCGGGGACGCAGATGGGGACGAGATGGAGGAGTGATGTGTGGTTATTATCCGCGTTGTGCGCTCTGTATTTAATCATGTTGAAGCATGTATTGTTATCCCTTATATGGATCATTCCTCTCCTTCCCATCGAGATCCAGACGTGACCTCCGGTTGGCTCGAGGTGGGACGAACAATGAACTTGACCCCCCGCTGAGGCCGAGTAACGTATGGGCCCAGTTCAGAGTTTACACAGTCAAAACGCACCGATTCTGTCATCAACACTTCAGCATGCGGAACGTTGACGCACAGTCCAAGGCGGGAATTACCTATTAGGGAACCCCGTCTTTGCCAAGCGCGCCAGGTACACAAAATGATATTACACAGCAGTTTAGCGCCCGGCTGCCAAAAGCCATGAGCTGATGAAAGACCTTGACATTGCTGCGTTGTGAACCTCTTCCTGCCCGTCTCCTCGTCTACGGAGTTGTAGCCGGCTCACGAGCATGTCCGGTGCATACGACAAAAGTTTGCTAGACGCCGCGCCGGAGATTTCCCGCGCGCAACGCCAGGTGCGCACCTTTCCTGGAGGGCTTGCTCTCAGCGCGAATGTAGTAGTGACCATGACTGCAGGAAGGTTACGATGTTGATCTGCTAGGTAAGGGCGCGGCGCCAGCGCCGTCGCCAGCGCAGCCGCAAGTAACCTATGCGCCGAAGGAGACATACCCTCCGTATGCGGGAGGGCCAACCTACGCGTCTCGTCGAGTGCCCTTCTGGCGGACAAGGAACGGGATAATTGCCTTGGGTGAGTCCGTCAAGGAATCACGGTAGCATTACGATTATTGACGATGCTCCAGCCGTTCTCGGTGTGGTTGTAGTTGCGGCGGTCGTAGGTGGTGCAGTAGGCGGTACCGTACACCACCACCACCACGACGCCAGCAATCCTCTCAACAACACCTTCTCGAGCTCTTCTTCGTCTGCAAGCCTTGTGGCCAGCACCATCATCTCGTCCTTTGAATCGACCATCACGACCGAGGTCGTCACGAGCGCCACTGACGGGCAAGGGCAGCCTGTCGCTACCACAGAGACAACCACCTTCGTCACGTCCGCTACGACGACCGTCATTACAAGTGTTCCGGTCTTCTCGACGGATTCTATATCTGACTCAACGTCGAGCACGAGTACTCGGTCAGGGGGCATCCAGTGAATGACACATCATCATAGCCTCACTCGCGCTTCACGCCGATGTAATATTTGTACGAGGGCGTATGCCTCCTGCCTCCACATAATGCGGTGCTTGACACGTTTCGGCCGCGACGGCGCAGAACAAACGGCGGTCTTATATTCCACGGGACACGAGATAAAACTAATGGCAGGGCAGGGATATAACAGAAGTACAGCCAGGAGCGATTGATTAATGAGAAGGGTATCTTCCGTAAACACGACGTTCATCAGCAAAGAGGGACGGGATACAAGTCCGCGATACTTGAGCCATAATGAGTGGATAAAATTCAACATTCTTCGATTCGTAACCTCAGTGCTACGGCATAGCGTCAGATGATAAGCACCTGGACGGGAGTCGAGAAGGCGTACTGTACATCCGCGATCGGGTCTACTCCTAAGAGGAGGTCTTGTCGTCATGAGCGGGCTCAGGAGCAGTTGCGTCTATCCATGATCAATAAGCGAGAGGGCCCACAAGTAATCATCGTTACACACCAGCAGGTGGGATAGGCTCTGCGGAAGGCACAGGCGATTCATCCGCGGGCATGGGAACGATGGTAGGCTCAGTGACCTCTTGCGCTGTATGCGGACCTGGAGCATCCGCAGCCAGCTCGCTGGGTGATGCCGCTGCAACCACTTCATCCGACGCCTCAGCTGGTTCCGACTCCGATTGCGCGACTTCTGCCTTGGTCGGTACCTCGCTCATGTCGAGAGCTTGCTGAGGACCTAAGGTCTCCCCCGAGTCAACAACGCTGGCAGGTGCCGGAGGGAGCTCCTCTCCAATTCCGCCTTCTTCTGCCGCCGGCGCTTCGAGTTCAACTGCATCGGTAGGGACGGCTGCCGAATCTACAACTTCGCTTGCTGAAGGTTCTTCAGCTTCCACAGTGTCCTCAGACTCCGCCGCGCGATGGACAGCTTCGGTCGCAATTTCAGGCTGGTCGTGTTGAGGTTCCAGCGCTGGGCCGGAGTCGGAAATTTGCGTTGCAGATGTCGGCTCTAATGTAACAATATATTAACCTGTCGTTCGTTGGTACCAGAACCGACTTACCATCGACAGGCACATTGTCTGCGGGGTCGTCCGATAGCACTGGCGCGGCTTCCACAATCGCAGGAGCTTCTGCGCCAGGAGCTTCAAGGGCCGGTGCGTCCGCCTCCGCATCTGCCTCGGTCGCCACGGCGACTGCAGGCTCACCACCACTTTCTTCAACGATAGCAGTCGGCTCCTGCTCCGAATCCGACTTAGCTGGCACAGGTTCTGCTTCCGGAGGGGGGACAGTGTCATCGGCGGAAAGCGCAGACTCCTCAACAAGCGCCGCTTCCTCGGCGCCCGCCTCCACACTCGTAGGCACTTGCGCGGGTACGGTCAAATCCTCTGTTGCAGCCGGTTGCTGAATAACTTCAGGTTCTGTAGCGGCAGCCCCGGCGTGATGATCTGTCGTCTGCGGCTCGACGACGACGGCTTCTTCCTCGACCGGAACCTCTTCCGGGGCAGGTTCCTCTTCGGGTACAGGCTCTTCCGAGGAAACATTAACTGGCTCCGCAACGGTGGCTGGTTCAGTCTTGATGGTGGGCTCGGCATCCTCGACCTGGGTCACGGTAGGCGCATGTTCAGGTTCAGGTTTGAGTTCAGCCTCATTGACTGGTTCAGTGTTGATGGTATCGGTGACTTCGGTAGCAGGAGTACTCTCCACCTCGGCGACGACAGCAACTTCTTCTGGAGCAGCTACGGCCTCTTCTGCGGGAAGAACAGTGGAGCCCTCTGTGGCAACTGGAGAATTGACAGTCGGCACAGGCACGTTGATATCGGCCTCTGCAACAGGGGGATCTGGTTCGCTAGCTGGTTCACCTTCAGCAACCGATTCAGTGTCGATGATCGGCTGGATGGCGTTTGGTTCATCAGGCACAACAGCGGGCTGGTCGGTGAGGACTGCCACAGGTTCCTCAGCGGGGGCTGGGAGAGCCTCCTCGACCTCGACGAGGGTAGGATCAGGATCCGCGTGGGATTCGTCTTCGGCTACTGGTTCAGGGACGAGCGGCTCTTCAGGCGCAGGAGAAACGTCCAATTCAGTTTCGGTGTCTGGCTCGACGACGCTGGCGTCATCAGGCACAACAACGGGCTGTTCGATGGGGACGGGTGCAGGTTCTTCAGCGGGAGCTGGGAGAGCCTGTCCAACATCGGTGACAGGGGCAGGATCGGTGGTGGACTCGACCTCTGCTGCTGCCTCTGGAACGATCGGCTCTTCAGGCGGAGCAGGTGCATCACTGGTCGACTCAATGGGCTCATCAAGGTGGGGCTGTGTGGCGGCCGTCGACTCGCTTTCTTCCGAAGCTACGATCTCCGGTGCAGCAGCCGCTTCGGTCGAGTTTCGCTCGGTTGTAGGCTCTGCGTCAGGAACTTCAGAGATGGGTGCAGCCGATTCATGACCAAGTAGCTCACCAGGCGTAGGGCTAGCAGATTGTTTGTCTTCCACACCTGCCCTTTCCGGAGGCGCGACAATCTCGACGGGCTCCTCAACGGCCGCTGAGACGGAAGCAAGTGTCGGTTCCCCCACCTCCTCAACGTCAGCCACGGCATCTGCGGGTTCAGTTTCGGGAACCGGAGAAGCCTCCCTGACCGGCTTGCCATCTTCCGGTTCCTCATGCGGGGCAATCTCCTCCTCACGAGGCTCCTCCACCGCGACTGACGCGGAAACGGTCGCAGGCTCTGGCTCGTCCTTGATATTGACTCCGGAGTGTGCAGGGTCAGGCTCGGTGACCGACTCAGCCTCGATCACTGGCTCAATAACAGCTGGTTCCTCGGATGCATCACCGACCTCTTCAACAGGTGTTGCGGTAGGCTCCTCCACGGGCGTCGGTACAGTTGAGGTTGAGACTGTCGGTTCGCCTTCCTCCACCTCCGCGATAGCAATATTACCAGACTCGGAGGGTGCAGCGGCTGGCTCAGTGTCAATGGGCTCTGCCGGTGTGGCAACGACATCTTCAGCAGGAACAGGTGTTATCTCCTCGATAACCGCTGCTACGGCTGCAACGGTGGGCTCAGCCTCCTCGACGACCTCAACATCCTCGGGTGCAACGACGGGTTCGATGGTCGATGCGGCTTCGACGACCGGCTCAGTTACAACCGGTTCTTCAGGCGCAGCTGGCACTACCGCGATCGCTTCTGGAACGGCAGCGGATGTATCCTCAACAGGATCGACATTGGAGGGCTCTTCTAGAGTGGCGAGCGCAGAAGAAGTCGCGGGTTCTTTGCCTTCCACGACGGCCAGTTCGGATGATATAGATTCGGGGGTATGCTCCGGTATGGCTGTCGGTGTGGCTTCCTCCTCCGCCTGACTGGGAGGGGAAGGTACTTCTGCCAGCACAGTCGGGGTAGCTGTCACAACAGGCTCGACCTCTGGGGCCGGGACCACTTCCGCCTCATTTACGACCTCTGGCACCGCGATCGCTTCTGCTACAGGCTCTGGCGCGGTTTCAGCCTCTGACACGGGGTGGACTTCTTCTGCCACAGGCTCTGCTACAACTGCAACCTCAGGCTCGAGCGGTTTAACACTCTCCTGGGTCGGCGTCTCTGCGGCTGCCTCCTCGGCCTCCACCTGCTTCGCCTCCGCAATCACATCCTGGACGGCTGCGTTGAGCGGGCTCGCTCCGTTCACGATGCCCTCTTCGGCCTCCGCTTCATGATGCGCAACAGGGGGAGGATGTACGTGCTTCTCCTCGGGCACCTCTTGGATGACAGGCGCAGGATGGGCTTCTTCTTCGTTGTCTATGCCGTCCACAGTGACGATGGCGCTGTCGGCTACGGCTGCTGCTACAGCCACTACACCCGCGGCAGCGACGCCTGCAGCTGCGACTTCGGCGTCGTGATCGGTTTCAGGGGTCTTGGTGGCGGCATCGACGGCCGCTGGGCTGGGGGTCTCGGCATGTTCGACGAACTTGCTCTTGACTTCCGAAGTGTTCGATTCGGCCTGGCTGGCAGTGTCCGGTGGAAGCGGAATATTCTCCGGTTCTTTGGCAGACTTGGTTACCTCGTCCTTGTCTTCCACCTTTGCCACCTCGGTTGCTTTAGGGATGTCCAGGGAATCCTTGACAGCCGCCTGGCCGCCGAGCGAAGGCTCCTCCTCCTCTCGCACTATTTCGCCCATCTCGCCGACCTTCATCCCTGTCTGCCTCTTCTTACCCAGGTCCTTCTCATCCTTATGCTTCCCAGCCTGGCTGTCTCTCCCAAAGAACGTGAAGCGCTTCGTGACCGAGCTCACACTAAGCCGTGGGCTACCCAGCTTTGGTGCCCTAGGGACTGCCTCATCTTGCTTGACCGCCGGAGTCGGTGCCGGAGTCGGCACAGGAGGGGCAGGCGGAGGTGGCGGAGGTGGCTCGCTGAACGTTTGCTCGACGACCAACCATTCAACGCGCTTTCCATCGTGTTCTATACCCTCGACCGACTTGAGCTGCGCGAGCGCGAAGGGTGGCCACTCGCTTGCAATCGGGTCCGTCACCGCGTCCGACCAAAAGTCAACGAAAGCTTCGTCAACCTCAACCAGCTTCAGACCCTTGACCCTCTCCTGCACCTGCTTCCGCTCCTTCTTCGGCTCCTCTTCCGTCTCTCGTTCGAGCGGCGTGCCGTCGGATTCGGATACACGCGCACGGCGGCTATTACGCCGGCTCACGCTCCGGCTCCTTGGCGTCTTCGCTCCGCCCGCTTTGCTCGACAGCCGACGCACGAGGCCCGGGTGCGGACTCGGCGGCTGCGTTTTCTCGAGGTCGGTATCCCAGAGCGTGCTCGCGAGCGTGCTCTCGAGCGGCGTGCTGCCGAACCCGGCCTGGGAGAAATCGGCCCAGGAGATGGGGGACCATGCGGAGGAGGGAGACGTAGCGGACGAGGACGATTGGCTGTGCCCGTTTGTGCGCGTGCCGGTGGTGTCGATTGACGCGGAGGCTTTGTGTTGAGGCGGCACGCGCACGCGCACGACAGGCACTGAGGGCGCTGCGGGGGTCGACGGTTTGATAGAGGTGGTCGAACCTGAGGCGAGAGTGAGAAGAGTGATGCTGTCGTCGGCAATGACAAGCTGAAGTGCAGGTTCTGGATCCGGCTCTTCCTCCGTCGGGGGCACGACAGCGAGTGACTTTATCCTGGTCCAAACACCTACTGCGCCGTCTTGGCTCTCGGTGCTCGTATCCGCCTCCGTCTCGGATGAAGCCTCCAGAGCTCTCTTGACGAGCGCAAGCCCGTGTAGAGTCGAGCGCGGTCCGTCTTTGTTCGCGATCGGTGTGTCAACTCGGACGAGCAATGCAGGATGCACTCGCGTGGAGAACCTCGGGCGGGTAAGGATTCCATCATCGGTGTGAGGAGAGGACGAGTACGGATAGTTCTGGACGAGCTCGGTGAGACGTCTAGGGAGTGGGGCAACCGCAGATTCGTCTCTGATTAAAATGACACATGAGCGTATGATGAGAGGCGTAGAAATTCAAGCCGAACCTTATACGCGCGAGGAACAAGTGCTCCATCATCCTCCCGTTCCTCTCCCATCTCGTGTAGAACTTCTCCCAGTCGTCATTCGGCTCGATCCGGGGCACGGCGAGTACCCAGAACCCGACAAACTTCGCAAACTTGCTCCCTGAGATGCCATTCGCTTCTGCGTGCCTTGCCAAACACGATGTCACATCCAGGATCGCATTGAGGAGCGAGGTATGCTCCTCCGGCAGGAGCGGAACAAGCTTTTCCGTGAAAGCGCGTAGAGGGTACCCGGACGAGCGCTCATTGTCGTGAAAGATGGTGTACCAGTCTCGTGACAGGCCAAAGGAGTGCACGGTGGTTGAGGGCGATCCCGTAGAAGCAGGGGTTGAAGGCTCGAAATGGCGAAGGCCCCATCGCAGAACGGCGGCGACATCGTGTGGATCCCGTGTATAGTTGAGTTCGTTCTCGAACGCGCCGGATGGCGATACAGTCGTAGTGGAAGCGGGGGTGGGTGTGAGCGAGAGGAGGAAGAGCGAAGCCAGTTTGCGCTGAACCGCAGGATCTGAGGAGTACCAGTGCGGGTGCATTAGACCGAGGGTCTCTGAGCCTATAAGGGATATATTATGAACGTCGTGACCGAAGAACACGGAATGATCAACGTACCATGCTCGTTAATATACTCTCCACACGCTTTCACCAACACGAGCGTCTCCAATGGTGTCAGCCTCCTCCCCGCTATGGCGCTCTCATCCAGGGTTGTTTCCGCGACCGGATCAGTCTCGAAGAGCGTGCCCAGTGATCTTTGCACCTCCACATCCGTCAACCCAGGAAGGTCTAACAGCGACGGCGACTGAGGTTGCTCCCGTATTGGCGACACCGCTCGTCCTCTCACCGGCGACATTGGCCTCGACCGTACCCTGAAGATTCCTCCGAAACCCCCATGCCCCCCGTCTTTCTCCTTTTCCTTCTCTTTCTCTTTGTCCTTCTCTTTGTCCTTCTCTTTTTCGTTCACTTTGCCCAGCTCCTTGGGTTGAATGGGTGAGGGCGGCGCGGACGACGAATGGACAGAGACGGCCTCGTATTTTCCGCCTAGCAACGACGGAAGTCGTCCCCTGGTTTGCGCTTGATTGGTAGGACTTGTGGGTGACGTCGGGCTCGGGTGCGTGCCATGATCCTCTTTCTTACGTCCCGGGAAGACCTTTGACAGGAACGAGGGCATGGCGAGTTCGAAGGGTTCGCGCGTCGCGTCGCTACTAACCCCCTGGTGTACCTAATATCGCGTTGGATGTGTCGACAGCGGGTGATGAACGCGTAAAAATTACCTAGAGATGAGATGCGCGGGGTTAGATAGAGACGGGCGAGTGCATCAATTCGCCCTGGTCGTTGCAGGCTCCGAGGGAGAGCGTGGTACACACGTGTTGGGCGGGACGAAAGAACCACGTCGCGTGGACTGGTCCGACTTTCGCATCATCCGACGATGACATGCTACACGCTCACAATAATCAACAATCATGCATGCCACCAACAAAAACATCTGCAAGGACTAGTTCGCGCCGCCATATCATTTTTGTGCCATCGGTGCACGATATGACATTATACAACTCAGGCAAGACACAGCGGACCAACGCAGCATTCGCACGGTGCAGTCAATACATGCGATCGTTTTGTTATACAGGCGGACAGAATAGAGCAATGTACAGTCCACACACCACACCTTTAGGCGACCTTCTGCAGAATCATCACGATATTAGCGCCACCCCGCGTTTCAAGACGCAACACTAACCTGAGGCTCGATGTTCCAGTACTCCTGCGCGTAATCGATAATGCACCTGTCCGAGCTGAACTTGCCCATCTGAGTATGTCACAGGATCAGCGGACATTTTTGTGATTGTTAGTACGCATATACCCACCCTGGCGGAAGTGTTGATGCTCTTCTTGATCCATTCGGTGCGGTTTTGGTACGCCTCGTCCACCATCGCCAGAGCTTGGATGTCTACAAACAGCTCAGTCAGTGACCGATTTGGCGCGAGAGTGATCGCAGGTCTCACAGGAGTCGAAGTCGTCCGTGATCAAGTAGTAGTCGCCTTGGCGGACGGTGTTGAGCAGGCTGCGGGACCCAAGTCAGGTCATGCATGTGTACCAGGAAATGGTTGTACGCACGGCTCGTAGACGCTGCCGTCGCCGAAGCGGCCAGCAGAGATCTGGTTCAAGACGTTCGCGAGACCAGGAGACTTCTGCTCGACCGGGATCGGGCTGTAGGCATGCTGGTAGCGCAGGCCCTCGACGTCTGGAGTCAAATGCCCAAAGAAGACTGCGAGGAACACAATCAGCTTGCTATTCCTTTGTATATATCCAGATCATAGACTCACAGACGTTCTCCTCGCCAACCTCCTCGGCGATCTCGATGTTGGCGCCGTCTGTGTACCGCACAGTCAGCGTGCCTGAATCGCTACACCTGAAGAAGTTACTCACCGACGGTACCGACCAACAAACCACCGTTCAGGCAGAATTTCATGTTGGATGTGCCCGACGCCTCGGTACCGGCGGTCGATATGTGCTGACTGATGTCGGAGGCGGGAATGAGGAGCTCCGCAAGCGAGACCGAGTAGTCAGGCAAGAAGAGGACCTCGAGGTACTCCTTGGTCTCCGGGTCCGCGTTGATGACGCGCGCAGCGTTGACGATGAGGCGGATGGTCAACTTGGCAACGTAGTCTAGTAAGAGGAATAGGTTATAGGTAGTATGATACGAGGGAGGCAGACGACGTACAGCCAGGCGCAGCCTTTCCGGCGAACAGGACCACCTTCGGGTTCACCTTCTTACGCTCTGCGGGAGTCAGGCCCTTGAGCCAGAGATAGCGCTATGAACAAGTAGTGAGCACATGTGAGCAGAGTCCCTCGCGTAAAAGGCCCACGTGAATAACACCAAGGATGTTGAGAGTTTGACGCTGTAGACGTTGTGAGTCAGGGTATACGCTTCACGGTGGCGGCGCCGACAAACCTTGTACTCGTGCAAACGCTATCACATCATCGTTCTGATTAGCGCGAGCTTTTCAACGCGCAACAGGAAACGTAGACCGACCTTAACCTGCACATCAAACATCGCCGACGTGTTGATCTTGTATCCGAGGGTAGATTCGATGTACAGCGCCAAGCGCTCCTTGTTACTGTGCTTCACGGCCGTCCACTTCTTCTGGAACGCAGTGTCGTCAACGAACTTGAGCAGACCCTGGAGTTTCGTGAGGTCCTTGAGCCACGCGGCCTTGGGGAGCTTGAGGGTATCCGTGATGAGCTGCGAAAGGAGAGGGTTGCACTGATCCAGCCAGCGACGCGGAGTGACTGCAATTGAAATTAATATCGATGTTCCTCCAATTGAGTTCGCCTTATACTTACTGCCGTTGGTCACATTGCCGAACCTATGATACAAAACGATCAGCGACCCGCAAGAGCTCTATAGAAGTTGCCACCCACTTGCTCACGCCGAAGAACTCGACAAAGTCCTTGCAGATCGTCGTGCGGACCAACTCACTGTGCAGTTCCGCGACACCGTTGACCTTGCGACTACCTGTATTCATGTCAAACCACCTGACAGACCTCGCGATAAGCTGAATGGCGTACCGATGACGGCGAGGTTAGCCATGCGAACGTTCTTAGGGAAGCCCTCTGTTCCACACCATCTTTTAGATATACCACTCGACGCAAGTAATCAGGCTTGCTCACCCTCGATCAAGGACATGCGCGCAAGCCTATCGAGATCGTGAGGGAACTTCTTCGCGACGGCTGATGTTCGAGGTCAGATCAGCGCATACCCCACGCATGTGAACAACACGCATACCTTGCAAGAAACCGAGGTTCTAAGAGATGATCTGGTCAAAAGCTGGAGCACATACACATATGGCTGACTCACGATATCGTAAATGATCTGCATATGCCTTCATCAAGGAGTCAATGTCAGGCTGATCAATCTCGGGGAATCTGATAGCAACGTACCTCGGCAGGAGGTTCTCCATGAGCGAAACAGGCCATTTCTTGCGAAAAATGTCAGTACCAATCACGTTCGCCATCCTCGTTAATAACAGCATACCTCCAGCGCTTCCTGCGAGCGTATCATAATGTTCTCAGCATGTAAAATGATAAAAGTAATACAATCCCGCAACGAACCGGAAGGACAGTGTGGTTCGTGAAGAAGAAGACATTCGTCACGATCTGCCAAGCCTTGTCCCAGGACAGGTCCTCCTCATCGATCAGAATGCGCATGAGCTCCGGGATGGCAAGCGTCGGGTGAGTCTACAACAACCGAGATTATATCAGCACAACGCTCCTCGATGACCCACGGTGAATATCAGGACATACGTCGTTAAGCTGGATAGCGACATCTACGCGTGTCACTCGGGGTTAGCCTCAAGATTCGGGTGTCAGATGAGCACGTACAGTCAGGAAGCTCCGTGATGGGCTTCTCGAGGTTCTTGAAGCGACGCAAGATGTCTTGGAGAGAAGCTGCCGTCCAGAAGTACTGCTGCTTGAGACGCAGCTCCTTGCCGACTGGGTACATTTCAGCCATGAGCATATGCGCATGGAAGTGAGAGCATCGTGGACGCACAAGAGGTGTGGTCGTTCGGGTAGAGAACCGAGGTGATTGCTGCCGCGCTGTTGGACGACTCGACGGCACGCTCGTAGTCTCCAGCTGAACCAAACAGGTCGTAAGCAAGCTGCGCTAGCACATGTCTACGGGAGACCATACCGTTGAAGCTGTTCAAATCGAAACCCCTCTTCGGCTTGCTCTCCCACAACCTCAAGTTGTTCGTCGTCTTCGTGTCGTACCCGGGCACCATCACGTCGTACGCGATCGCGAGCACCTCCTGCCCACCGCTCCAAACCGCCTTCCCGCCCTCGATGCGCTCCGCATGGCCATAGAACCTGACGTCGTACACGACGTCCACGCGTGGCAGCTCCCACGGGTTCGAGTGCTCGAGCCACGGATCGGGGGCCTCGAGCTGCGCGCCCTCGGGTGAGATGAGCTGCTGGAAGATACCGTACTTGTAGCGCAAGCCGTAACCCCATAGCGGGAGCTCCTGCGACGCGCCGGAGTCGAGGTAGCACGCGGCGAGCCGGCCGAGACCGCCGTTGCCGAGGCCGGCATCGCGCTCCTGATGGATGAGGTCCTCAAGGTTGAACCCGAGCTTATCGACGGATGCCGTGTACTGGTCCTTGAGGCCGAGGTTGAGCATCGCGTTCTGTCATGGTGAAGAAATGAGTATGTTGTATAGTGACGTCGGTGGGGAGAATGGGTGCATACATCCAACGCGCGACCCATGAGGAACTCCAGCGAGAGGTAGTAAGCGCGCTTGGGACTCTTGCGGGTGTAGTTCATCTGGGTTTCGTTCCAGTTGATCTTAAGCAAAGCGAAAGTTAGAATGTAACGACACATGCTCGCATATATGCGGGTACGCACGATCAGGTTATCGCGCACGGAGTACGCCGCGGCCTGGTACGCGCCAAAGTCATCTAGGTTGTACGCCTGGCGCGCGAGCGACGTCTGGACGTGGTTCACGATCGACTTGGAGATCGAGGGTACATCTATCGGTAAACTGTCGAGTTCCGCACAAGCGTGTGAGGAAAGGTCGACGTACCTGCGTCGATGCCTCGGAGGCCCGCCTTCCAAACCTCCTCTTCACCGCGAGGCCATTTTTCCTTGCCAGTCTTGTCGTCGATATCACCGAGGTATCCTGTTCACGAAGCCGCGTCAGTAATCGAGGTTGTGGGTGCACGGAAAGGGCTGATATCGCATACCTGTCGCAGAACGCTGATGCCTCCGGGGCTTCTTGACCGGCTGGCCGATGGACTTTGGGTCGACGGTGCTGGTCATCTCTCAAACGATCCGTGAACGGTCGCCTAGCGTTGACCGTCGTGGTTGGAGACGACGAGGACCGGTGACGAAAGACCGCTCGCGCTTGCCGTTTCATTGCGCGATCCGGGCTCGCTCTTATCAGCCTCTCGACTCGGGTATGTTCGGTGTGTGACCCTGACATCACTGCCTGTTGATCGCGACCATGATTGGGAATGGGGGGTGTCAGGTGCGGTTGCTTCCGATTTCCCGTGTGCTCGCGAACTGCGGCCGGGAGCTCAGCCCTGGATGCAAGAGGCTTCGAGTCCTTCAATCGTGTAAGACATAGACATGGGTGAAGCCGTCTATGGCATTGCAGGGTCCCGCAGAGGGTTTTCCATGGGATCGCCGGGTACATTCATACTCGAGGAAGGACGTGAAAACGGAAATCGAAGCAAAGCCTATTGTCTGTACGTACTCCCCGCCCCGCACCAATATGCATCTAGATTATCTGTATCTCTTCTGAGAGTTCAGAACATCGGGAATCTCAGGCTCGATGGCACGCGATTGCCCATGAAATGCTTATATGGGCTTTGACAAAGTCAATGCAAGCTACATATAACCAGCAGATTATCATGAAAGTGGAATCTCTGCCCGGCCCTTGTCGGACAGTGACGGGATTATGGCTGCATGTATGACCCGGAAGTGGATTGGAAAATGTGCGTCGGAGCCTTTGTGTGAGGGAGAGCCGTCAAACGAGCCAGTGAGCGCAGTTCGTTTCAAGGAACAAGGCACAAGCCAGTGTGATTGTGGAATGAGTACTGAGTACTATGTTTGGAGAGCGTACTTTTTGCAGCGTCGGGGAATTGTTATCAGCAAGAGCCCCGGTAGACTAAAAACTTCTCGAATCCGGAGGCGGGAGCTTGGCAGCCGTCCCGCTCTGTCCCGCTCCAAGCGACTGCGCTTCCGGGCGGACTGGTCCAGGCAGCGCCCAAATGGAGCTTGCTAGATCGCAGGTAGCCGAGGGCAACTCCGATCTAGTTAACAGATGGACTAGATCCTGAAAGGTAGCATGTAGACCATGATGATGGAGGAACAGTCAGCCTGCAGCTGAAGGTGTGCTTGAGTGCGATGTGGCGCAGCAGCGTTTGGACTCGTTTATGGCGCCAATGTTGCGCGCTCGATTGCACGATCGAGATGTGCAAGCATACTGACGAGATATCCTGCAATAACGCACGCACGCACAATCCTGATCCAACATGCTTCGTGTTGTCCGATGTGACGTGACATGTACAACGGAAGCTGGGCACTGTTCGACTTGCATGACCTAAAATATGAGACCAACCATCATGTGCATCAACACTCGTTGCTGTGCCCTCTTCATGCACGATTTAAACAACTGTAACGCAAACTCCTTATGCCATGGCATCCATGAATCCGACTGATGATATCGATTTTTGGCATCCCAAGCTCACTCATGACTTTTGCGAGAATCGTTAAACCCTAGGGAGCCTGACCACTCACCAGCCACTACTTACGGCAAGACACAGGTTCCATTTCCACGGCGCACGCCTATTGTTGCCGCTCGCAAGTCAGAGCGAGACGATTGGCCGCTTCCGTCCGCCCGTAATGTAAAGGGCAAGTGAAGATCTCCGCGCTACCTGAGGAGCCGCATGGGCGATATTGCATAGGGCGGGATTGTGTGACTATCATTACGTTCATCTATCCCACGTCAAGACATTCAGCGGATCTGCATATATAGGAGGAGCCATGAAGCCATATACGAAAACACCCAGGCGAACGTCCTGTGCGGCGGTGTATGCTGATGGGAATGTTAACGACAGCTGGTCTCCAAATTCTCTTCTCCCCAGTCTCACTTTCGTGCGTTCTTGCACTGCTGGCATGGGGCACCCGCAGGAGGGTACGCGGAACTTCACCTACGTGGATTCGCGGTCCTAAGCCTCGGTCGTGGATCATCGGTATGTTTCGAAATCCTGCCAAAGATTGTGGTCGAACTTATGCACATGCCAGGGAGCCAAGCCGAACTACTCCAATCTGAGGCAGGACAAGCCAACATTAAGTGGAGGACTGAATACGGAGATGTCTACATGATGACCAGTTGCTTCGGAGTGCGTCTTTCTTCCGGTGCTTCGTCGAGCTGATGTGACCTATTTTGCCAGGTGGAATGGCTGATGATCAACGACCCCAACGCCATCCAGCACGTCTTGAACGGGCAGACGACCACTTACAAATTTGAAGAGTCACTCAGAGAATTCTTACGACTCGTCACAGGCATGTGTCAAGTCATTGAAGGCTACTTGTCGATAGTCTCTAACGACACCTGAAGGCAAAGGTGTCATTTATGCAGATGGTGAGCAATATGTCAACTTGGGCGTCTTCTGGACTTGGGCTAATCGATGCACTCTAAGGAGCCGATCACATGCGGCAACGGAGGCTCATACAACCAGCGTTCCAAGCCACTTTCGTCCACAGCCTGACTCCGGTATTCTCTGGTTGTGCTTATATAGTAAAGTACTACTTGCGGGCGGTAAATCCATTCTCTGATGGGATCCGTAGCTAGCGACTCGCTGGAAAGCCCTCATGAACGAACATAAAGTCGAAAAGATAGACATGAACGTGTATCAGTGGATAGAGCTCCTGACCATGGAATCATTAGGACGAGGTTCGTCATCCAACCATAGCATAGATCATTACTCACAAGTGCTGCAGCCGCTTTCGGAGTGGAGTTTAACAGCATTGCTGGAGAACAGCATGAATTGATGCAGTGAGTCCCAGAAATATACCACAACGACGTTCATGTCACTAGATACGTGTCAGAGCCTACCGGGGTATAATCAGCAGAGGATATTCCCGACCAACCAAAATCGAAATCGCCTTGCAAGCATTAGCTCTTCGGCTTCCACCTTGGATTCTCTCTCGACTCGATTGTATTCCCACCAAACGAATGCGTCAATTGAGAGCCGCGAAATCAGTCGGTCTTCGGTTTTCCGCAGAGTTGATCGCAGCTCATAGGAGAAAGATTGCGGAAGACGATAAGACAGAGGACCGCGATTTGCTGAGCGTCTTGGGTGAGGCCTGTATATCATATTCCAGTGGCTCTATGGCGCTGAATGAGTGTGTCATGTAGTTAGGGCCGGTGAGCCGGACGAAAGAGGCAAACTTCAACCCATGACAGATCAGGAGATATACGACCAACTTACGTGCGTCAGCCCTTACATTTGCTATCTTCAGTCCCTGAAGGCATCCCAGAACCTCCGTCGTCGCCGGATGTATGTTTTCATGTACTCCGTATGCTTGACATATCTTACAGCAGGAATCTGCAGTTGAGACTGTAGGCAACACGACCAATTATGGATTATACGAACTCGCTCGTAACCCGGACATTCAACGAAAACTCTTCGCCGAAGTCTCCCAGGTGCTCGAGCCAATGTTCGAGGACGAAAATCAGCCCGGGTTCGATTATGCGAAGTTAAACGCTATGCGTAAGTCACCCATGCGATCTTTTAGAGGCCAACTCATGTATCGTCTTCATATCGTCTTCAGCCTATCTTAACGCATTTGTGAAGGAGGTTTTGCGTGTTCATTCGCCAGTCTCGTACGGGCTGTTTCAAGCCAGAGTTGATGACGTGATACCACTATCAAATCCTATTCCCACCCCAAACGGCCCAGTGAAGCAAGTTCCCATCAGCGCTGGTCAGAGAATCGTGAGTACAACACAATTGTCAGGAGCTCGATTGACGGGTAGAGGGAAACAGTTCGTTGCGCTCGACGGTGCAAATCACCATCCCGACATCTGGGGAACCGATGTAGACGAATTCAAGCCGGAGCGCTGGCTTATCGCCGATCCAGCGGAGATCAGACCAGAACAACGAATAGGAGGTCCATACGACAACATGTGAGCGCCAGTACTTCACCTTGGGTCCTCAAGACGGAAATGTGAGGATCACTTCTTTCCAGTGCCAGCTTCGGAGGGGGTCCCAAGACTTGCTTAGGGTACGCCTCGTTCGCAACGTTTCCTGGCCTTCAGAGTCTCACTCGGCATACGGTAGATGGAGATTTGCGTACGATTCTCTTTTACGTGTTCGGGAAGCGAAGGCTCATGAGAGCTTGTGCTAGTGTCGTGGAACTGCAGAGTTTCTTGGCGGTCCTCGTCCGGGAGTATGAATTCGATCTGATCAGTAAAGAATATCAGCTCTGGAAAGATGGATGTTTCGTTGTTGCGGTAGGCAAGAGTCCATCATCTACCAATTTCGACACTCACATCGCATCGAAGGCGCCGGCTGAGAGGGGCAAGGCGGACATGGGTCCACGGCTACCTTTGCGCATCACCCGGAGGTCAAACCGCTGAGTGTGCTCGCTAGTCACGATCGCGGGCGTCAAACAATCAACCAGCCTCACGAAAGGTGTGAACACGACGAAAGGTTCCCGTTCAGCATAGATATTGGTATCGATACAGTTCATTCATCAGGATTGGCTACATGTTAGGAGTGGGGGACGCAAGAAAAAATACAGTGGAAACGGACCATCTGCGGATGGGTGGCGTGGGTAACCTGTTGAGGGGTAGAAAGAGTGACTAGAAGCTCGAAGAGACATGCACAAACGAAGGTGGGTGTAGAAGAGATGTATAATCAGAAGACATCGAGGGAACGTGAGGGAAGTTGAAAGAGACTAAAACCTTCTTGACGCGGGATCCGCACCAGCCCAGCGAGCGGTATACCCGACGCTTGGCACTACGCCGAGCCCGACCGTCCCACTTCGACTGCGCTTCGGTACCTTCTTCAACGGACTCATCGGCACTGCAGGTGGGCTGGGCGTCGTCTTTGGCGGCTGAGGCCAGTTGGATGGCGCCAGGATGGAGTCGGTGATGCTCCCGGCTACCAGACTGATCTCACCCTCTGATCCCTTGCGGACCTGCAGGAACGAGGACGAAAGTCCAATCGGAGGTGCCGGCTCGTTGAACGGCGACGAGGGAGGCGAGTACGGGGTGACGTTGAAGGTCGGTATGTCGTTCGGGCTGGTGGTCGTACCGCGGACGGGAGAGTATATGCCGGGAGGGATGGTCGGAGCGAACGACGAGGAGGCAGACGGTGCGCGTCCGAGCGCTTGCCTCGCAGTGGGAGAGCCGACGTATGACAGCGCTGATTCAGCGAAGGACGCGTCGGCGTCTTGATCCTGAGGGGAAATGGGCGAGATGATTCTATCAGCATGGGTAGCTCGAGGGGCAGCAGGAAAAGCAGCGACAGCGGGGATGGTTATCGTGGGCCGCTCAGGGCGGTAAGAGGGAGTCTGGGGAACAGGTGAGCGGGTGGGTCGGAGTGGCGGCGAAGGCATCTCTGGCAATATATCCTCGTCCAAGCTCCACTTCGATGTGTGGGCGGAGGCCGTGGTGGACCTGGCAATGCTTATAGTCGACGAGCCAAACGATCTGGATGATAAGCTGGAGGAGTGTATCTTAGCGAAAGCAACAGAGCCATGAGTGGGACACTTACTGGATCGGTAATGTGCTTTGCATCGTCCGCTGATCACGCTCGGTCCCCTGACGCCGAAGTAACGAGCACGCGCAGGACTTGTACCCATTCATCGCCTCCGATCCGATCCCGAACATTATAAACGCCATGAGGGAGACGACTGGAACGGTCCACCAGTCCAGGGCGACGCGGGTTCTTTGAAGCGCAGAAAGGTCCACCAGGCGATGAATCTCGATTGCGGATAAGTGGGTGGCGTCCCAGGACCACGGAGAGAGCGGTTCAGCGGCCCGTGAGGTGATGTCGAATACGACGATAGCCATAACCAAAACTGTCAACATGACGCTAATGCCGAGCAGGCGATTAAAGTGCGTGATAGACATGGGCATCCGATGACCCAGGTGCACTGCGAAATTCGCCCGCTTAGAGTATACATTGATAAGAACGGCTCCTGAAACTTCATGTAAGTAAGGTTAGGAAGGGATAACCGGGAAAGTTTACCGGAGCAAATGCAAATAGCGAGGCAGGTGATTAGAATGGGTACGTAGGTCACAGCGATACCTGCCGCTGAAGACTGGATGGCTGCCTGGCAGCCAAAGTCCTCAATTATAACGAATCTATGGTCTTGCACAACCAAATCTGATCCTCAAATCAGGACGAGTCGTCACATGAGACCGGCATAAACACTCACGCAATGCAGCATAAAACAAGGGCAAAAGGATACAAAATATGATCCGAACTACAGTTTCGATACGTTTGCTGTTCGTGCTGTGTGGTAGCCGGCGTGATGACGAGAGGAGTTCGAGGCGAGCGCAGACGCATAAGATGGCGCCCAAAACGGCGATGGAGGTGGCCAATACGACGGGGGTAACTGTAGACGGCGTCACATCGGCACGCCTGAAGCTTATTCGAGCTGTGCATACCGATGTCGCACCACACAGGCGCAATGACGTTTACCTTGCCGCTCCAGATCACGGTGTTGACTGCTTGTGCAATATTGGCGACCAGCAACCAGCTAGTCATTGTCGCGGCCGGTACGTTCCGCAGCTTACATTGCAGAGACAAGACCAGGAGCAACAGCGCGGCGCATATCAACGACACGACTGGGAGTCCGGCCGACATCGCGGTCGATGCGTCGGGTGATTAGGATGTGATGTCGGATAGGCGGCCGAGGTGTACGCGCTCTCCTCGATGAAGCCAGATTATACCGACCGGGGTAGATGAGGTAGATGAGGTATCGCACTCTATAGAGACACCAGATGTTCGATGAATGGATCGCTTGCCACTACTGAACAACGCTCGTGAAGGTCCTGCCGCCAGGTCGAGGAGATCCCTCCCTCCAGGAAAAGATTGCGAGAATGAGGGGGGAAGAATAGAGTCTCTCGTGCGCACGGGCACAATACTTTCATATTAACTGTGCTTTGAAGGAAGCACTCCCGGTAGTATCGCCAGAATCCTAGAAGAAAAAAGGACTGCATATTGTTCAGCCAACTCAGTCCGACAATCAAACTACCCGGAGGAGAACAATGTAACTTTGGTCGACAAGACCATTTCGGTTCGCGTGCGGAAACAAAAGCGCACGACTCGCACCGATCGGGACGTTAGCCTCGAGAGGACCGGAGACAAGAAGGTGCGAGACAAAGGGATGGCCTAAAACCGGTCGAGGTTAAGGTTCCGCCATTGCAGTTTCCTTTTATGGACGTCAAACCGCGTTTACGTCATAAGTAACCGGAAGGATCGGAGAGACGTCCGCCAGCGTGTCAAGGACAATGTGTTCGACCAAGACTCTGACAATGGTACAGATGATTAATACAGAGTGAACTAGTCGGGAAGGGATACAGTCGAAGACTATTGGAAGCGAGGGAGGACAATAGGACAATGATAATAATTACAATGAATCTTGCTGTCCCAATGAGACGAACTATCACCAAGAGAAAGACGGAAGCGCGAACACGAATATCGATATCGAGGAACAAGGAATGAACGTGTCAAACAGACACAGGATAGGCTCGGATTTCAAAATGGAAGACCACAGATAATCAGATGCGAACTGGCGACCATCAGCGAGCGTACGGGGATATAATAGACCGAGGGGAGAGAAGGTAGCCGAAGAAGGCCCGGATGGGTAAAGTCGCGAGGTCTCCGACCCGGAACACAATATTGAGGAATGGGATGCGAACGCGTGATCGAGGTTTGGAGCTAACAAACCTCGAATTTGTTGGACTAACGTATCCGTATCCATCGTCCTCGGGTATCGTCTCGAGTCGGGGAGAGCCAGAAGCCGAAAGGGAATGCAGTCGGGACGACCTGCGAGTTTTTTGATAGTTTTCTGTCTCCCGGACGAGCCAATACGGAACAAAGGAGGATAGCCATGCGCCGAGCGTCGGAGGCGGCTGTGCCTGCAGAATGCGCTCCGCCCGCATTGCTTCTACCATGGCCTCCAGGGCCGCGATACGAGATTCCTCCGTCGACCTGCCTGCGAAGACCTTGCGTTCTTGCTTGCGCAGCGCCCTCTCGACACCCTCGATCGCTTCGTCGACGTGTTCGTACATCTCGTCTGTGCTGACCATGTCTTTGAGCTGCTGCTTCACGTCGTGGAGCTCGGTCTCGAGAAGCTCCGTACGATCTCGGAGCGCATCCAACTGTTCCTGGGCATCAAGGACTAGCGCCGGTGACCCCGAAGAGGGGTAATGGACAATGTCGTGGAGGTCTGTCGTCCGCTGTTGAAGGCGTTCGACTAAATGGGTCCAAGGCCGTATGCCGGTTGCAAGGACAAAAAGGCCGCTAGAGAACCAGGAGATTGCGTTGTGACCAAGGACCGCTTCGCTGATACGTCGTAGCAAAAGAGCACCCAGAAATGGTGATATGACGGTGAGGAGGAGGAAGAACAATTCAAGCCTGCGCAGTTCCGACGATGCTAGCTGTAGGTACCGTTCCTCTACAGTGCCGTCTACACGGATTTCCGGCGCTCGTCGACGCGGCCGAGATGAGTGGTAAAGTGACCAGGGGACTAAGTGTAAAGGCTTGATCAGTCCGAAGAGCCCAGCGTTAGCGAGGAGCGCTTACCCTCGATAACTTGGTGGAGGTAGAATATCAGAAGGATAATTAGGAGGATATTCCGCACGTGGTCACCACCAGTCAAGAGGTTGCCTAGAGGAGAGACGAGTGCGACGACCACTGAAAGGTCAAACTCGTACCACGCCCGTCGGGAGATGCCCGGCGACGTCTCCTCACTGGGCGGGCGCCTGATACTTGAAGTCCTTGGAATCGATGGTGGTCTTTTCGGCATGTCAAGTGCTGGGCGCTCGGGCCTGTCGTCGCCTGTATGAGAAGAACTTTGTCCTCGCTTGCTGCTCCCCTCCGCCTCCTTCTCTGGACCCCGCAGTTCCTCCTCGTCACCGTCCACTTCGCCCTCTTCTTCGGTCGTCTCGTCTCCCGACTCCGATTCCGTCGCCTCTTCGGTTATGGACGAGCCTATGATCCCGGCGTCGACTGCTAGATGATCATCCAGACGCACATCGTCCTGCACCTCGTCCATGCCCAGCTCGTCGAGTGTATCGTGATGAATGTTTGACCGCCGCAGAAAGCCCATGCGCTTCCGGAGACCGGTGCTCGTGCTTGCCATGGAGAAAGTGCGGTTTGAATGAGAGGCTGTCGGATCGCGCGGTCGCGTGCGTCAGCTAATTTTGGCGTCAAGACACTCTGAAACGGCGCGCGGGCTTGATTACCCAAAAACAACGTGCACCGTAGTCGAGTTATACGACTTTCGAAGTGAGAAACGAGAGGTGCACGAGAAACTGGGCAAGTATTGACTCTGTCGACAGGACCAACGTCGCAGACCACAGAGAAACGCCGAATCCGGGGTAACCGGCAGATGATGACGTAGGGTAGTTGACACGGGATCAATGCACCATTAATCATTGCTCACTATCAGTATCAGGCAGTACATGTGACCCCGTTTCTTCCTGCTTCGCTGAGAGCTTTTCATTTATCTGATAAATGCTCTAGTCTACTTCAACTCGAGGCTTCGAACCTCGTCTCAAATCAGAAACATGAATAATACCAAGCTAGGCACTCGTTGATGCCTCTTCAGCTCGTCGTAAGCCGCGATATGACGCGTCGGATGCCCGCTGTCTCGGCAGCAACAAGTACCTGAAACCTTCCAGCGGTCCTGATTCACAGTACTCGTTACCCCGTTGAACTTGTTAGGGTCTATGACGCAAGTCAGGGTAGGAATGCTCGGACCAATGTGTGCGTCCTATGCCGCGCAATCGCCGCCAACCTCTAGGCTAAAGACTTGACGTTCGCCAGCGGTGCAATGTTTGCCTCTTCCGGGCACCGCTTTATCGAGGGATGACTTGAAGGAAGCTCCGGCGGACCCGCGGACGAGCACATTTGCCCCCCTTCGACCACCGGTCTTGGACGTCAAGCGCTGTCAAATAACGAGCTTGATCGGCCTTCGGCAATTCTAGCAACGCCCGTTAGCTAGGTCAGCCTTTTAAACGGACAAAACATACAAAACTCGACACGCGCTCATCCCATCGCGCCCGGGTGGAACTTTTTCTCCCGTTTCTTAGTCAAGGCGCGCTCCTCCTTGTCACCAACGTTGGAGAGATGGAGCGCCCGGAGATGCCGCTGTTCTCCCTACTTTGCTTCTTTCTTTGCTTTGTCCCCGCACCAGCTGTGGTTTGGTCCCGAAGCGTTGCATTGGTGTCTATGCTTGGTTGGCTGGTCGCTGTGAACCTCGTTTCTGCGATCGACTCCATCGTCTGGTATGGTGACGTGCACATAGTCAACACCGCATGGTGCGACATTGGTGAGTATCCTTCACTCGCGCGCGGAAGATACAGTATCCTGATCATGCACCCATGACCAGTCGCTGCAGTGATAACGGGCTTCAACGTCGCTATTCCCCTTGCGAGCCTGCATCTTGTAGTCGACCTGGTACAACCGTCCTTTGGTTCCGAAGCTTTACCCAAGTCATCCCGAACCAAACAGACGGTCCAGAGCCTCCTCTACTCTCTTACACCTGTAGTATATATTGCCCTCCGTAAGCAAACCTTCCACTGTAGGTAAGACGCATACTCACCCTGCCATAGACATCATTGTACAAGACCATCGATACGATATCGTCCAGCACGTTGGGTGTCGTCCCGCCACGTATGCATCCGTGCCAAGCATAATCTTAGTTTGGCTGCCTCCCATTTTACTCTCTGTGGCTACGTTGATACTCTCTGGTGAGTCACACCTCCCTTCACTCCGCCCGTGACCTAACCTCTGACACGTACCGCCTTAGTAACGTTACTCCAGAAGCTCACGCCCAATCGGTCTGAGTCCTTGTATGATACTGCCTCCATCCGTACCTCTCGTTCATCTTCCAACTCCGCCCCCCGTCATATATTCCTCGCCATCGTCCTCGCAGCGTGGTCCATCAACACTACGGCTGTGGACGTTTCCATTCAACTGCGACTTGCTGGTGGGAAGCTCCTTTCTTGGCCATCACTCGATGCCGTTCACGCCGAGCATGGTCGCATCGACATATTCACCATCACCGATCACCGGGCTCTCATGCCATCCTACATGTTCCTTTGGTGGGCGACGCCTATTGCTGCGGCCGTTTACATCGCTCTCGCAGCTGGGAACGAAGAAATTGTGCAGGCGTGGGCAGAATTATCGCGGAGGCTCGGAGTCGCCTTCAACCGCAAGCGCTCCCGACGCGATGAAGTCCGCGAGAAACATCAGTCGATTCTTCCAGAGATGGATTCTCGGGCATCGCTGCCATCAGTGTGAGTAACTAAAGGCACTACACCGCCATCGATTTTCTGATCTATGGTTATGCAGCTTCGGCTCTATACGTCGTAAGCCATCTTCCCGGGGGCAGGTTCCGGCAAGCCGGCTTTCTTCAATTTCTACCTCCAACTCAGGGGTGCGAGACTCCACGCTCCCGGCGCTGTACGAGTCCGATGCATCTTCCTCGTACGATAATTCGTGGTTCAGCTCGGATATATCTCCGCCATCTGGTTGCGGCACAGACACGAGGCCGGAGCCCATCGGTTGCTATCCTTCCTCCGCGGGATACGCCCAGTCGGTCTTCCTCTCCGATCTCTCACCTACTGTCCCGAGACGGCCGCGTTACGCGCAGTGCCGTCAGTCGAGGATCCCCTCTCCTGTCATCGACATCGTCTCCACCGAGGATGATCTCGCGCCGACGCTCTCCCCTTACCCCGATCCCATACGCCAGACCTACGAACCGGAGATGACCTGCTCCTCCCGCTACTTCGACCTTCGGCCTCAGCTCAGCCGCGTTCCTCACGGCAATTCCCGCCCCGGGGTTTCGCGCACGACGTCATCCCCAAACCTACTATCCATGTTCCCGCGACCGCCAAAGGCGCGGTTGGCCCGCCACGCGAGCGAAACGACCACCACGACGCGACAGAGTGGCGGGGAGAGTGCGTTGGGGCGGTCGCATGGGTCGCCAAGCGATCCAGCCGTACCGTCATCGCTGCGAATATCATCCCTGCCTCCTGCGAGCGTTTCTGAGCCAGACCGGCTATATGAAACCAACGAGCCCAGCACTTCGCACCGATGAGGTTAGAGTGGATCGCATAGTAGGGTTCTTTGCGGCGTGTTTGGACGTTTTCACATTCTCGAAGCGTTCACACTTCTACTGTATCACCTGTTGTCTAACATCTGCTTCCCAACGTCCAATGCCATACTCATATCCGCTCGTAATATCTGGCTCCCTGACTGCTTTGCCCGACCCTCGGAGCAGGCCGGGCCCAGTGAACAGTGAACGCCCGCGGGCACCAGAGCACGGCCGCTTCCGCGTGTCTGTCTAGCCTCCACTTTCGACCTCCAAACGTGCTCGCGGTACGAAGCTCTGCGACACGAATCATTCCACGGGAGTTCCACGAGAGTAATGAGATCCCATCGCCACGGAACGGGGCGGGTCAGGGGAGGCCAGAAGTGCAGCTGTCCTCCGAGCCGTGGCGGGGGTGCTGGTGGCGTAACGCCAATGGGATTTCCACTGTTCCAGGGTGCAGTCACTGCAGTGGTGTCTCGGGTCGCTACTCCTGCTTCTCCGACGTGCTTTGGCTTTCATATGGTGTCTGGGACACCGTCGGCGCACTCGGTGGCTTGGGAATTCTCGTCGGCGCGCTAACGGTGTATCGAGAAATAACGAGATGAAACACGGTTTCTCCCTTTTGCGGGCTGCCTCGTCTTCGCCCACTTCTGTCCACCTTATCGGCGCTGTCGAGGATTCGTATGGGAGTATCGCCGCACGCGAGGCCTGCGGCCTCGTAGGCAATGTTAGACGAGCGAACGCTCGTTTTCAGTTACAAAGAGGCACAGGAACTGGCTTTTGGTTGTCGTGCTCTCAACTCGCTCACCCTCCCGTCCACCCGTTCGCCTTCCTGTGTTTCGTAGACGGGCAGTCGCGGCGCACTCAGTCATGATGCAAACCGTTCAGATGCCGGTGACCGCTCTGGTCGCCGCTTTCTTCGTACTGATCCCTGCGCCGTATTACTTTCGGCCATTAAACATTCCGGTCGCCTCGATACTCGCTTGGCTATTCGTGCTGGACGTCGCGTTCGCCGTCAACTCCATAATATGGGCTGGCAACGTGAACCCAACAGCACCAACCTGGTGCGAGATTAGTACGTGTAGCGTACTCGTGTTGCAAAGTGTATGCTGATGACATCTCAGGCTCCGCGTTGATAATTGCGTTCGACTTCGTTATGCCCGCCGCGAGCCTATGCATTAGCCTGCGGCTTGCATCCGAGTCGGTTCTATCCTCGCGCTATCAGGAGGGTGCGATCCGTCGCGACCGGCGGCTCTTGGTCGACACGCTTTTTTGCTTGACTTTTCCTGTGGTTTTTGTCGGACTCCATGCAATAGTGCAAGACCATCGCTACGATATCGTACGCGATGTGGGATGCAGGCCCAGTACATATACGTCGGCGCTTGCTGTAGTTATATTTTGGCTGCCGCCTCTTATGCTTTCCGTGGCCTCTCTTGTTCTAAGTGGTGAGTACTTGATACTATTTTGTTTACCAAGAGCTGAGATTCTTTAAGTGATTGCGCTTCGGTTTATCCTTCGTCGGAGGAGTACTCTTCATTACAGACACGCCTTGGCAGCCGTATCAGCTCGTCCTCCATTCCGCCAATCCCTTCGGCTCTTATCGTTAGCAGTTGCGCTTTCTATCCTCTCCATCACCTCCGTTTCCGTCGATCTCGACAGTCATATTCGCATGACGAATGGCAAGTTGCTTCCTTGGACTTCGATATCAGCGGTGCGCTCAGACTTCAACACAATCCCTGTCTTGCCCGAAAACGCAACAGCCGAGAACTTGTTCTTGTGGTGGTCGATACCGGCTGCATCTGGAATCACTGTAGCTTGCATTGCATTTGGAGAAGAGGTCATAGATAAATGGGTCGAATGCTGGCAATGGCTATCGCACTCGAAGTTGTTCCGTAGGCAGAAGACAAGCCGACGCTTAACGAAGCTTTCTCCCCAAATGAAGGCTAGGGATGATCTTGCATCACCAACCCTGTCAGTATTACTCGTATCTTGCGCTTCACTGTATCTCATGTTTCTATAGGCATCGTCCTTCATCATCATGGGCAGATCAGGACTGGGGGAGTATCAATGCATCACCGACACTCGCAACAGAGGGAGGACGTGCTCGTGATAGCATCCGGACTGGGTCATACTACCTCTCGCTACCTGGAATCCCCAGCCACCCCCACAGCGCGCCCATCTTCGGTGCCAACGATGCTGCATCTTCGCTCTCCTACCTAGGGTTCCAGCGCGATCAATATCTAAACGCGCTGGGAACATATTACCCCGATTCTCCAGGGGCCTACTCCGGAATAGCGTCGACGCACAACTCTATCGTCTCTGTCTCCAACTCGTCGAATATTCTTCGAATGACAGATCACGGATTAGACTTTCATCTCGGTGTACCACCCCTCCCCGCGAAGCCGCGCAGTAGTCATCTACCAGCCCGCGACCGCATGTCCCGATTGGCCCCCGCGCAATCTCTTCCATGCATACGCCGACCACGCGCCGACCTGCCCCAGTCCTTGTCGGCTGCGCCGTCTGCCATCTACCTCTCTCCGCCCCCTTCGCCCGGACTGTTATCCGTAGAGATCGAGCTCCTGTCCACGCCCCCGAACCGTACGCCAAAAGTCTCCTTGCAAAGTCATGCGCCGGAAGCTATATACATGACCGTAGTCAAGGAGGTTCATGACCGATGATGATCGCCTCACGATCTCCAATTTAAACCTAATGCACATAGGACACTCGCCTCGCTCTCATCCCGCAATTATTCCTAGCTCATGACATCCATTTCCGTCTCGCTTCTTACTTCATTGGCTTACCATTCTTGGTTGTATTCATAGGGGTTTCATTTCGGGTTGGTCTCGTAGCAGGACATCGCTTTACGTCGACTGTCAAGCGATCCCTTTGTTTCGTCGCTCTTCCGCTCTAGTACCACAACACTCGGTAATCCTCGCCTTACGAACTGTTACGAAGGAGAAATAAGACTCGTCAATCGCATCGATAGATTCACGTAGTTGTATCATCATGTCAAGACGAGGGCACAATAATTTGACTCAAGGTGATTGACGGCGCGCCACGGTCAGGGTGAACAGTAAATAGAAGCTCGGTTTCTATGCTAAACGTTAGTCTCTTGAACGACTTCCTTCGAAGTTACGGAGGCAGCACGACGACACGCGGATGTCAGGGAGACACTGGCACGATGCATTCTGAGCTATATATATACATATACGCGGATAGCAATACAATCTGAAGTTACGTCGCAACTGTGAACGAACTTGAAGGCAGTATGGATGCGCCAAAACAGACACTATGACCTCATAACCCTTCGTCTGTAGTTTACGATATCATGAAATGTATACGTCAAGATGAATCGGTCAGAAGGATGGTAAAGTATGGCAACGGCGCAGCCGTCACTGATGCGGGTTGGGGGTGGTGTCGTGGCATCGATGTCTGTCTGAATGACCGTAATGAGCAACGCAGAAAGACGGGAAGCAGAGAACTGACAGGGATTAGCTCGTCGCATGTTTCGGATCATGCGATGACGCAGTAGCCCGCCAGACCAAGTTTCGAATCTTCGTCGGTCGGTATGCCAGCTGGCTCGCTCATGAGAGAATCGAGGGCGTCAGGCTTGGGTAGAGGTGTCGCATCAAGGACGAGTTCGGCGATAGCTTGGAATGAATCCATTGAATGATGAGACCTGCTCGAAGTTGGGTGCGCGAGACGCGAATGAAGTGCGCGACAAAGACGACGAAGGATATAGACGCCGCGAGCAAATCACAAGGATGATGCGTCTAAGATATTGAGCAAGGGAATGCGAACGAGGGTGGTGCCGGAGGAGAGCTCACTATGCTTTTATATATGGCCCTATTGTGCCATAATAATATGTCAAGCCCCGTATGCAGACCACAATGGGGGGTAATTGTAAGCATAGGCATTGTTCCTCCGATCTATGTCGGGCGAAGTATATATCATGCGAGAGTCGGGCACGAAGAGGAGGACACTACAAGGTACTGTGCGACAACTTGGTAACAGTCAGCCCTAGCTCCTCTTGTATTCAGAGCCGGCACGTACGCTTTTGAATGCTGCATGGGCTGAAGAGGAGCTGGCGATCGGGGCCTGCACGGTGGTAGAATCTCTACCGTCCCATTGAGGTAACTGGACCGTGGGAAATGTTGAGCAGCCGATGTTACATAATCGAGAACAAAGACGATTTTGAGCTCGCTCATCCCATTGTACCATCCGCGATGGACGCTGCGACCAAGCTCATAAAGAAAATGTCTTTCCACTGCTATCGCGCGCCCAAACCCTTCACACATAGAGCTTCCCTTCCGGCATCATGTTCGCCTCAGACCCCAGCTATCCAGCTTTCCCTGTCCTATCCTTTCTCAGTGGACTTCTCGTACTGGTCCCATTACCATGGCACCTGAACGCATGGAACTCCGGAACATGCCTCTACATGCTCTGGATCTCACTTTCGAACTTTAACCTGGCCATCAATTCCATCATCTGGCACAATAACGCGATCAATTGGGCACCCGTATGGTGCGATATATGTAAGAGTTTGTGTCCCGTAGCAGTACTCGCGATAGCTAATCCGTCTTCTATTCAGCATCGCATATCATTGTTGCTGCCTCGGTAGCGATACCTGCGGCTTCTCTGTGTATCAATAGGCGCCTTTATAGAATCGCATCCATCTCGAATGTGCTTGTAACGAAAGAGCAGAAACGACGCGACGTCTACATCGACCTTGCGATTGGTCTCGGAATTCCACTCATTCAGTTGCCCATGCGTCAGTGTTGTTGTCTCAGAGTTCTTCAAGTAAGCTCATGACCCTATAACTAGAATACATCGTCTCCGGACATCGCTTCGACATATACGAAGACCTTGGATGCTATCCCTTCACGTATAACACTCCCGTGGCATATCCACTTTCGGAGTTGTGGCCCCTTGTCATCGGCCTCGTGTCTGCAAGCTACGCTTGTTCGTCCCGCTCATGTTTTGCTCCGCCTTCACATAAGCTGACGCACCGCTCGCAGTTCTCACTCTTCGGGCGTTCTTCCAACGCCGCGCCCAATTCAGCGCTTTCACGTCCTCGACGTCCGCTATGAGCATCAGTCGCTACTTCCGCCTGATGATACTGGCCGGGATGGAGATTCTGGTCACCGTCCCGCTCTGCATCTACGGCACCTATCTCAATCTCCGACCCGGGAACCTCGCACCTTGGATCAGCTGGGCGGACACCCACGCGCATTACTCTCGAATACACCAGATCCCGTCCGTGATCTGGAGATCCGTACCCGCTTCCGAAATCTCCATTGAACTCTTCCGCTGGAGCCTCGTCTTCTGCGGCTTCGTATACTTCGCCCTTTTCGGCTTTGCCGATGAGGCGCGTAAGCACTATCGTGCGGCCTTTTGGTGGATCGCTAAGCGGTTCGGCTTGTCCCCTAAGTCGCGCAACGACAGCAACCATTCGTTCGTTTTCGCCCTTACCTGTCCGCCGACATGTATTGATCAGGTTTCGTACAGATACTCCGGTTCCACGCTCCCGACATTCATCCATCCATCGAAATCCGACTTCGGTTCCAGTCTCTCGCAAACGCACGTCGGCGCTGATTCGCTCGACTACAACCACGATTCACCATACCACAAACACGTGAACGATTCTTCCGCGCTCTCGCCGCCGTCACCGGCTGCTTCGAATGCGAAGGCGGAGGAGGCTCGCAGGGACGAGCCGAATACCCCTTCTACCCCGCCGCCTCTCTTCGAAGTGATCGACATCTCTCGCAACGCTTCAATGCATAGTCACCCAGAGGCATATGCGATTGCTCCTTGGATGGCGGAGCAAGGCCACCATTATTGACCACCATCCCGGTCACCCGAGAACGTCTAGTCCTCCCGTTAACGTCCTTCGGCCTGTCCCTCACTTCGACTTTTCCGGGTCAGGCATAACACACCTTAGTGCTTCGCATCTCATGCCGAGAGAGCCATGTGTGCTCATATTAGTGCATTTCATGTGAATGATACGTTAGTATACACGTAATACGATGCCCATTTGTAGCAATAGCTTTACGTATGAATGTATCCACGAGAAATCCAGTCTGCAGTTACCGAATGGTATCAGCTTGCGAAGCGAGCACGATAGCGATCTCGAGCGTTGAAGTCTAAGATGACCTGGGACAAAACGAGACGAACAGTTCAGCACATCGGTATGTGTGCCAATAGGATGCCCCGCGAAAATGGCCTGAATGTGACTATGAACGGCCCATGACAGCCACGGTATTCGAGATTTTCATGATGTGTCTCTAGCACAACGTGATTGTCATAAAAGGCGGAAGGATCAATACAGCGATATATATAACCCGCGACGGAAACTTGATAAATATTAATAAATACATGCATTTGTGAAGGTAGCCATGAATGAAGCCATGTTATACGATATCCTGGGTGTAAGCGTGATCGGAAGTCATTGTGTCGTGGAAGGTGTATGGACCAGCGGTAGGCGGGCAACCGGTATTCGAGCAGGTATATGAAGACGGATATGCGATGGCCGGGTTGGCACGAAGAAGTTCGTAAGATGGTGGTAAATTCCGGGTTGACAGCGTATCTTCGCTGCCGGTGGAGACGCTGGCCAGCTCCGACTTGAACGGCGAAGAGAGCGTGACATGCGTCTTGGAATTCGTGCGAGAGACTCCCTGCATCTTGGAAGGGGATACTCCAGCTCGGCTTCGCGAGGAGATACGACCGGCAAGCATCGACCTGAAATGCAGTTGCCGCAGTATCGTGCGGCGCACCCAAGCGACCGATGACTGGTATTCCTTGACGGCATCTTCTCCGAAGGCGAAGAAGGCAAAGAATAGAAAGCCTGATATCGGGATCATCCACCAGGTAACGTAGAGGAGAACGACGTTGAGGTGTGGCACTAAAACGAGGGGGAACTGTCCAATGCGGGAGAAATTGGAATGAACGTCGTTCCAATCTGTCCAAGGCCGCAAGCCGTCCATGAAAGTGGCATACATATTCGTTATGCCAACGGACAAGCCCCATGTCATCTCGACAAGCGCCATGGAAATGAGGCGGAGATATCTGGACGTGGTCAGACCGGACTGGCCCGACTGGAGGTGTTTGGAGAAGGTTGCCCGACGCTGAATGAAATTACGAAGTGAAAGACCTAAGAAGGTGGTCTCAAAACGGTGAAGAATCACGATAACGGAAGATAACATACCGGCAAACAAGCAGGAGATGACGGAAGCCAATAGTGGAGGCATCAGACTAATCAGGATGGCAGGCCAGGACACGTAGATAGTTGGCCGGCAGCCAACAGTCTGGATGATATCGAAGCGATGCCCTTGCACAATGATATCTGAGAGATATAGGTGCCGCAAGTCAGCGATGCCCAAAACAAGGGGTAATCGACTTACAAGCACCGGTGAACAGAAGCGGAACGCCATAACAGAGCAGCAAATCGATGATGAGAGCCCGGCGTTTGTCGTCATGAGTTATGCGAGCTCTTCGCAAAGACGAGATACCCTCAAGTCGGATAGTGAGGCAGAGACTTGCGGCTGGTAACGCCATAGTCGCGTACATTTGGAAACGCGTTGCTGCAATGATATCATTCAACATCTCTCACGTTGGGATAAACGCGTATACACGTACTAATGTCGCACCACGTAATAGCCCGTATAATCGCATCCTCACTCCATAATACGGCGTTGATCCCCCACATGAGATTGCTCAAGAACAAAACGAGGATCATGCTGACGGTAGCGACGTTTCGCGAGCGCCAATGCCAGGGTAAAGGCACAAGAACTAGTGATGCAGCCAGAAATGGAAGGGTCCGCATAGCGAGAGGTTGGGTGAACGACATGTTGTTGGGGATGGCTTTGCCAACGGAAGGTGGAAATTTGCGGTAAGAGGCGGAAGGTGCTTCGATGGAGTCCTATGATCTATAAGCTGAGCATGAGCAGCACGGGTTAGGGCGTAATGGCGGCATTCGATGCTGACGGGAACGCAGGCCAAAAGTAGATATCCATTGTCTACCAGCCATTGTAAGTCGAACGCGAGGGACTGAAAGGACAATGGGCAGCCGGCTTGCCGGAGTCTGAAATACGGTACCCAGGCACGTGATCACTGATCAAGTTTCGCAACCCGCGGCGAGGCCAAGGTCAGGGGCCTTCTTCTCGTATCAAACAATGTCGTCTACGTTGTCCATTGTCTGCTCCTCATTCTGCATAATCCTATCGTATAAATTTCACGTACTCATCTGTCGCACTGCCCATCCCACCTACCACCTTTCCCCGCGACGACCGCACTTCGTTTCTCCTCCGTGAGGTTGACACCTTAAACCTTTCGAAACCCACACCAGATCACATACTCGATTGATTCACCACTGTCATGGACGTGTTCGCAACCCTCTTTCCTCTCGCCGAGGCTACTCCCGAGCAATCCGGCTCTGCTCCAGAATACTCCGATGACTCTCCTCCCGTGAACGAGGACAGCGCGTCCCGTCTCGGGTTCTACTGCATCATATCATGATTCTGCCTGTGAGTACTCTATTACCTCACGAGTTTCTCACTCCTCCTGATCCGGTACAATTATATCAAGTGAACGATTGCTTCCCTCCACCCATGGATCCTCGGGTATGACATTCTCAAATCGGTAAGTGCAAACCCGTAACTTCCCATACACTGGCTCAGGACCGAGCTACCGAACTTAGATACAGTGCCGCTAGCCGGTAGCTCACCGTTTCAACCCTTCGTCTTCAACATCGAGACGGTGTCGGGATTCTATTTACTGCTATGTATTGTTCGAAGCACAAACGTAAAACTGTAGCGATCCAACCACATGTAATCCCCGCGACCCAGTACAAACTGTAATCTTGGCGTAATGGCAAACGTTTTTCCTTCTATCGTATCGACCTTCTCGATTCGCCGGGTCGCACAGCTACCTGATGATGCCTCTGCGGTAACGCCGAAATTCCCTATCGAACGTTTCTGCTTCAACGTTCAGCCAAGAAATATTTCACGCCGAATCCGATCTTTCTGGAGTTTAAGCTTGCGGCTGGCGACCACAATACGCTGTGGTCGACCGTCATCGGGCAAAAACAATGGTGTCAAGGTGAATGGGCGTCATCTATTTTTATACCAGTTCCCACGCTCAATCCGGCCATTGTCCCGGGCCTAACTGAGGTATAGATCAGCGCCCTTCTCTCCAACAATAAATATATCGCGGTACGTCTCAGTGCTACGTTGACTCCGGCTCACTACTAGTCGATCCTTCTTGATGTGACTCCTTACGTTATCCCTGTGCACAATGAGTGAGTGCGCTATGACCATTGTCCTGCATATGTAGTATCTCCGAGATCGTTCGTAACCGTCACACACTTCAAAAAAGCTAGCCGGAGATACGTATGATGGATAACTTCCTACAATTGGGTGATGCATAAGGACCAATTGATGAGCCCTTCACCTTGCAATTGGCCCTCGATAGAAGTACTTACAACCAAGGAAAACATGAATTATAGCGCAACTATCACTATACAGAGCATGGTCGAATGTTAAGGGGTATTACTACTACTGTACTACTGTTCGCTCTACACTGCTACTACGTCGATGGTGGTCGTAGGAAATATATGGCGACTAATACAATTGCGAGGATATCGGTGCCGACGGGCATGCACGAGGCAAGAAACACCCGAGACCATGATAAATAGGCGAGAATGAATGCTGCGAATATCGTGTTAGATGGATTACAACAGCAGGATGCTGCGGATGGCAGTGACTCACAGATAATTTAACAGTCACAGCACAGCGCGACTGCCAAGAGAAGAGCGGTCCCAGACCGACTAAGAGTGGAAGGCGAAGTCGTGACATGATCGTGCATGTTTGACTGTAATCTCAAGTTAGGGTTACTATTCAAAGTAGCGTAGAGCATGTAAACGTACCATCAAGAAGAATATAAAGAAAATCAGGCGACTATACAGAAAGAGTACGCGATGCCCGATCCGGCTTTCTCGAAGTCGGCCGGTAGGGCATCCGATAAATCAACGACATCGACGTCGTGATTGTCGTCGGGCTTGGGATTATCGGTGGGGTGAGGGTGCGAGGAGTTGATGAGAAACTCGAGGGATGTGAAGGAGTCCATAACGTCGGTAGCGGGGGATGCGAAGGTCACAAAGTGTCGCGGTGACGCGGAACGAAATCGAAGATGATGAAAGGTGGGGAGAAAGGAGTGTGACGGACCCCTCCACGGTTTTATGCCCATTCTAGGGACAATACGACTACTTCCGCGTCTCGTCCACCATTGTCAACATTGGAGCCACATCCGAAACCTCTGGCAAGCAGGAACAATGGCTGATAGGGTGTCACGTGAAATGGCACGTGACTAGATCTCAGATCTCAGCCTTGACCCGCCGCGCATTGTCGCCACGCGCTTTGACTGCACCCACTAGCTTTTTCGCAATCGTCAATGGGACCGCATTGTCTAATGCTTCATTCAGGCCTGAAGTCAGTCATAAGGCGGGAACTCTGTCGTGAACAACCCAATTGGCACCTCTGCCTTTCCACTGGGTTGTCTACCCAGTTCGTTCCGTGAACGACCCTCTCCTCACCAGTATCCTCCACCATCTCCTTATGTCCGATTCAACCTGGCCGTTGTTTCCTGTCTTTGCTTGCCTGGGATTTGTCTTACCTCTAATTCCTCTTACGTGGCACTTCCAAGCATGGAACTCTGCAACGTGCTACTACATGATCTGGGCTTCCTTGGGCTCCCTCAACCTGTTCGTCAACTCGATTGTATGGCATAACAATGCCATCAACTGGGTGCCCGTATGGTGTGATATATGTAAGCTTGTACTCCTATCTTGCGTAGGTCGTATGCTAACTGTACCTGGTTGGCAGCGACTCGCATTACGATCGGCGTCTCCGTGGGGATCCCCGCCGCATCGCTCTGCATCAACCGCCGCTTGTACAATATTGCCTGTGTTCCGTCTGCGGTAGTCGTCCGAGCTGAGGTGCGATTCTTCGTCCTCTTACTTCCACTGAGGCTCACCCTTCTACTCAGAAACAACGTGCCGTCATTATCGACACTTTAATCTGCGTTCTCCTTCCCATGATCGTCATGGTCCTGGGTGAGCTCATTCGCATGATATTACTTGCATCATCTAACCTTTCAAGCAGCCTACATCGTTACTGGACACCGTTTCAATATTTTCGAGGACGTCGGCTGCTGGCCTGCTTTGTACGACACTATCCCGACGTTCTTCCTAGTCAGCGCGTGGCCGATCTTATTGGGCTTGATTTCTTCCGTCTATTGTGGTGTGTGTTCAGTTCGACGTAGTAACTACAATCTGACACTTTATCTATCCAGTACTATCGCTGCGCGCGTTGATTCGTCGCCAAGCTTCCTTCAGCGAGTTCATCTCGTCAAATAAGGGACTCTCGACCAGTCGCTACTTCCGTCTGATGGCCCTTGCCACAACGGAGATTCTCTGCAACACTCCCTTGGCGATCTACGTCATCGTACTAAACGCCCGCCTTGGCGTCAACCCTTGGATCAGCTGGTCCGACACGCACTACGACCAAAGCCGCGTCGAGGAGATCCCTGCGGTCCTCTGGCGACTGAACCACTCAAATGTCGTCTCCCTGGAGCTCAGCCGATGGAGCGTTCCCGCCTGCGCCATCATTTTCCTCCTGTTCTTCGGATTCGCAGAGGAGGCGCGTCGGCACTACAAACTCGCATTCTGGTTCGTCGCCAAGCGCTTGGGATTCAAGCCCTTGGTCTCGGTGCAAGCATCGAACGGATCAGGCTCTCAGTACGTTACGGCCAATCTTTTCTGCGCTATCTATCCTCATGCCCAACGCCCCTTCAGCTTGATCTCGCGGTCCGGTTTCCGATCCACCGAGAAGGGATTCACATGCCCACCTCCTCCAAAGGCAGGCTACTTCCCGGCCCCTCGCTCCTCCTCCGAAAAAGCACCGCCATACAGCAGGACCTCCTCGGACGTCTCCCTGCTCCGAAGCGACACCACCGAGAAAGGACTACCTTCCTCGTTCACATCGAGCTCCTTCTCCTTGGACCTCGAATCCGGCCTTCCGGCCTTCACGACCGACACGATCAACATATCCCCGCCGTTGCCCGCCTACCTGCTACCCTCGACCCCCTCGTTCGAGGCCATAGCGATCGACACCCCGACCGGCGAGCTGTCACGTCACAGCATCTTGGGACACGAACGTTTACCCTCGGCGAGCTGAACCAGCTCCCCCGCGCCCATTTCAATCGTCTCACGAAACATAACTGTATCCCTAGTGACCCTAGCAGATCCTCGACTTGAACATACCCTCTCTATCGAGCTACCGTACTCTTCGTAGTAAGTACACAGCGTACAGATCCCTTCCTGACCCTCTCATTCTGTACGATCTCCTCGTCGTGGTTTTCTTTGATTATTCCTTTGATTACCGGACCCATATAGGCTAGTTTCGATGCGCGTTCTCCATGCCGAGCGAGCGTGCTACGTAGAGCGGATGTACGGACTTGCGACGCATGTAGGTGACCGTCGGGCCAGAAACTGCCTGACCGGATCAGCGGTGAGCCATCGATAGCCAGCCGTCTACTATCGGATAATTGTCACTGTCTAATACCAGATACTAAGTCTCAGCAATTCGAGCGTTTACAGCATGATAGGTCTGATCGCTGAGGACATGATAGTGAAGGAACAGGAACCGCACGCGAGCGTCACATACAAGCAAACGACCGCCGTACATACGGACATGCACCTTCCGACGCCAGTGAATAAGTAGTTTGGCCCGGTGAGTCCCCAGCAGCGAACACCCTTGGCCATTAACAGCACAAGAGAGCACAACTCTTCCCCCATGCCCAGGCTCGACACTGCGATATCTGCAGAGTTCGCCTCCGCGGCTGTCAGACATCTCTTGATACTGATCCTGACAATGTCTGCCACGCCCAAGTGCTCCGCATCGCCGTTGAGCGTCGACCGCTAGATCGGTGTATTTTTACCAGCATAGTCGAGGACGCTGTGACCAGGAAGAGACGCCTGCGCCGTCGCGCGTATACCGGTCGCCCCTGATTCGGAGCCTCCGTCGTAGAATGCACAATGCATATGGACAATCCGGATTCTTCATCCCAAGAGCTCGTCAAGGAAATCCTCCAGGCCATCTTTTGCGTTTGGGTCCTTCTTTGATTCCTGGCCAGGAAGGGGAGGCGCGACGAGCACATCTTTCTCTATAGATAATGGCATCAGATCTCAGTGTTTGCTGCAATCTCAATGTAAATGAAATGAACGGCGCGCGATCGGGACATACCTCGATGTGGCCCTTTGCCCCGTCCAGCGTTTGCAACCGAGCCTTGAAAGGTGGGTTTCGCCGCTTGAACGCGGAAGCGCTCCTTAAGCTCTGAGGGACGCAAGAAAGGTTGATGATCTACGTCCATGCATCTGAGGAGGGCGAAATGCACATACCACGATTTGCATCGGCGACCGCCTTCTCCCTGAGCATCTTCTCCAATTCGTCGTCCAAGGCGATGTGCTGTACTTTACCCTTTCTCTGCTCCGCAACCTTCCCCTTGCTTTTCCCTCCTATCCCTGTAGGCAAGTGGTCTAAAGAGTGATCCACCTCCTGATCGTCCTCACCGGGTGTCGCGTCTTCCTCATCGTGCAACCTCTGTTTTCGCAGAAACGCGCTCAAATCGACCTCGGGCTCGACGATCGGCTCGCCATCCGAGCCCAGTTCCGGATCCTCTTCCTTGTACCGATCCGCGTTGCTGCCCAAGTTTCGTCTCGAGTACTTCGCGCGGAGTTCTGCCTCCGCCTCCTCGTCCAGATCCTCGGGCGCTTCGCCTTCCAGGAGGATGCGTTCGCGGAATACAGCCGGGCGCCCACCACCCCGTCCTCGACCGCGGGCGCGGAGAGCTTTACCGTGACCGCCTCGTGGCTTGTGAGAGCCCCTGCTGCGCTGCGAGCTTGAGCCTCGGGAGGCAGAAGGTCGAGATGATGCAGTGTCCATAGATTAGTTGTGACTTGCGAGCGAGATCTGCGCTCGGACTCTTATATCGTCGATAGTGAAGCGTTTGCTAGTGTTTGAAAGAGCACGTCGATAGTCCCTCCTGCAGCGGTGGACGAAGTAAAGCAGGCGTGGTCATATTGGTGGCGACGACCGCCGTTCATCTTGTTCCTGACCCCCGCCGCCCCGCGCATCGCGCAACCACTCCTTCCCGGTAGACTCGCGCCTACCGGAGTGTATCTTGCCGATTGTCGCGAACGATGGGACAGTACGATCCCGACAAATGGCTCGCGCAGTTAATGGAATGCCAACACCTCTCCGAACCCGACATGAAGCTGCTATGTGATCGCGTGCGCTCGATCCTGATCGAAGAATCGAACATTCAGCCCGTCTCAAGCCCGGTGACCATATGCGGCGACATACACGGGCAGTTCTGGGACCTGCTGGAGTTGCTACGGAAGGGTGGTATGGTGCCGGAGACGAGCTACATCTTCATGGCACGTAGGTTTTTCCTATACCATGCGGACTCGAGAGAGGAATGTTAAACATCGTGTGCCATTTCAGGGTGACTTCGTAGATCGAGGACATTACAGTCTAGAGACGGTTTCATTGCTACTGGTGTTGAAGGCAAGATACCCCGACAAGGTGACTCTGCTGCGAGGGAACCACGAATCGCGGCAGATAACACAAGTATACGGATTCTACGGTACGTCTCTACGACAATTATGATATAAGGATGGGACCTGAACTGCGAGCACAGACGAATGCCAGCAGAAGTATGGTTCGGCAACAGTATGGAAAGCCTGCTGCAACGTCTTCGACTACCTTAACCTTGCTGCGGTATATCCACCAGTTACATCGGCGTACATGCTCTCAACGGAATTGGCAGATCATAGACGGCGAAACGTTGTGTGTACATGGCGGCCTCTCACCAGACATCCGGACGCTCGACCAAATACGCGTCTTAAGTCGGGCGCAAGAAATTCCGCACGAGGGCGCTTTCTGTGGTGCGTTACAGGTTGCATCCGTGAGCAACGAATTGATGCTATGCATTTGCATTCAGACCTCATGTGGAGTGATCCGGATGACGTCGAGACATGGGCGGTAAGCCCACGAGGAGCAGGATGGCTATTCGGCGCGTCCGTGACAAGAGAGGTACGCGCCGACATTCCAAACTCGATATATAACCTGATGTTTACATTGATCTGCAGTTCAACCACGTCAACTCTCTGTCGCTCATCGCAAGGGCCCATCAACTCGTCCAAGAAGGTTACAAGTACATGTTCGACGACGCGCTCGTCACCGTCTGGTCCGCGCCGAACTATTGCTACCGCTGCGGCAACATGGCGAGCATACTGACCCTTCATGGAGACGGCAATGGCGGAGAGGGGGAGGGAGGAAGGGAGTTCAAGGTATTTGGCCCAGCGGAAGAGAACGAGAGAGACGTAGGTAAGATGCCGGGGAGGAAGATGGTAAGCGTCCGCGATCCTTGGACGCAATCACGGGCAGACGAACTGATTTTACTAATTATAGGGGAACATGCCTTACTTCGTGTAAGAGTGGTATGGGCCCTGCCCGCCCTCCACGTTCTTTCATGTTTTTTTCTGCACTACTATACTACAGCACTCGGATGATCCTGTATTATTGCCACATATACTTTCTTTACCAACCGGATGCGTCCTGGAGTACGCATCTCCCCATGGAACACAAGATCTCAAGATCTACACAAGCTCTTCCAATGCAATTAAGTCAGTTTAGCCCGAAACTGCTCAACCGAACTGACTAAAATTGCCGCTTTCGGCCACCCGCGCGCGCGTATTTTAATCGGCGGCACTCTCTCTCCATATTTTCGACGGGACTGTTGCTCTGTGCTTTCTCCACTACTAATCAACGAAACTCTGCTTTCCGATCCATCATGAGGGAGATCCTTTACATTCAAGCTGGTAATCTAGCCAACCATATCGGCACGCATTTCTGGAATACGCAGGAGAGCTACTTCACCTACGGGGACTTGGAGGACGCGGAGGCAGAAGATCCGCTCGTGGATCACGACAAATCGTTCAGAGAAGGGCTATCTACGAATGTGAGTTCATCCTTACCTGTAATCGTGGTACAAAACACTGACCGGCCCGCGTTAGGGCCAACCTACATACTGCCCGAGAGTCTTGATCTTTGACCGACGTGGTCAGTCGTACGGTTAGCTAGCACGACGTAGCGACAGTTTATTGTGATACCTAGATTAGCCAACTTCGGAAGTTTGGCCAGGACTAATGATCTCTATCCGGAGAAGGACGCGGACATGACTCCTTGGTGCGTCACATTCGGTGCGAGGTTGACGCGTATTTGCTGACATTCTCGCATCCTCCAGGTCTGGCGAAGTCGTAGAATTTGCTCAAGATCCGGTGCCTAAGAGCCAGTATTTGCGACATCTTGAAGAGGAGAACGAGGCACATGACGACGAGAACGACGAAAACGCGACTGCGAAAGCCGACCCAGGAATCCGATTCTGGTCCGACTACTCGCACCCGTACTATGTGCCACGGTCTATACACAAACTCCCGGACCCTTCGGCGGCTGAGTCCCCGGAGACCACGAACTGGGCAAGTGGTCAAGCGCTGTTCAAGCAGTACGATTCGGTTCGTGGATACGCTTCACTGGCATGCAGCATGTGGGATCATCAACATGTGCATCACATAGGATAACTCTCTAATGGAAGAATCATTTCGACAATTCGTCGAAGAGTGTGATTCGTTACAGGTCTGTCATACGTTAACAGTGTCGCGTCGCTGCTCTATTGACGACCTCTCGCAGGGAGTCCAGTTGACTTACGACGTTCCTGCATTCGGTGGCTTCATTGACTCATTTCTACAAACCTATCGCGACGACTTCTCGAAGTTGCCTGCGCTCGCATTCGCAAACTTGTCGTCGCGCATCACCTTATATGATTCCGCGAGCCGTTGGACAACGACTGAAACGACCGAGGTGAGTATCGATGATGGTAATATCCTGATTCATATCAACTCGTCTTGTGCAGTCTCCACATGTGGAAGCTCAGTCTATATTGAATGATGCGCTCGCGTTGCAAAGCTTGAATGAGTTCACTAGCATCGCGGTACCTATTCAAAACCCGGCACTGACGTGGCCGAAACTGAAGGACGAGATCGTCCGCAAGCTTGAGGTGAGCGCTAAAAGTAAGTATACCCTTTGCACTCATCAACTGAATGACTACCACTAGACCTCGAACATGCATCATACATCTACGATCATTTCCACTCACATCGAGACTGTGACTCTACCCCTTAGGTCGGGCTCATTCGACCAACATTATGATCATGCTCATACGCTATCGGTTCAGGTTGAAGAAGAAAGCGGAAGATTTTGCTTCCTTCTCGGAAAGCTTGAACATCCAAAACGACACACGCTTTTCGCATCTCCGAGGAATCCTACCGTTCACAGACGAAATCACCAGTACAGTGCTCGAAAACCGGTTCTACGACTTGTCCGGCCTGTGGCCTAGCGAAGCTAGGCAAGGCAAGGTTTGAGCCTCTCATTTCGGGGTTATGCAAATGCCGCATGACTGAACTGAACCCACAGAGAACTGCTTCATTTTCTCGGCGCGACGTCTTGCGTGGCCTGAGCGACAGTAGCATCGACGTTTATGCTGAATGGGCAGGAAGCAATTCAGCGCTGACTTCGTGAGTGTATCTTTCGAGACCAATGAGGACCACGGCTGATCAGCCCTCCCTTGCAGACGTTTTTTGCCGCCATTCCCTATCATCTCGTCTTTCCCTCAAACTATCCTGTCAAGGCGAGCGTCTAACTCAAGGCGCCCGAAGATCGTCTCAATGCCGGTCATGAGTTCATTGGACACGAACTCCGCAACCACAAATCTATTATCCTTGCACGCCGAGTATCTACGGAAAAACATGCATTCGTCCGCCCTACTCAACGTAGCGCAGGACAACGGATTAGAACAGGAGCAGATGAAGGAGCTGGTGGAAGAGTTGCTGTCGATTAGGGATGCATATGCAATTGAGAACGAAGACCAGACGGCGGATGACATTGGCGAAGACGAGGAGTGAACGCCGCACAGGAGCGCGGCCCTGGTCGAGCGGCAGCCCATCGCTTGTATATTAATCGAGATCAATGTCTCATTGCATCCTATGAGAACGCGTGTGCACTTCTAGCAGTGTTGAATTATACAAGATCATGAGCACGGTCACTGATACCACTTCTCTCTTAACCTCTTTCTCTGCACCATCGGCTTCGTCACAAAGATGGCCACCGCCAGGCCCGTAATGGTGAGCACGAGCTGGACCTTGTTGAAGTTTTCGTTGAGAACGTCGAACGTCTTTGACGGCGCTGTTCTTGTTGAGAACAAGTCGAGCCCGTACGCGAAGACGAGGGAGGTAGACTCGAGGAGCGCGGGCGACGTTATGATACGCCGCACTTTCTCGACCTGCATAAACCGTCGCAGTCAGAACGAGCTAGAAGAAAGCAGAGCGTGTGGCAGAACGTACGTCATAGTTGTGCGAGAGCACGCGTCGGGGGTCGTCAGGAAGAAGCGGATCGTATTGGATCAGCCATTCCTCCTGCTCTTCGACAGTCGGTTTGCGCTTCGGCCTTCTCGGATCGAGGAGCCGACGGGGGAAGGACTGAATCTGTCCGTTCTTGTTCGCAACTACCACAAAGTTTGAGGAACAGGGTCAATACAGCGCAAGGGGAGAAGACGAACCTATGAGATCCTTGGCCGTCATCCCATACTTGGTCGACGTCGTGGTCATAGTCATCACACCGTGAGGGAACAGGTACACCTGCTCGAGAGCAGACAACGCCGTGCTCTTCGGCGACAAGCTGGACAATTCCGAGCTCCTCGTCTTGTCGTCGACGCCCTTCCCCTCGTAGAGCTCAACGCTCACGACCCTGTACGCCTTCGTCCTGCTTGCCCCCGCGTTGTCCCCGTCGTAATAGTGATACACCAGCCAATTCTCCGCAAACGTGGCGTGGACGTCGCACCGCCCCCCAAAGGCAGGAAGCTTGGCGCGGTAGAGAGTTGTACCCTTCGCCTGGTCGACAACATAGACACCGCAGCTAGGCGTCTCCGGATTTGAGGTGAGGACTGCGACGACGTTCGGATTGAGGTACTTGTAGAGCGTCGTCCGATTGCCCAGCACCTTCCCGAGACTCGCAACGGGCTCGCGCGGCCGCGGGACGATTGTTATGATCTCTTCTGAGGGCGGAAGGGCGAGCGTCCACGTAGGGTAGCCCACGTATGTCTGGATGCCCGGAAGGCGGTCAGAAGACATAATGCGATGGCCTATGAGCTGGCGGCTGCCGGGCTTTCCAGCGCGAAGGGAGAAATGGAGCGAAGGGGCAAGCTTTTTCAGAGCACTCTTGACTTTCGGATTGTCAGGGTAGGTATGGAGCTGCAGGAACTCGTCGAATAGGAGAGCGGTCTTGATTTCCGGTATGAAATACGACTCCACCAGGGCGCCGGGAATAACGTCGATCCCTTGAATGAGTGGCGTCGGCGCCGCACCGCTGGCGTCTGCACCTGTGAGGGCGTCAAGATGGAAGACGACCGTGTCGACGAGGGTCTGCGAAGTCCGAGGGCTCGTGTCAACGGATAAATACTACCAGAATATGGATATATGCTCACGTTCTCGGCACGTCGCTGAGTGATGAGCAGCACCTCCGGTTTGCTCCCATCGTCGGCACCGGCCATAACAAACAACTTTACGGGCAACACCCTCCCGCCAACCTCAGCCGCCCAGCCCAGCCCTAGCACACGGCTCCATACAATCTTGCCCGTGCTGGAGTCAATGCCAAAGACGTTCCCAAAAGGCGTGGCCGCAACGATGATCTTCTTGAGCCCGAACGCGTCCCGGGCGAGCGATGTCGCGTTCGACGGGTTGACAGGAGAAACCGGAGCTGATACAGACGCGTACGAGCCCGTGGCGAACCGCTTGGCGAAGTGGGCGAGGTACTCTGGTAAGTTCTGTGGTGCACAACGTCAGCACACGGACTCCTGGTCGATAAGAATTAACGATTACGACCAACCTGAGCGTCGGCGAAGTGCCGCGTCGTGCGTGCCAGCCAGCCTTCATGATCGCGCGCAGCGCCTTTGCCATCGCCGCTCGGCTCGGGCAGGTCGACGAACTCGGCGACACTGATGCTCGCCAGCGACTCTTCCCTCGTCCACGATACCTTGTCCTGCGTCCACAGCTGCACCGCGCCGGTCGTCGTCGTGAGGACTATGCGAGACACCACGGTATCCGTCTGCGGGTTCGCGGCATCGATTGCGACCTGTGAACCGATTATTAAAACGAGAACGCATGCACTCCAGTAGGATTCTACATACGTGCGAGATTATGCCATGCTTGTCCGTGTCGAACGGGAAGGCGAAGCCGCTCACGAGGCCTTTACCATCGCCCAAATGCGCGGCAAATATGTTGTAGCCTGCTTGCTGGTATCACCATCAACACATGAATACACGCACATACTCGACGAGCCAGGTGTGTTTCGTACCTGAAGAGCATGGGACCAGAACACCCGACCAATGTAAGGATGTCCGTCCTTGTCGACACCGCCCGAATACATCGAGTCGCTGTAATCCTTCGAAGTCGCCTATGCATTTGGCGGGTGATCAGCATCCATCCATTTCACACGAAACGATGCGTGCTCACGGATCGCTGGAACTCCCAGATACCCTTGATACTCCCTTCCCCAGCTCCGTTCACATCCAACCTAAACACCCTCCCCGTCCCGTCCTCCTTGATCGCGACGAACTGGCCGTGCTCGGCCAATCCTACGTCTATAATCCGCTTGTACGCGGTCCCCTTCGTCGACGCGCCCTTCGCGTCCAGGAGCGGCGTGAGGTCGACCGAACGGATCGTCGCGTGCTCGAGCCACACCAGCCTCGGGTTGCGATTGGCTGAGGAGCTGGGGGAGGCGAGGTACAAAAAGTCCGTGAGACCGTTCTCGACCTGGGAATTGATCGGCTGCGAGGCAAGGAGCGAACCGTCCGCGGGCGAGAGGGCGGAGACGTGCAACGTGTAGCCCGCGAATGACTTGGCGAGACCGACGAGATAGATGGCGTTCGGGCTCGGGATGATCTTCGAGTATATCACCAACGAGCTAGAGAAAACGCACAAAAACCGGGTCAATTCGTTGGCAGAACTGGAGAGTGAAACGTGAGACGGACGTACCCTTGATCTTGTGCAGTCCAGCTCCACTTGAGCTCGCCCGTCTTCCCGTTCAGTCTCCTCAGATTATCTCCGCTGGTCAGCACCAAGATATCGGATTCTTCGTTCTCGGCGTAGAAGGCGATTGCCACGCCAACCGACTCGGGTTGGTGCAGCCGGCCAACTTCAGGTGCATGTATGCGCTGCTCGAGCAAGAGGTGGCCCTTCAGAGCATCGAATAAGCGGAGGGTAGAACCAGAGGGCCCGGACACAGAGGCTACAACTGTGAGCAGAAGCCTGCTGTCAAGCTCGGAGTAACGAACGTGAGGAAAGACATCGTCCGCACCATTCTTATGCTTTTGAAACGCTATTACAGCGTCTTCGTCCTCGAATACATGTCTCCAAGCTACCATTCCCAAATTCATCAGCATCAGCACTCCGTCAGCGACGCATACGCGCACGCAACTCACCCAGAGACCCGTTCACGGGATTCACGCCCGCCAGCACATTCGCCGCGGTCGCGGCCAACACGACGCTCTCGCTCGCTCCGCCCTCTTGCGTCACGCGGTGGAAAGTCGGTGCTGTCGCGAGCGTCTCCGTGATCGGTTGTCCCATTAATGGAGTGTACCAGTCGAGCACGCCGGCCTCGGACGCGTGCAGGGCGTGCGCCGTCCATGGCGCGAGGTGGAGCGCTAGCAAGGCTGCGCAGCGGTAAACGGAGCGCATGGTCGCGCAAAAGATAGACCGAGAGACCCCTTGTAGTTGTTGTCAATTATATCGCGTAGTGGGAGAACGGCATGCAAAGAAGCGTAGCGAGGTGGCAGACGAAGCCGTGACGCCACCAAGGGCCTGTAGCACGACCTCTTGACCTTCATCAAGATAGCGTTGGTATATTCGCAGATACACAGCATTTCCTGTATGCTACTCATCATGTGTATCGACAATTTGGGTACATATACGCGATGAGATTGTCCGCCCGAAATCCGGATCCCGAGGTAAACAAATGCCTTACTAAATCCGTAGCTTCCAAAACAGGATGGAAATTCGCGAGTTAGGGACTATACGGGGGATGGTTAAAATACACGATATGATATAACATGTCCAGACAACAGGTTCGAGGAGCATGTCAACAAACAACAAACAACAATTCAGAGCAAGGAGATGAAGCGCGGAAGTAGCAGGAGGACACCCGACTTGATCATACACAGCGAACGAGACGCGACGATAGCGGGTCGGACGAGAGTTACGGACAGACATTAGTTGCCAGTAGAACCAAGAAATCAAAAAGAGCAGTTCCGCAGACTCGACTCCGTCGTATTCGTACAATCTGCGTCACCTGACTTAAGAAACCAATGCAAGAAAAACCGAGGCCCGTCGATACTCACATGTTTTCCAGGCACTCAGGCTACGAGTTGATGCTGGGAGAAGGGCGGCGTCCAAGAGGACCCAAAGGGATCAGAGTCGGCGCCTCGCGCTCCGAGCCCGAATGAGAAATGGATCTGAGGTCGCTCTGCCACCGACGTCCGCGCAGGCTCGATAGGGATGCCATGCTGGTCAACGGCGCCAGAGTCGGCGCCAAGACCGGGGTCGTTGTTCTTATCGCTGGAGGTGGTAGTAGCGGCGGTGGTGATGGCGTGCAGGGAGCTCGCGTCGGCCTCGTCGGGGGTGTCCTCATCCGGATAGAGTAGCGAGTCCGACTCGTCGGGGAGCTGCAGCGCGTCGACGGGTAATCCCTGTACCTCTACCGAATGGTCGTCGCCTTCCGTGGTTGTGCTGGGTCTGACCGGCTGGGAATCGATGACGGGTGCCGGCAGCGCAGATATAGCGTGCCCGGCGGGGCTCAAGGACGGCTGCACCGCGATGGCCGCTGCGGGGATCACCGTTGTAAGGTCCCCGTCGAAGTTCTGGGGGACCTGGCTGGCCATCGACGCGCCACAGCTCCCTTGTCGTGATGGAGTCAGGGCTCCACCCACGAGATCGGGCGGGTCGGAAGTGTTCGACACAGGCGCATAAGTGATCGGCACGAGCGCCTCAAACTCGTCCAGGACGAAGTCGGCGCCGGTTTCCGCGCGATCTTGGCAAAGTTCTGAAAGTTCTGTTTCGTCACTTTGCGATGGCGGATGGCGGTAGAACAAGGGATGCGCACCGTCGTCTGAAGGGTAGAGCAGGACATCCTCCTCTGAATCAGACCCGTCACCTTCCAGGGGTCTGGGATCGGCTGCATCGCTTGTGTGCGATTCCGGGGCTCGGTGCTGCTTTTGGTCAATGTCCATCGCAAAGTTCTTAGGCTGTTCTGAGCATCCCTCGTAAAAGATGGGGATACCGACGTCGCCGGCTCTGTATCCGTCAAGATGAGTGGATGCGGGTACGTCTTCTTTTACATTGGTCCCCGCGGCATGTTTGGCATCATCTTGGAGCGACAACGGCGCACGACCAGGTATTCGCTTCGGGATGGTGATACCTTAACGAAACATCCAACTTGTGAGCGCATATATTCACAGCCGGATGACATCCAAGTGCAAGACAAGTGAGAACTCACGGAGACAGGATCTCTTATAGAGACTGGACTCCTTCTCCACCTCCCACCTCTCGAGACATTCGGGGGCGAACACACCGCATTCATGGATCCAATCGGGCCGCCAAGGCGCGTTCGTTTCAGGATCAATGCCGACCCACCTTACCAGATACCACTTGCCACGCTCGTCGTCGGCCTCGCCCACAATCTCCTGGACCTCGTGGAAGTCGGGGTCCATGTGCGGCCTGCTCTTCCTCGTCGTCGTCCACGGCTTGCGGCGGCGGCGGCGGCGATGGGTTGGCTTCATGGGAGCCATGTCGGTGCGGTAGGGCAGCGGAAGGTGGAGAGACAAGTGCCCTCGGATCCCCGGTCACTCCCATCGTGCAGCCTCCGCGTACGTGATATGTACATAAGTATGAATATCGCACGGGGATCTATGAGAAGAGAAGTGCGAAGCCCGGCCAGCGACACGTGCCCCGAGAAGCCGTCGTGGCTGGCTTCTCGCCGCTCTGGGCCCCGGATGACACGGTATCAGGAACAGGACGACCCTTGCGACAATACTTAGAGCGCAAGCAAGTGGACTTACACTCATTATTGCGGCAGCAGACAGGTTAACGGCATAATTTGCTGCGCAATTCGTTCTTATATCGCGATCATCTGAAAGAACCGTGCTCCCAGATGTAAGTTCGAGCGATCAAACTAGTAAGTACCGCCATGCGGCGCCCTCGCCAAGTTTAGTGAGGCCGCTCCTGATCTCAGAGGGGTTTAGATCCGTAGCGCTTCGAGGCGACGGAACTCGCTGCCACGGCGAGTCACTCACCACTGCGAGGTCGGGCATGTGATGGCATCTGGTCTAATACTTACTTCGAATCGCAAGTACGCCTTCGCTCGTATACCCCATTTCTGATGATCGCATGCCTAGGTATATCTTCCCGCTACGCTTGGGCGGGTCCGAGAGGAATAGGAACAAGTTAGTGCAAAGGAGTCCACGGGTCCAGGACCTCAACCATATGGTTTTCGAACTCCCTAGTGACGGCCCGAGGATCTTTGCCTTCGCGACTCCTGGTAGGTATAATATCCCCGGTCCATCGTCCCTTCTCGGGCGCTTTAGTAAAGCCGAGAATGTCGCCCATGGAAAATACTGTCTCTTGCGGCTCATTGTGTGCGTCAATCACACCCGAAAAGCTGCGAGTGACTTGCACTATATCGCGTCAGGCCCTGGATCTCATACCGGCAATATCAAGCGTTAAGGCTCACTGTAACACCTCGGTTTGTCGTCGTCATTGTTGCGAGGCCCCGAACTGAACCATAATGAGTACTAGTACCTCGATTTAAACAACGAGAAGAAACGCACATCGGTCGCGCGTAGTCCGCCGGAAAGTAGCCAGACTCTTTCGTTTGTGTCAGCCGATACGCCGTGCATTTGTGGTCCCCAACCGGCCATGTATCGGGAACATCTGTGATCACTACCTTTTCCCCTTGCCACAGTTCCTCGTTATCTCTGTTCTGATCGTGAAATCGGGTGACGACTACCAACGTCAAAGGTGGGAAATACGCCCAAACTCGTATCACCGGCGTACTCACCAATAAACGGCAATTCATTTTTGTGCAGTTGACTAGTGTACATCGGCCTAATGGCGAGTCCGGATGAGTATGATCATTGGATGGCGAATACTACCTCGGCAACTCACTAATATTCTTCCAGCACCGTTGCCAACACCTGGCAGGACGTCTAGGGAAATTTGGGGCAGGGGTGCACTCAATTCGTCAGACGCCACGAATCCGCAGAAACAATCGCTCACGTCACCTCCCACTTGTTTTGCTCCTCCAACTACTGAACGATGTGCCCTGGAAGCGAGAGAAGCGCGAACCCGAATTATACTCACCAACCACGGCTTCTTCACGGGATGGATCAGTGACTGCGAGCCGCGCGAGAACTTGTATGATCTCCTCGTTCCGAGGTGTCCATGTCACCTCAGTGGTAGGGATGCACGAAATTGACGTGGTGGAGATTGGAGGCGCTCTTTGGTTTGCTGCATATTCTTGTGCTATACTGAGTATCATATAATTCGACGTAAATCTAAATTATTCAGTTACTCATGATAATTAAAAAGTTCAGTAAGACTGTTACGCTTGAGCAAACGTAACGAGGTTAACGCTCTCGGTTGCCCCTGAAGAAATGATAGGCTCATCGCCGTCGCGATTCCGGGAGCGTTCAAGCTCCCAGGTCCATAATCCTCTTTCTGGCGCTTTGGTGACGCCAACGACGTGTCCAGGTGGCACAGCATTGTGGGTTACAATCGCGCCCGAGAAGCTGCGAGTGACTTGCACTAATTCACAGTGCCGGGAGTTAGTCTGCAAGCGAACAACGCGGTGCATTGGTACTCACGGTAATATTGTCGTTGCCCTCCTTCGGCATATATGGGTGGTCCCGAACTGAGCGTAAGTGAATACCATATCACGACTAGGACGAGAGCCAACGTACATTAATCGTGTATGATCCGCCGGGAAGAAGCCGCTCTCCTTCGTGAATCTCAGCCGATAACCCGTGCACTTGGCGTCGCCATTCGGCCATGTCGTGACCAGCAGCGGCTGATCTGGCAACGTGATGTCCCCGTATCTGTTCTTGTATCCCACGCTGCTGGTAGCTACCGACATCCGAGACGTAAGGCATAATCAGGAACCCACTGGCTGATGTGCTCACCAACAACAGGCAATTGGGCTTTATGTCGTTGATCGTTGTATTCGGTTCTATGGTAGAATCGTATGAGCATGATCGTTCGCAGGTGGATGCCCAATGACTTACTGAGGATGTTTCAGAAAGTTCCCCGGCAGAAGTGGGTGCGGCCTGCCCACCCTTTGGACCAGTCTCCCGAACACCCACGGGGTGCTTTGCGGCTGGTGGGGAACGAGGATGACGTCTCCCTCTTGAATACTCAGAAATCGGGCACCGGAGGGGAGGGGGTGGCGCAGGACAGAATCAGTCCGGCCCACCGTGGCTACGTAGGCTGGTTAAGTGATGCAACGCGCTAGAATCCACGCGCCAACGCTCACCGTAGAAAAGAATGCTCCCTGTGCCATTCATTGTCCGATCGCCAGACGGACTTCTGGGGACCGTTGAAGGACCACGACTACAGGGTCTCTGACGTCAGTCATTCGTGATGAGTGTATGCCATACCGACGCTCATTACGTACGCTGCCCTCGGCTGCCTGTATCGTAGACCGCCGAGTATGTCTTGCATAGTGGGCCGCTTCCGCGGATCTCTCTGAAAGCAGAAGGGGAGTATTTGTTGTAACTCTAAGGTGAGAGCGTTCCGCGCGGCCATGTGCCACCAGTCATACAGATCATCCTCCAATAATGCCTTCTTGACTTGCTCCTGGTTCAAAGATGCGAACGGGACTTCAGCGCTGAACAGTTCCTGAGTGCTCGCGTGTTAGTATGCTAAGCCTGAATGGGCACACCAGACGACCACTCACAACGACAGTCATACCCCAAGACCAAACGTCACAACGCTTATCAGCAAGGCTCCCCTCAAGATCTTCCTTCTTAACGTCCCGAAACTCCCTCGTGAACTGTTCGGGAGCCTCGCGCTCCCATGCACGCCAGCGCAATGCGCCGCTGTCCCCAAAGCCAGAATCGCAGATCAAGGCGCGAAGTTTGTATGTGCCGAGACTTTCATCGCGACAATGCGTTACGAGTACCTGAAAGACGTTGGGCGCGTAAATTTCGGTTCAAACAGAGAAGACACGCCCCGGAAGGCGCGCTCACTTTACCAGCCCTGATATCGCCATGCACTATGCCCTTCTCGTGCAGATGGGCCAAGCCACACGCTACTTCCGCCATCTACACGCAATGCTCAGCAACAACGAGCAGGACGTGTAACGTAGCCTACCAGTCTCTGGCGCAACTCTCGGTCATGGCGCGGCCTTCGCGCCTCCGCCGAGTACCATTCTCTTAGACTTCCTTCAGGAACGTAGGGTGTAACCAAGGAGAAACCAGTTCCTTCAGGATCGTAGGTGACGCCGTACATGGGTAAAATGTTTGGATGGTCAAGCGAAATCCAGCGCGACACCGTTCGAAGCAGTCGAGGATGGGATGGTGGTTCAGCACTGCCGAGGGACTGGCGATGGCTTGACTCAGATCTTCTGCGTCCCCATAATCTTCGAAGCGAGAATATAGGACGGCCACGATCACGAGATACTGGTTCGCGTATGGAGCCTTCGTGTTCCTGGTAATGTCGATGAATATCAGGGCGTGGGCATGGGCGTTTCCCTGGAATTGAGCTGGAGAGGGACATACTCGCTCGTCATCGACCTTGCGTTTGACAGCCTCAACATATTTAATGGCAACTGGTATGCCTTTCGTCGTCCATACGCCACGATATACCTTTTCAACCCTGCCAATCTCCAATGCTATGTCCTGCACATGGATTAGCGCGGGCATGCGACGTTGAAGAATATTGCGAACCTGCTTCACTATTTCAGATGTCAAATCGAGTGGCAGCGGTAAACTTTCGAGAGGCAGATCAAACGCATCGCTGCGAGGGGTGTCTGAGATCTGCATTTAGATACGAAAGCGTTGAGCCGGTCGTGCGTGAGTCTCTGTAGGAAGAATGTGCGCAAGGAGAAATAAGCGGCCCCGATGAGTTATCGTAGGCTTCGCCTTGCAGGCCCTTTATATCAGACAGGAGCTACGAAACGACGTATCAACAATGCCGATGAAATATACTTTACTATTGTTGGTTTTTTGAGTGGCTTTGTCACCTGTACATCCAAGCTATTGCAAGGCTGAGGGTTGATAACAATAGCTGCCCGGGCCACCCAATGCGCACTGGTTGATTGATTGTCTCAGAGCCAGAACAGGCCAGAACAATGTCGTAACCGTGCACCTTCGGGAACCAGCGCTGGTGGCATTTGAGGTCTCGGACTCTTCGTAGAGCGTGCATCGCGCCTGCGAACCTGGAACGTCGTGTAGCATAGGGGCTTGCGGGTAGATACATAATTTTCTGCGGGACCCCTCGAGGCGAAAGCAATATCTGCGCAAGCAAAGCATTCGTACGCGTGACGAACGAACTACGGGGGAACTTCGTCATCAAGAACTTGCGTCCATTGCCGATAGGGGAATCATGGTGCAATAATCTGGGAGGGTGGGGATGATTATTGTTAGAAGTCGGGCAGTCGTAAAACCAGGTACTCACCACCGCCTTCCAGACCGACGCCTAGCACTAGAGGCACTCTTCCGTGGGGCGGGCTTCTTGTTTTGCTCCTCCCACTTCTGCACGAGCTCCTCCGCGGAGACGCCCTCCTTGCTCACCCACGACGGCGCCCACGGCTTGCCCGTTCGTGAGTTCGTGCCTGCCCATTGGACCTGATACATGTCGTCGCGCTCCCCAATGATCTCCGTGATCTCCCAGAGTTCCCCTCCTGTTTTCGGTCCCGTCTTGGATCGGGGCGACTTCGCGTTCGTCGTGGTCGCCGACTTCCTCGGCGACGCGGACTTGCGAGACGCTGCGCTCTGGCGCCGACTGCGAGTGGTAGCGCCAGCGGTCGATGACCTCGTCTTCCTAGCAGGCGTGGCTTTGCTTGCCCGAGCCATGGTGTTGTGATTAGGAAGCGGGTTTTTGTCTGCTGGACGTGTTTTTTTATATCGCTGAGTGGGTGCTTGCGGTGGAAATTCGATGGTTCAAAGCTGCATTACAACGAGTCTTAGAGAGGGGCGTGCAATGGGGGACGGCACCGACTGGTCGTCGGCTGTGACAGTCACAAACACACGTACTGACGCCCGACCCGACTGGTCTCGGATTCTCCCGATGAGCGCGGAAATTGCTATATTGGGGCGGCGGATCCCCTGAACAGGATATTACACACAACGCAGTCGGCCGCTCCTCTGGTCGTTTTCTCCAAGTATTGGGGCTTCAATGATCTTTCACGGCCGAGGATTGTGCATACATTAATGCCCTGGGTGCGCAGCGGTGAGTGAACACATTCAAGATGATGGAAATCCCTAATTTCTAGGTTTAATTCCGAGGACCTGGTATAAAAAGCACCGCCGAAGAGCAACGGCGAACTGCGGGGAATCCATTCCGAGCGGCTCATAAGTGTTGAGCGCTAGCGCTCGCTCGAGCACTGGAGCCTGACCTCTCGTCCGATTGAACACATATTACATGCTATTCAAAACCTCGGCAAGCCCCTCCTTCGCTGGGCGCTAATAATGGCAATCATCACCCGAGTGTTGCCACTGATGCCGTTGCGACTCCCAGACACAGCACTCGCACTTCAGCAAGTCCTGCAACCTATTCTCGGGGGGTAGCAGCAACTTAGCGCACGAGAAAACGTGGACGATACTGGTTCTGCAGAGGTATCAGCAACATCCTTCCTGATCGGCGAGATATATGTGCACTGACAATGTAACCCAGTAAATAGCCGCCTGGGGATGAGTCGCACACAGAACATGCAGGTGCTCGCCGTGTTCCTGCGTAACGCGCCATTGTGATTGCCCATCAAGTGGTGAGAGGTTGTCCGCAAGGACGAGTAGGCAGCCATCTTCGTCTATCTCGTCGACTCGACGAATCTGTCCAACGTAGCATGTGCGATCCATCATGCACGGTGGCATCGGAACGGGCATATATCGACCTGGGATATCTTTCGTTGCAACCCAACGGAGGTGCGCAACACCTCTATAAGGTGCCACGAGACGAGCATAGCGGGAATCGCCGTGATAAAGTCTAGGGGAAGGAAGAGGGTTGCGGTAATGATCGTAGAATGCCTACTCCTCGATGTCATGGTCCGATCGTTGAGAACCACGTTTTATGGGAACTTACCCCGATCTCGTTGCTGTCACTCCCGACAACCCTTCCAAGGACTATGCCGGTGCACAACAGGTTGTCGTGAGATGCGTGCGTATCCAGCACCCGGGAGCTCTGGCTCTGGAGCAGCCATTGCGCAAGCTGCGTGGGTGCTTTCCAAGGCGAGTCCTGTAACTTTCCAAACAATGTTGTCCGAGCATGGTCATCCCACCAGGGTAGAATGAACCGGATGTGGTACATGGTCGTCTCGAACGGCTGGGATAGATCTGTTCTTTGTGAAGACATATTTTAGCGTCTTATCTCTCTAAAGCATACTGACGATGACGACTCACGATATCAGGATATCAAGGATCTTTCCACAGAGGCTATTCGTACGATCCAAGGGTATAGCTCGTCGTATGCGCCTTGAGTGCCAACCCTCGGAAGCCGACATAGCTCGTTCTTGAACGAATTCGGTGTGCATTACGATCAACGGATGCCTCCAAAGTCGGTCCAGGCGAGACAAGGGATGGGTATCATCACACATCGAGGCGGAGAGACAGGAGCCTCGATCCTCGGCAGACATCCTCAGTATGGCCGCATACTCCCGAGGATTGTCCCAACTGCGCTCGTGCACGGCAGCAATTGCTTCAAGGACCTCGTATGAAGCGGTTCCATGCTGCAAGTATCGCGGATCCCTAGCGCTGATATTGCAATGGTATATATATCGCGAGAGACAGATGAGCTGCATACCTGAGGTGCATCAACGGCTTCCAGAAGGTCAGGAATGCACGTGTATGAAGTGTCCATGCCCAGTCTGCATACACGATATGCAAGAACTTCTCCAAGAGTGACCTGAAGACAGGATCGTCACATGCGTTAAGGGTTCGCCACAACGACTCGACAACATGGACCGAAAAAATTCCGAGTGTATCGTTGATGGTCACTGCAGCACTGGTCATGACAAGACAGGGAATAAGGCAGCTCATTGCAAGGACTCGCTCACGAGCGGTCCTGAAAATGCAGGTCAGCTCATAGATGAAGTGAGCATCAGTGGTAAGACTTGCCGTGTGGCCGTTAATAGGGCATTGATATGTAACTTGTTATGCATTGACAGTTCCGCCAGTCGTTGGACTGGGAGCCGAAGCTGAGCGTTCAGGGAAGTGATGTCGACCGCATGATCCAGGGATAGAAGCTGTTTCATATGGTTCAATGATACGGAGTCGCTGAGGCAAACGAGCGCCCGGTATGCCGGAGCAAGGAGGACAGCGTCCCGTCTTCGTGATCGTTGCAATTGAATGTTGCCCATGATCTCTGTAAGGAGCGCTCCCACCCCGCGTGCGGTAAACTCCTCCTTAAAGCGTTCGTGGAATACTACGAGAGCAATCACGTAGTTGATAGCCATCAAGGAGGAGGATGGGTTTCGACTCCTATATAGATGAACCATATCGTAAGTTACCGAAAGCCGGTCGAAATGCGTCAACCTACCGGAGACGATGAACTAGCTTGGAACACAGTTCTTGTACCTCCGGTGTCTTCATCAATGATAGAGCGAATGCATCTCCGCAACCGTCACAAGTGATTTGAGGAAATTGGAAAATCCAATTCAATACGTTCGATAGGCATGCTCGTACCGGAAACATCTCGGAGCATTTCGATGAAGTAATAATGCTGGCAAGGACCTGAGGTGGCATTCAGGCTTTTTCGTGTTGCTATGCGGCGGAATGCACGCGACACATCTGTGTGCGGGGTAAGGCCCCAACTTGCGCATGCCCGGGCCAACACTCGTTCGATCTTGCGTCCGGCTGCGCCGAGAAGGGCGTCTAGGGAATGCCCCGGTCCCAAACGTCCATCCTCGGTGTCGCTAGAGGTAGTGATGTAGGAAAGTTGGTCCATGTCGACGGGAGTGGCCGGAGCACTGTTGCATGACACATCGTCATAATCAATCGCCGGGGCTGATCTTCTCACTGCACGTCCTAATCCCCTAACCATACGGAAAAGGAACGCATCTACTGTAGAGCCGGGTCCAAGTCGATTGTCCTCAGTATCGTCTGATTCGGCTACGTAGGACAATCCATCGAAGTCGCCTATATCATCGTTGGAGAAGCCCGTCGGAGGATACGTGGAGTCGTTCTGTGTAAGAGAATGCATACGACGATATGAGTCTTCGAAGACGCCGCTTACACGGTTCGAGAAGTTTTGTAACGTACCGTACAGTACACTCGCACCTTATAACCAAGGTGGGATGCCACGGAGATAGGGGGGTGACCCTGCGAGTACTCCGAGCACTCCGCCCGTTTAACACGAAACTCCCAGAAAGCTGGATGTACGATCCCGCTCATGTCCATTCTTCAGGAACTCGGATGAATGTGCCAACGATATATCACGCGTTCGGGTGCACAATGGCTCGGAGACGAGTTTCCGATAGAGCCTCGCGCTGCGCGGGGTACCGACTGAAGAATTGAATGACAAGAGCTCGATTGCCCGAGGGAGCGAGATGCGCATTTTAAGGAACACCTTGGATACATTCAATACACCAACCGGGACCATGACCGGGATCTCACCATAGCTCACGGGAGTATCTGGAGTGTGTAACTTGAGTCTTAGATCCACTCGCCTGAATCAGACCGAGGTGATTGAGCGTGGCCCACACATCAGGGGCCATGCGTGGAAGCGAACCATCGATAGTGGTATGTATTCAGACGCGTTCGTAGGATGGACACTAGAATCTTCCGTCTCGAAGAGCACAGCGATGCACTGGTTGGGTGCTCTCTTGGATCCTTCGGCGCAGACCATGCCGCCAACAGCCAAACGACTGTCCAAGGCCAGCTGTATGTGAGATTGCGATGTTTGCGGTCTGATAGCGTTCTCAGACACATACCTGAGAATAGTAGGACAAAGATATCGAGCGCTGATGAGGAATGCACTCAGTTGGGCGCCTGGTATACATACCATGCTTCGACGCATGGGAAGCCTTCATCTAAGGGCGTGAACGTTATCAGAGATGGCGCGCATCGAAGCTAACATTCGTTTGAGAGACACGGACTTTGCATGCGAGGCGTTCTGATATTCAAGGTCCTATCTCCTTGAGTACTAGAACTTGTAGCTGAGCGAGCAGCATGTAACACTTGCGGGGATGAAGTGCGAAGTCATGCAACGAGGGACGTAGGATCTCAACACATAAGTCTACGGCCATGAACTCGAAGGCACGAAAACATCATACACCTTCCAATTGGATCTGGATTCGCGCAATTCCATCTGCAATGCATATGGTCGGCTCGCTTCGTGCATTTGTGTTAAAAGCCGATTGGAGGGGCATGCCACCTATATCTTGAAGTAGGTCAACTGGCAATTCCGAATTCACCGAAAGCTGATGACATCTGAGAGGATGGAGCGCCCATTGCGCTGTGGGCGCGGTGAGCAATCCCTGGCCAACGGGTGAACACTCTTTCCATACCCATAATTGAGATTGTAGAACGTAGCGTTGGCTTATGAACGTCGCATGAGCATGTAATGGATATCGGAACCGGCGATATTGTGCAAACGAGCTCGGAGGATTCGGTGTCGTGTGCCTTCGCGTGGTTCGTTGCCGGGACGCCAGAAGCTATGGTCAACAAGATGAACGACGATCACACGGAATAGGGTATGAAAGAAGAGTGACCCAAGAACCAGAAGCGCACGCATGGAAAACCCCATTAGGCAAGGTGAAAGGTACGACTGCCCCATTCCCAGACAAATGTCAATTTCCTGTGCAGAAAATGCGATACACCGAGATCCGATATCCGTTGAGAGCCATCGATCGTCCCTCCGGTTGGCCATGGCCTCTCAATCTACACAGCACCTCACTATTGGTCCGTTGACGCGTGCCGCTCATTCATACGTTGTTCTTGAGTTGCTGACAATAAGCCAATATTACGCCATTGTGGGAAGGCCGCTCACCACCACACAGGGCTCGGTTCTGCGTAGTAGAATTCTGATCAGCTCGGCGAATGGCGTTGGGAGAGCCGGAGCTACGAAGGGGCACGCACAATTGGGTTCGCCATCAATACACAAGCCCCGCAGGGCCCGTCTCCCCGTCCATGGTCTTGACAGAACCCGTCACCTCCGATAACCTATTCAACGCTTCGCGCGTCGTGTCAACGCCATACATGTACGCTTGCCATTCCGCATCGGCCCACTATAATAGAGTCCGTCATTACACGAGCAACAAATCACGGACCAAGTTAACGAACCTGATCCGGGTTGCGGCCTCCCTGCGCCGCGTTCCGTATCGCCTCGTCGCGCTCCTATATTCCATCGTAGATGAGATGAACGCCAATGTCATTCGGTGACGCTGCTTACTACTTGTTTGGGCCCATCCGGTAAGTGAAGAGCCACCCTCGTCTTCGCCGCACTAGCCTGTATGCGCTCGGCGCGATCTTTGCGCACGCTCTGATATAGCGCGAGCGCGTTCCGAATTTGCCGGGTTGTGGACAAGCGGGCGTTGGCATTCTCATGGCTGGTGGGGCGAGCCGGAAACTTGACACCCGACAGTACGGCCGCCAGGACGGCGGCGTCTTCGACTGCTTGTGCGGCGCCTTGAGCAACGTAGGGCAACCTGTATCGGAGGTTCTGTAATTAGGAAATAAGGTCGTGTCGGAAATGGCGTACATTGGATGGCAGGCATCGCCCATGAGGGCAACATTCCCCTCAATCCATGTTGGCCTGGCACGAAGCTGAGTCTGGGAAGCAGAAGAGGACGTGCACGGGTTGCTTACAGAGGCAGATGGTCCATGAGCTGTGACATCCACGCCGTTTTCAGTGAGGATAAATACCCAAGTAGGCAAGACACACCTTCCACTCCAATACCTTATCCGGCTCCACAAAGTCCAGCAGTCTCTTAACGACAGAGTTCCAGTCTACGGATGTCCATTGGACTCAAGATATTGCTAGCAGCGGTATAGACCTACCCTTGTAGGTTTCCATCATCTCCTCCTTTGAACCCTTGGACGTCCACGACTCGACGGCGTCGTTTTTGTCCGGGTGTGCGAGGACCATGTTGAAGACCTGTGAACGTATGCTTCCATAAGTCACCGTGACCACGAAAACGAAGACGATGCGCGTGTAATCACGGACCTCATGCGCGCGAATGGCATATGCCATGATATGCCCACTCGGCCTACAAAAGCATGTGTCAAGACAGGGTTGGAGTCTCTGAAGGCCGGCGCTTACCCCATCCATCTAAATAACATACGATTATTGGAAACATAGAGATGGATTCAAGATTCTGCATACCGATAGGCCGTACTCGAATCCAGCATGGCTAACAGATCGGGATGAGGAAGCAGCTTCTCGCGTGGGATAGTGATACGATACGCCGCATCTCCTGTTGCGTGTGCTAGATGATCCGAGAGAAGCAGCATCTTCAATTGAGAACGGAATTGAAGGTGGTCCGAAAACGGACGATATTACCCACCCCGATCTTCAGTTCCGTGCAACGCGAGCAGCTGCTTTCGCACAACGGACTTAACGCCTGACGAGCGAGAGAAGATCCGGTGATCCGAAGGAAGAAAGATCGACATCGGATGACGACGTACCATCAGCAGCGATGAGCACGTCGCTCTCAACCCAATTCTCCCGGCCGTCGATCCGGATCTTCGGAGGGTCTTCGAATGCGACTTCCGTGACTTGGGCGTTCGTGATTATGTCGACGCCTGCTTTCCGCACCGCCGACAACAGGGTTCGCTGAAGGTCGGCTCGGTGCGCTACCCACAAAGGGGAGCCGTACTTCTGCTCGATTTCGGGCATCATGGGTGCGCTTCCTGTGACCTCGTTGTCGATATATCCTATAAACTTCTGTCAGCACCGGTCGCCTGCAAGTGCTTAAAACGTTCGGAAAGTCAAGCGATGCAAGGACATACGTCGGAGTGAGATAGTGCTCGTGGCGACAGCATACCGTCTCACTTCCTCCAGCAACCCAAATCGCGCCAGACATCGTGTGAAGTTAGGTGCAAGCTGCAATCCGGCACCAACTTCGGCGTCGTCCAGCGAACGGGCGCGATCGAAGATCTGCACGTTGTTGAAACCGGCCCTTGCGAGCGCTAGAGCACAGGAGAGGCCCGCAATACCGCCGCCAACGATCACAATTCGTAGAGCCGGGTTCTTTGCATGTACATCCAGGTCAAAGTACTATTTAGATCCATGACCCCGAATTAGTAACAAATGGCAACTAGTGGGGAAGGGACGACTCACCGGCATGACTCGCGGTCAAGGTCGGGAGTCTCGTAACGCAGCTCCAAGTGATCTAAGTAGTATGCCCAAGATTATAAACCAGGATGCGGATGCAGACGTGTGTCTTTTTTAGACCTTGCGGGAATGAACTGACAGGCAGAACCGTTCATCCTAGACGAACGCAGCGTCAGCGGACAGCGTGCCGCGTTCGTCGTCCCATGAAGTCATATGGACCATGTTGTGTGATCATGTTGACCGCAGTAGATAATGAGAATATGCGGGTAGATTGCGTGCGGAGCGAGATGCTAGCGAAACCCGGCGTGCTGCTAGGCCGGTGGAGGCTAAGCGCACAAAGGAAAGGGCAATGCTCGTACAGCCACAGCCTACCCGGTTATTCCGGATCCCGCAACGACAGTGACTGGACGGCTTGTCATTGGAGTGTCGTTCTCATTCACTCAGGCTTCAGCGCTGCACGTCCATCTCATCTCACTTTCTATCATGATGATCCGACATTGCCTCCCGAGCTAAGGTGGTAGTAGCTAGCGACGTTCCGCGCTAGTCTGGCCGTAACTTGCTGGATCGTTGCCGGCATTTCCTTGCCTGGATGCAGCGGCAGTTCTAATACCATCCTCCCCGATGCGCTCTCTGAGCCTGACATTGATCTCCGCTGCCTTTTTGAGATTTCTGTGGACATATCGTTCATGATTCGGGCTGTCTTGAGACGCATCGGTCTGCTACAACATTGTAGGAAGGGTGTGAGTAAACTATAACAACCGCCATAAACAAACTCACGAATTTGAAGATCTCATCAGCATGAAATTTTGTCAGCCATTGGTGACTATCTCCGTATGCGGCGTCAACATCCATTTTGGTCTTGACAGAAAGATGAAGTATTGATGTCTCGGGTAACTGACGAGGACTGCCTCGTAGACCTCTACCTTTAGTCAACTCCAAGAATGACCACCACCAGCCGTAGGGAACTCTGTCGAATTGAGAATTGACAGGGTTCTTGACTTCGTCCTGCTCTCGTGGCGGCCTGTGGGGTTGCGCCTCCTGGGCTGGAATACCGCCTGTACTCAGTATTGGACGTTCTGGAATGCGAGAGCTTGTCATGGCGTTCACGTGCATTGAACCGTGGGGACCGGTCGATGGCGCAGTGAAAGATGCATATTCGCCCTGCATTTCTGGAGGAATGTCCGATCTATCTGCATATCCCGCACTTCGTGGGTCGTAGAATAACGTCGACGAGTATGCACGCGCTCGCGCGAGGGCAAAGAGGAAGGCCCCAGGTTCTTCGCCAGGCCTGGACGCCAAGGTGGCAGCGATGATGATCCAGCGGAACGACGGATTGGCCAGGGATGTTTTTTCGATTCGGTCGGCCAAGTTGAATCGTCCACCCACGTCGCAGTGATCTCCGGCGAACCATCGTTCAATTACAATCGTCTCGGTCCAGGTCTCCTCTGTGGTGTAGAGAAGAGGTTCGAATTTGACCCGCTTTTCATCGATCGAAAGTGCATGGCTTCGAAGAATCTAATCAGCACTCGGCGGAGGAAGTAATTGCACAAACCATACAATACATAACGGACAAATCCGTCCTCACGCTTGTAGTCTTCTTTGGTGTAATCGCCGTCGTTGTAGTTCATGCCCGGTTCAGGAAGGAAAGGTGACTGCGTAATACCCGTCGATCGTACGGTGTCCCTGTGATTGAGTGAGGGTTCGTGTGCTTGATCGCGATTTGAATGTATGAATCCATACTAACCACAAGCCCAAAAAGTGTATCTTTACACTTTGTCCGAAGATCCGGCGAAACGGAGCTGCTTCGCGTTCATCGTTGTTACGTGTTTTATACACTTTCCAGGCAAACGCAACTTGTTCCTCGTTTCCGGAGGCCAGCAAGCCGACCTGCCGTCACCGGTGTGAATAATGATGTACTTGACTTAATCTAGTGCGGACCTTTTCGAGCATGCCACACAGTGCTCGGGCAGTATATGCACCTATTGAGTTACGAATGATAACTTCGACACCTTCGACCTCAATTAATGCAAGCAACCTACCACGACTGAAACCAAACATATAGATCCTATCACCACTTCTCCAGTGTCTCATTAGATACCGGTAGCCCCCGAGAATGTGACCCTTGATTCCTCTGTGTCGACGTGGTGTAAGTTTTCCGAACCTTGCAGCAGATCTGCGTACTCACCTGGCAAACAAAGTATCCACCACTTTGACTGCCGTGGTTTTGATCGGCACTTTTTCACTACCAATAGGCACTCGAGCGTCGTAGGTACCGATACCTGCCTGATAGTAACATAACTGGTAGGGTATGTCCTTTGCGAGGAGCTCGTAGACCCGGATCACGTTAGTTATTCCTAGTTGACCAAAGCGGTTGGTTGTTCCGTCGAAACATAGAACAATATTTCTGGGCTGGTGTCCTCGACAATGAGAATCCATGTAGACTTATTTCGAAGAACTAAGCTTACAGGCCATTTCTCTGGATGCAACGAGTACGCTGTAGCAGATGTCGCGTTGGTTGCTGACCATTGGATTATGTCGGGTGCAGCTGTTGGAACAACCAAATGCCGAGAACGACTCTCCGAGGCCATCCTCACAGTGTTCAACGTGATCCGCGCTGTTGCGTTGCGAATATGTCGTGGTAGGTGACCAGTCACAGCGGGAGCAGCGAGTTCGTCGGCAGAGGATTCGTTGTGGCCTTATATTAGTTGGAGCAGTGACGTGAGACAGAGTGAACAGCCTACGTCGGGGGTACCGTTATCGACGAGAATATAGCATGAGAGTTATGAACATATATCCCAGCTCGCGCTTCAGGTTATATTGGGTACCGCTGTAGCTGTGAAAAAGAAATATTATTATGTTACAAGTAGCATCGGTGAGACAATCGCGCCTCCGTCAGGCGGCCAAACGGACTAAGGGTCCCGAGAAGACTACACGGATCCGGAGAAACCGCACAGACGAGCGAACGGGCACAGCCAAGGGGAATTTGTAGAGTCCCAAGGCGTGTGTATCCGAGATAGTCGCCGAACCGGTCGGCTTGGTCGTGTTGACAAAACATCTAACAAGCATAAACGGAAATATTGCTCCAACTTTGTCTCCATGCGAGCCTGTGATGGCAAGCGGCAGAAATGCTTGAGCGAGAACAGCCAGATAGACGCGCACTGAGGAAGCGTGGCAGAACACTATGCTCAAGCCAAGGAAGCGCTGGTCCAGAAACAATTCGAGAAACTGTGACGTGGCTGGAGGCGGAAGATGCCATGAAGATGCCCTTTGTGAGTTTACCGCCGTATACTGGGTGTGAATCGACGTTGGGTGGAACCCCAGGGAGATACTGCGAGCCCGAGCGGAACAGTAAGCAGCCACGCCCGTCCTATACTTACAAGGTTTTGGGACAGAGATCAGTCAATAGCCACCCTCCCTGCAGAAGCTTGTGAAAGCCAGTAATGGTGGGATGGGGTGGCCCCGGTAGGCGCGAACATGAGCTGCATGATAGAAAGTCATGACTGGACGACCATTTTGACCAGAACGTAAGTTCAGTGCTGACCATACAAACGCTGTGAGAGGCATAGGAAGGGCCGGGTTGAGTGAAATATCTCTGTTCGTCTGCAAGGCACAAACCGCGTCGTTTGCTGAGTGAGTTGTTTGACGGAAGAGGGTAGAAACATGACAAAAGGCATCCCCAGAAGTTGCTGGCCAGGGTCGGCCCAAAATGAAACAAAAAACTCTAACATGTAAAGGCGGTGACCAATATTATAATTCAGTCTTCTTTAACGAACGTGTTCAGCAGAGTAAGTTAAAGCTAAATATACACATTCTGCGATACAGTGTAACGACGTTCCTTGATGCACTCAGGAGTGCATGGCTTTCTGCCGCCGCTACGCAACATTATATACATTTAAAACTATATGCATCTCTAATACAATGCTCTAGTATACCTGATGAATTTTTTTGAAGCTCAGAAATGTGTTGTGCGAGAATGAGGAGCTGCAGCATCCTGAGCACCAAACGGTGCAGATTTCGTTCGTTGATGCAGCCACGTGACTTGCCCGGTATCGCGCTCGCACGCACCGTCAGTTGAACGTTTCGCGCCCTTTCGACAATCAACAGGCTGAGCCAACCTATCGCAATACATCGGGGAATGCTTACCCACCTAATACGCCTCGGAGTCGGTTGAATCATGCGTTCCGAGAGAGCATGATGGGCCATGACGTCGTTTGGACAGGTAAGGAAGGAGCTGCTGATGTGGGACGAAGTCGAGAAGGTGCAGTGCAACACGTGGCATGAGCGGCCTCTCCGCATGTCAGCCACAACGAACACATCAGTTTGTTGCAGGTGTGCCGGATGAATCTCAGCTCAAACATGTTTGTTGCTTCGATGGAATCTGTACTAAATACATGCAGCTTGATAGTCATATAGTTAAGTCTGTATTTAGATATGGTTTCAATTCCCTAGGGCTTGTGCACCCAGTGAAAATACACACTCAAAGTGATTCTCAGGGTGTATTCGATTTTTTATAAATTGTCCACACATCCAATCCACTAGATATTTTAGATCTATATACTACATGTACATCGCTACCCGCTGATTTTTTCTCGAGAGCGCCAGTGACAGCGATCATGCACAATTTCCGAATGCATCAAGGAGCGTGACTGCATCAAGGAGTGTCGATACACTGTAAGTCAGTGATGTGTGATGATCTCATCTCATCGGTCGAGGTTGCGGCGGAGAATCTCCGACAATCAGTCTGCGTCATACCCAAAGCGTCCAGCCTCGAATGTTTTCGACGATACAAGAGCGCGCCCGGCCCTCCTTCGCCATCGACCACGACCATCCTTACGACCACCATGTCCTCCATCCGCAACCACCGGGTGGTCATTGCCTCGCTCTTCCTCCCCGTCACCGCCGCCCTCGGCGATGAGCCCAACTTTCAGCCAAGCCCGAACCCTCTCGGCGGGTCCTCCCATCGCTCGCCTCCACCGCTTAACCTGGATGAAAAGCCGGGCGCAACTCTGCCCGAGGCACCCAGCCGCGCCAATCCCGCGATCAAGAGCATCATTGAGGACCTGTCACTGAAGGTGTGTGGACCTATTCACGCTTCCACTGTGCTGTGCTGACAGTATCCCGGTCTAGTCTCGAGGCGCTACGCCCGTGCCATTATCAACTTCAGGCACGCCTGGAGGCGAAATCAACCCTTTCGTTTCACCGGGGCTCTCGATCCCGACGACACCCACTGGCATTCAGCGCCCAGGCGCGCCTCATCGCGTCACAGCTCCCCTGAAGAGCATCGTCCAAGATATTCAAGACAAGGTATTTGCACTCATTGACTCTCGGTTGTACTGCCATTCACATTCCAACAGTCTCGCGCAGGCACACCGGTTGTCACGCCTCAGAACGAAGCAGTCAACCCGTTCTTCAGGAGGGTCCAGCATGAGCGTCAACACGTTCCCTCTCGGGTTGCGCGCAAGAATTCGGCCTCACTCTCGCGATCGTACTCGCGCCGCACCGAACGCTCCTCGTCCAAGTCGAGTCTGAACACCCCGACCAAAGAGAGAGGTAGCATCGTTCCACACATGACGAAGGACATGGCTGAGAAATCGCTTTGCAGGTCTGGGCTGGCACCTCGAACCAAACCCGCATGCGAACGGTGGCTTGCGGAACGCCGTCGACAGTGTGGAAGACAAATTGCGCAAGAAGCTCTGGGTCGGCACTCTGGGAACGGACACCGACCCCATCCCGGAACACATGCGCAAGAGCATCGACAAGCGCATGAAGGAGGATTGTGACTCGCTCCCCGTTTGGGTCTGTACTCTTCGCGCCAAGCATACAATCGAGACGACAGACTGATGAACTGGATGGGCGCAGATTCCGGATGCTGAATTCACCAAGTGCTATGACGAGTTCTGCCATCAAGTGCTCTGGCCGGCGCTGCACTACGCCGTACCCGATGCGCCGAAGACTAAGTCTTTCTACGAGTCTGCCTCGTGGAAACAATACTCTTCCGTCAACCAACGCTTCGCGGATGCTATCATCGCCAACTACCAAGACGGAGACATCAGTAGGTTATAACGTCTTCTGTTATACGTTGCCACTGATTATCATAAAATCATAGTTTGGGTGAACGACTATCATCTTATGATCCTCCCGCGCCTGCTGCGCGCTGCCCTCCCCGCCGCGCCCATCGGCTTCTTCATGCACGCCGCGTTCCCCTCCTCGGAGATCTTCCGTTGCCTTTCCGTGCGCGAGCACCTCCTCCGCGGCGTACTTGCCGCCGACCTCATTGGCTTCCAAACGGCCAACAATGCGCGCCACTTCCGCCAGACGGTCTCCCGCATCCTCGCCCTCGAGGCGCTGCCAAAGGGCGTGCAGACCGAGGATCGCTTTGTGGACGTCGCGGTGTTCCCGATGGGCATTGACGTGAAGCATCTCAGTCAAAGGAAGTGAGTGGTATTCGTGACCGCGGTCGATATACCTGGGCTGACTTCCTTCATAGGCGCGAACCTGAGGTGATGGAATGGTGTCAGATCTTGAGGCAGCGATACGCCGGCCTGAAACTCCTTGTCGGGCGTGACAAGCTCGACGAAGTCCAGGTACGATCAGAGCGATCACTGTGGACACGCCAGCTCATGGGTGGTACCAGGGCGTACGTCAGAAGCTACAGGCGTTCGAAATGTTCCTGGAGAAACACCCAGAATTCCACCAAAAAGTGTGTCAAGGGCAACTCTCAGTCACGCTCGTTCCTTATCTCTGAACGTTATAGGTCGTCCTCATTCAAATTGCACTGCCTACGACGGAAGAATCCGAAAGCCACGGTGGTGTCCTCGATGTCGTCGCTCGCATCAACTCCAAGTTCTCTACGCTCACCTACCAGCCCGTCGTCTTCCTGCACACGCAAGACCTTACCTTCAGCCAGTACCTCGCGCTGCTTACCGTCGCGGACGCGTTCATCGTCACCGCGCTACGCGAGGGCATGGCGCTCCGCTCGCACGAGTTCGTCGAGTGCCAAGAGGATCGCCACCGGCCGCTCATCCTCTCCGAATTCACCGGATCTTACTCATACCGTGGCTTCCGCTCATGTATCGCCATCAACCCCTGGGATGCGCGTGGGACGGCCGATGCGATCCACCAGGCGCTCACGATGAGCGACGAGGAGGCGACCTCGCGCTGGGTCGACCTCCACAACCACGTCGTCGCGCAAACGGCGCAGGCGTTCGTGACCACGTTCCTCACCCGCTGCCTCCGCGCCAACATCGAGCACCTCCGTGGCGATACTGTTGACATTCCCGCGTTGGATACTGCCCCGCTGCTGCCGAGGTACAAGCACAGCCAACAGCGCCTGTTACTTGTCGACCTGGAGGGTACGCTCTGGGTCGGGCGTGACCCCCGCGCGGCGACTTTCTCGCCGCCGGAGAATGCGCTCGCAGTGTTAAAGAAGCTCGCGGAGGACAAGCGCAACGACGTGTGGTTGCTCAGTGGACTGCCTGTGAAGGGCGCAATGGAGAAGATTGCGGAGGTTGTTCCAGATATCGGCATGGTGTAAGTGACATCTGCCGCGGTGAGGTATGCGGGACTCATACTATACATTTGTAGGGCCGAGAATGGCTGCTTTATCCGGCCGAGTCCGCGCCGTGATCCCAAAGGCGACTGGATGAACATGGTAGCCAACTTTGATCTCTCCTGGAAGACGTCCTGCATGGAGATTCTCCAATACGTGAGCTTCACACAAGCCTTGACTTGAGCTCAGATAGTTGACACATCACCGCAGTTTACGGAGCGTACGCCCGGATCGTATATCGAAGAGCGCGAAGCCTCCGTCGTTTGGCGGTTCTGGAATGGACCCGCCGAGAATTCAGCCGACCGCCAATGGGCGCGCCGTCAAGCCGCTGAGGCGCAGAACCATATCTTCGACAGTATCGGCGAGCGCTATCGCCTCCGCATCACCCCGGGCGCGAACAGTTTTCTCGTTTGGCCGTCCAACATCTCGCGATCTACCGCCGTCGGCGCCATCCTGTCATCCTCCGGCCATCCGCTCCACACACCCGTCTCGCCTGCCTTGGTGGGCGTGAACAGGTGGATCCTCACCTACGGCGAGGAGCTTGAAACGGAGGTAGACTGGGACTTCGTCCTCGCCATCTCGGGAGACGAAAAACTGCTGAGGAGGCTGAACGAGCTCGACATCGCGGAGACGTGCTCGACGAGTATGAGGGGCTCAGACGCGAAGTGGAGGCTCAAGCCCGAGGACGCGGTCAAGGTGTTGGAGCAGTTCGCAAACACGGCGTGATCCCCTCCTTCCGTAAGCTTCCCATGTAGAAACTGCTCGTTGATCGGTCGTGCTCCTCGCTTGCTATTCGCTCACCACACAAAACATCACTGAAACAAAGCCGAGTGTACCTATTACTCCAGAAAATTCGTTCTATCAATATACGTATGTTGTATGTAGAGTACGATAGGAGTTGTCAATCATGTTGTAATGAAAGGCTGCTTAATCAGGGCAGATAAAGAACAATTGCAATGGTGCATAATGATTCAAGTCGAAGTCGAAGGTTCGGAAAAGAACTTGTTTTCGGCAAGATACGCCTTGTGTTCTGCTCTGTGCCCCTTGACAGCTTTGTCGACCGTCCATACCCAGATTGGTATCGCAATCTGTATGAGCAACGTGCGTGAATGCGCGATACAATTGTGGATAAGACTCGTGGGGGAGTGAACTGACATGGCCGATGCTATCGAGAATCGAGTCCCAAATCCAGTTATGTCCCTTGGCGGATCCTCGGGTGCTTGCTCGGAATATCTCCGTGAGGATATCGCCGGTAATGTGCGCATGACCGGCCGCCACTCCTGGAACACGGTCATGTTAAGAGCCGTGTATCGACGAGAACGTGCGCCGTGCACACACCTTTGAGCAAGGCATCGGCGGCCTGTTCTGGAGTCAGTCCCGAATCATCTTCCTCGATTTTGAGCGTGATTTTCGGCTTGGTTTTGTTCTCTTCCTCGTAGCCGGGGGTGTACATAGTGGGCGGGAAGAAGATGTGTACGTCGATATCGTACAGGACGAATTCGTTGCGGAGGGTGTCTGCCAGACCTGGAAACGCTATGAGTGTTGGGGAGATGGGGGAGCGGGGTTACGAGACGCACCTCTAAGCGCGAACTTGGCGGGGGAGTAGGAGCCGTAGCCCACGATGGACATGTAGGCCAGAATGGAGGCCACGAACACGATCTTGCCAGGCTTTCCTGCGCGGACGAGTGCTTTGGACGCGGCCTATCCGATATAAGCATTAACCTTTGTGCCCGACACAAGTTGTGCTCACCCAAGCTGTCCACGCCTGGGCCCAGTAACCGTCTTCCAACCCCCTTGAAAGGTCCTCCGCACTCATCTCCACGAAGAACTTAGGTGTCGACTTGCCCGCGCAGCAGAAAACCGCGTCCGGCGGGTTACCGTCGAACAGCGCAGAGGCGGCTGCTATGCCCTCCGTCGCGCCTTCAGACGTGGCGACGTTGTAGGAGAGCGTATGGAAGCGTTGGCCTTCGGAGACCCGAGCAGCCTGAAGCAGCAGCACATCTGTAATACGTTCGACAAAGTCAAGCAGGAATCATACGTACCTCCACTTGCTTGAGAGCGGCATCGAGGCGCTCTTGGTTGCGCGCAACCAGCGTAACATGCGCGCCGCGTTCAGCGAGCTTGACGGCAAGCTTGAGACCCAGCCCAGACGAGGCACCCGTCACGTAGCAGTGCTGAAGTCCTTGTCAGGAAAGACTCGAGGCATGGAAGGACTTGCTCGCGGCTTACTTTCTGCCAAGCGTACCACTTGTCTCCCCATAGGTACTCCTTCAACTGTGCAAACACGCCGGACATGGTGATCGACCGGTGACGCGCGTGAAGTGAGGGCTACCTGTGCAGTCTGCGCAGACGACCTCTTAGCTACGGTCCATTTATATTGAACAGCTTTTCGAAGACTTCATGCAGTCCCGGACAGCCGCGGTGGAATCGCCGAGCGATAGGAATATTACGAACTCAGCCTCTTTGCAGAGTACCCGGTGCGGGCGTTTCACTCTAGTCTTGGACGGACAGACAGTGCAGTGGTCAGACATATTCTATTCGCTATATCTAAGGATACAATAATGATAGCGGCGTGCTATGGATACAATGGTCCCTTCCGACCGATAATCAACCAAGAGGGGATGTGCGAGCAGATAGCGGAGGTAGCGCAGATGATATTGTGTGAGGCGGATGGGGGAAGAGTGGAGTGTACGCAGTTTTGTGGTACGAGTCCCGAGCAGGTTTAGACCATATCGATGGTGGAGTGCCGGTGAACCGAAGAGATGTGCAAGGCGCGTTCTGGCCGGGCAATGGGCTCAACGGCGTCGACGGGAACGTCGAGACTGTGCCGCTGCAAGGAGGCGGTAGGGCTGAAGCTCGAGCCGGACGTCGACGAATCCGTAGGTGAGAACGACGCAAACTGCTTCTCCGCGAAGACCTCGTCGGAGCCGAACGGTGCGACCTTGGTGTCGATCGCGAGCGAGTCCTGGAAATCACCGCCCATGTAGGTCGGGAGCGAGGTCTGCATGTTGCTCGGCTTGGAGGAGCCGTAGCCGGTGGAGAAGCGGGTGGTTGAGGCCGTCGACTTCGTGTGACCGAACTTGCGGGCGACGCTCCAGTACGCGCGGCTGTAGTTCGCCTTGGCCTCTTGCGCGAAACCGAAGAATGCGAAGAAGATGAAGGCGCAAATGATTGGGCTCCAGCGCTGCACCTCGAGCGCGGAGACGGTCATCGAGTCGATGCTCCAGATGACGCGCGGCCACTGCACGACACGGGAGAAGTTGGAGTGCGTGTCGGCCCAGCTGACCCACTTGAACACGGGCTGCCGGACGGTGTCCATCCAGAGCACCCACGAGTTGAGCGGGATGGTAAGGAGGAGGTCGACGGAGGCGAGTGCCATGAGGCGCCAGTAGCGGCTGATGTTCAGGTTCTCGTGCATCGCGAGGGAGGCGAGGGACTTCAGGCCCTGGGCGCGCTTGAAAAAGGCGTGCAGGGTGAGCACGCAGTAGACGGCGGAGACGGCGCCGATGGCGATCGGCCATGCGGAGACGAGCGCGATCGCTACGGGAGTGTTGAACATCTCGGGCTGGCAGCCGATATCTTCGAAGATGTCGAAGCGATGGCCTTGTGGGATGTAATCTGTCGAACGCCAAATGATGCGGTCAGCATCCCGGAATAGTCAGGATAAGATCATGATAGACGTACAGATGATCATCTCCAGAATGGGGATACCAAGGGCGATAAGGAGGTCCTGGATGATCTGACGGCGCTTATCGGCGCGCGTCTGCATAACCTGTTCGCAGGTGGTGATGTGGTATAGGCGGCGGGTGATGCAGAGCGCGGCGGCGGGTATGGCGACCGAGGTACCGATGATCAGACGCGACGAAATGTCGCACCAGACCGGGGCCCAATTAATGGCGTTGTGCTTGAAAACAATCGAGTTGACAAAGTTATTCAAGCACCCGACCGCGGTCCATAGCATGTATAGCACGGTGCCGACATTCCACACTGCAACTTCGAGATCAGCACTGCTGCTCAGAATATAGACACTGAGAAGGACTGCAGGGCAGATCGTCGCGGGAAGACTGATCGTCGCCAGCAGCACGAGAGGAAATTTACTCACCCTCCAAGTGCCAGTAGAGCGGGATCACCGAGAGCGTGAATCCGAAGAACGCGAAGGCGGTGAAGAGCTCCTGCGGGTAGGCCATCTCTAGTGCCCGTTTCTGGGGGTGTCGCGGTGACGAGCACGAAGGGGTACGTTCTCTGAGTTGGCACCGTAGGGATTTATGGAGGGCCCGTCGCCCATTCCTTTGCTTCCGCCCTGAATCCCGCGGCACTACGGGTGTATCGACGCATTTGGACGTCGCTTTGTTCCCCCCTTCCGCGATGGGAACGCTTTGCAGATTGCGCGCGGCTTTTGGATGCCAAAGCGCGATACACGTGAGTGACTTCCGTGACTTTTAGGTAACAGAAGAGCGTGACCGTGATGGCAAAGCGTATGACCCTAACCCTAGATTGTCTGCTTTTGAGCCTCCCTTTGTGAGCGCCGTCCAGAAGAACCAACCCCGATTCGGCCAAGCGTTTGTTAGACTCCGCGGTGGAGAATGGAACCCACGCTTGCGTGTGCATCTTCGGATGGTGGCGAACACATTCGTCTTATCGCGGGCCGGAGACGCAATCCCGGCGAGCTCATGCCAACTTGGGGTGCTTGGAGGCGGCCGAGATATCGATGTTCGGGGCCATGCGGATGTGGATGAAGGAGAGCCTGGAGAGGCATGGCACGACTGGCTCTGGAGGGTGCTTGGACATCTCAGGTCGGAAGCCCATGTAGCATAGCCACCGACATAGAGGGCATGTGAGGAAGATTGTGTCGCTCCAAAGGAGTACAAGGTGCTCCGCGGATGGGGACAGGTTGCGAAGCTGTAGAGGGCAAAGGAGGCGACAAGGAGGGAGAGAGAGCACAACGGTGACCAAAGGGGAGGGCCTGTCTGCAGGTCCTTTTGAGCGCATAGCATGCCGTGCCAAAACAATAAGACCGGCAACGGCCGGAGAGAGAGGGAAGCACCTCGAAGCGGGGAAGGACCGCATCTGTGAAACAAAGGTGCGTCCTCATGTTATAGGGGCTGAATGAACAAACGCCTCGAGGACGACATTCTAGCGCCCATTATCACTATTTTGGGGCCTAATAATGCGCGATGGATTGAGTTCAGTCGCGCTTAGATCAAGCTGCAATGGTCACTCACCGTACTGGTACCGTACTGCAGATGCGCCCATTGGCGACGTGAGAAGGGATGTATAAGATGCGGTGATTATCGCGGAGTGTGCGGCCTCAACTGGCGCAAAACGTGAAGTTCCGCGCCTATTGCCCCGCTCTCTGCGCATTTATTGAGTGAATGGGAGTGCCATGCCGCATATCGCTTCACATCTTGCGCCTTACAGGCGCCAATCAATGGTCCAGCGCGAATAAATATCGAGACAGCATGAAGATGAGAGAGGACAGGGCATCGTGAAGGAAAAAAATCGTAGCGTCGATTGGAGACGCGAGAGGCACGTCGACTTCGGTCTGAGACTGTCTCAGTTACCACGTGGCAATGTGGCGCATGTACTTACGACCCGATTTGGATATTTAGCTCTACTGATCAACAAGAAGGCATGGGAAAATATATTCCATTGTAATGCTACGGTGTGGATAGTCTATTGCTATCAGGTAGATTCATTGCTACAGACAATGCCCAGGAGAGAGTAAAAGACACAAGGGGACGATTAGTAGTACGGTGGTGACAGGAGAGACGATCGCGAGTCAAGTGCTAACAATACAGAGGGAGCGGCGTACGAAAGGCGAAGGTTAATATGCCTGCGTCAAGAGCCGTTACGAGTGAAGAAATAAAGATACGCGATCTTCACGAGGGGTATCATCTATCAGACGGTGCTCAAGCCGCCGATCATCTGACCGCCGCTAAAGGCTATCCTGGCCTGCTCGTCGTCGAGGGAGACCACCGACGGTCGGCGCGGGGTGGGATCAACTGTAACCTCGGGGACCTTCTCCGAGACGGGCGATTGGGGTCCGAATGGCTGGCCCTTGATGTCATCGAGGGAGTCGAGGTCGCAATCGCGGTCGTTGAACGACGCGGTGGTGGACATCTTCGAAGCGGTGAACGAGTCGTTCTTGAAGACGGACCGCTCCTGCGTGATGAACACGGGAAGGACCGAGCCGTTTGTGGTGGACGTGGTGCCCGACGATTTGGACGTCCTACAAGGAGAATCTATTAGCAAGCTGGCGATACGGTGAAGGAAGGCATACATACAAGAAGCTGAGTTTGGAGAAAGTGGCGGAGACACCGAGACGGTTGCCGACAGAGGACGCGAGGGAGCGGTACTGCTTCTGCGCCTCGTCGGCAAAACCGAAGAACGCGAAGAACACCAACGCGCAGATGACGACCGACCACCGGGTGAGCTCGTGCAGAGCCTGGTTGCGGGGATCCGCCCGCCAAATGACGGACGGGTACTGGTCGTAGCGATTGAAGTTCGAGTGAGTGTCGGCCCACGAGATCCAGGGATTGACCGGAAGAACCGTCACATCCAGGTAGATAATGTAGGAGGCGAGGGGAACGGTGCACACGAGTTCTACGCCAGCAAGGGCCATGAGGCGGAAGTACCGCGACATGTTCAAGTTCTTGTTCGTGGCCAACAGCTGCTTGAACTGCGAGCGACGCTTGGCGAACAGCCTCAACGTCATGACTGAGTGGGTGCGTTAGCGTCCCGTATGGATCAGTTAGGAGGACCGAGCTTACTGCAGTAAACGGCAGAAACGAGACCGATCACGACGGGCCAACTGGAGAAAAGCACGTAGGCAACCCAGGTGTTGTAGACCTCGGCCACCGGCCCGATGTCCTCGAGGATGTCGCCGCGGTGACCTTGAGGGATGATATCTGCACGAAGATGTGAATGACGTTGGGCAGGGAAGTGTAAGCGGCACATACAAACAATCATTCCGAGGATAGGAATACCAACCCCGATCAAGAGGTCAATGACGATAGCGCGCCGTTTCTACAGGTAATCGTCAGCGCCTGGTGGCCATGGAATGCAGAAGCAGGCTCACATCAGAACGAGTCGAAGTCACCGAGCTCACAGAGGCAATGTGATACAGCCGGCGGTTAATGCATAACGAGGCTGCCGGAATCGCGGTGTTGAGCGCAACTTGCAGATGCGAGGCTGGCCAAAAATCAGCATCTTCGGAACGTCTGAGACCGGACCATAGCCTAGACATACATATATCACACCAAACGAGAGAGTGAATCTCCGCGTTCCCCTTCCAGACGATGGAATTGATAAAGAGGTACAGGCAGCCGATGGCGGTCCACGCCATGTACATGCAAGTGCCGGTGTTCCATGCTGAAGATAGATTAGCTTGCGCCAATGGAGAAGGATGCAGCGGTTATCTACCTTCGAGATGCCACCGGAACGGTATGAGCACCAGTACGAAGCTAATGAAGGCGAAGGCACTGAAGACCTCGTTGGGGTACGCCATAACTATCACGGAGAGCTGATTTAGGAAACGGCGGCTGAAGGGCAGCGGGAGGAGGAAAAGGATCTCCACGAGCTCTGAGTCTAGCGACGCGAAAGAAATAGGCGGGACCCAAAGAACGAATTCCTATGGTGTCAAGGAGGTGGAGCCCAGTTTTTGAATCTTTCTCGCGACCGGAGCCATCGAAAATGTCTTGTGGCCAAATCGAGCGAGTTGCTTGTCGGCGCCTACCCCGGTGACCGATAAACATGGGTAGATCGCCTTCGATGGCATCGCGAAGAGTACAATGGGTATTCCGTGACGATGCCATATGAGTGTCTTCAGTTTGTGACCCGAAATGGCAGGTGCCGGCCTGTACCGGCAATTTCAGCTAATCGGACGGACAGCCACAAAGTCGGCGTCACGTGCCGAGCAATGTCTCTCCCTGAAAGGCATGCCTTGTGTTTTATGTATCGCGCTGAGAGCGACGCCGTCAGCGAGCTCGGGCGGGAGCGAACTAGACACACTCAGTGCGCATGGACCAAGGTACCAAGGCTCCATTTGGCGAGGTTCCGCCCATGAGGAACCAAGTACCATTGAGCGGACGTTTACAAGGCTTTTGCGGGCCTTCGTGAGATTCGTACATCGTTACAAGCAACGGCCGGCGAACGAATGTTGGGAAGCGCTATCTTCGAGTACAGTCGCGTTGTACTTTGATGACAAGAGCGTGATGCAGCGAGGAATGCTGAGGCGCGGTTGAAGGCGACTGAATCCAAGGCAACATTATCGCTCTATTCGTGCTCCTTCATGGACGAGGCAAGGACTTGTATAGACATGGACCTATGCATCGTTTTCATCAGCACGCTTATCGGCTGCATACAGTATGGCTCACGCACCTGTCTAGGTCTTCCTCGATCGTTATACCGGCTTTGCCCCGCTCCAACCACTCGAGCCTTCCCGCTGGTCAGCATTCGGATGCCGAAGGATAATGGTGCGTATTTGGACCACGATGCACCCGATCTATAATTGCCGCAAATATACGCGTCGGCTTTGATTGGTGGGCGCGGGACGAATCCCCGAAAGGGTTAGCTATGCCTCCTCATTGCCAAGTTCGGTGAAGAGAGGCAGCTTGCCACCGCGTAGGTGGACGGCAAGCGACGTGAGACAGGAAAACCCCTTGCATCGGCGTTCATGAAGAGGTAGCCGAGGGGGGCGTAGCGTTCGACCGATTGTTCTAGGAGTTCAGCCAACAAAAGGATTCATCGCCGTGTGTGTGTGAACGTCCGAATATGATTCAGGCTTCGCAGAACTTGGACAATGGAGCGGACAATGGGATGATCGACGAGGGGAAGAGGAAAGAGTGAAAGTAGCTACATAGCCGAAGTTTGGCGCGTGCGGGTTATGGTTGGATATTTTTGTGGGCGCATATGAGCGCCCATTACCAACTTCGGTGCTGCAAGCCATTGTCCGTTCATTTTTTTCTGCCGTAGATTGACGAAGAACGGATGTATGCAAAGTGGTAGAGTATGGATACATGCAGAAATCAACTGTACAGTTGTTCAAATACAACATCTATGTGGCACAAGTACAAACTATCATGTTCAGCAGAACCCAGTAGTAAGCAGAAGATCGAATGTTATTGCTGCGTATTGATATGTCAGCGATGATGGCCTTTAACCATGAGGAAAGGACTTGCTGAGTAGTGTTGGGTAGATAGGGGCGAATTCGAAAGTGGATTAGGCGTGAGTTCGATATTCTGAGTTACGTAGGGGGATGCATCGTCACGAGCGAAGCTGGATCGTATGTGTGCCATCTCTGGTACGGGAACATGAGGTCCCATCTCCAGGTCCACGTACTTCGGGGGAGAGCCTCGGCCGTCGTAAGCGGGAAGCCCCTCTTTATCGTCCGACGTGAAACTTCCGCGCCGACCAGCTTCGTCAATATCTGCACCTCGAGCAGATCGGCGCCCATCACGTTGGGCGTGGCGAGAGGATGATGTGGATGCGGGAAACATGGGGGTGTTCGGGCACGAAACGGTGTAAGGGTCTCGGGGAGTGTGCGAGCGTCTACGCCTTGCTGACGAACGAGGGTCAGGGAAAAACTCGCTATATGGACGCTTTGCACGTTGAAGTTGAGATGTTCTGGCCGGACGGTGATCAATTATTCAGAACAATTTTAATAGTGAGATCTGCCCATACTCACCTCCACATGCATAGCGCTATGATGAGCATGACTGCGGCTACGCCGAATACGCCGTCGAGTACGTGCTGTTGATAAAATGCCCATTAGACATCACCCAGGCCATATATCCTATGTTGTATGAGTCTCGCCTTCGATACTGGGTTGATTCCCGGGTTGCGGGTGAGATCAGATGCTGCTGCTGACGGCGTCGAGGTAGTAGCCGCAGTGGTCGGTATAATAGTAGCTGACATGATGGCGGATCACAGAGACGTTATTGACGCGGACCCTTAGCCAAGGGCCAGGGTCAATGTTGCGCAGCCAGAGGACAAATCTCACAAGCGAGAATTTGGGATGATCATGGTCACTGGGGAGGAGAAGAGCTGACTTGCTCATCTCGGGCCGGTTCAGACCGAGTGGGCCAATATAAGTGGCTCACCGCGCCACCGTCGCACCAACTTGGTGTGAACGTTGACCAACGTCCGACATATGCAGCCTCTACATGCTCACAGCCCACCAGGGAAACTGAGGCTATCTATTGATGTCACTAAAGTTGGCTATCGTGTATCCTATCGAAGGAATAGTGGGGTCTGGGCACGGTACCGCACCACATTCGCATCCGCAATGCATCTTCCCAGACGACTTTGTTGCCTCTTGACGGACAGCGCTTTCCCTTGCCATATGCTTTTCTAGGTGCCTCGAGGCTTTGTCAAACTCAAATCTTCTTATTCTTGTCCTCGGTACCAGTAAAGGCATCACAGCTTCCCTCTCCTTTTGCTGCGAAACTGTTGGATCTTCTTGCCGTCAGCGGGCCGAGAGTTGAAGCGTCTTCTATGCGCATGGACGTCTGACCAGGACGTAACGCGCCGTGCAAATGGTAGCAAATGCCGACAGTCAGTTATCCTCTCATCAAAACTCGTAGTTACTGCTCAACACGCAAGCAACGTAGACCCGTGATGTACAGAATCGCACCAGGGTACGTCATCCCATTCAGTTCCTTTCGGTTTGACTGGAATGCCTACTGTCCTTTTCTGACAGGTAAATATGATTTGCGCCTCGATCACGTAGCCCGTGCACTCCTGCTATCATCTTGACCGTTATATGCAAGCCGAAGTTCGTCGGAACGCCGCAATGCTGGCAGGATCTGACGGATTGATCCATCCTCCCTCGAGTCAATCGACCTCTTGCGTCATGCTCTGCAAATCTGATCTGAGGATAGAGCACAGCCTTCTCGATGGCCAGGAACTGGTATCTCTAGATCATCTTCGCGAAGTCTTCAAGCTTTGAGATAACGCGTCTTGGGGCCCGTTTCACGTTCTGATGACCCTGGCGCTCGGTGTTAGGCTGGCAATTGCAGCGGTCAATTGACTGGATCGGACCCTGACACAAGAGCGTCAAAGAAATGGGCCGGACCATATTGCAATGGCTGTGATCTTGCCCCACGCAGGATGGAACATGTACGGACGTTCGCTAGTCTGCTTTCGTATAAATGGAAGCGAAGACTGGCACTTTCTCGTCGGGAAACCGAGGCCCACTTCCCTAGCCAACAGAACTGTCACAAAAATGTTGAAAGCATTCAAAGAGGTGGTCGAGGTGCTACCCATCAGCCGGTAAGTCTCGCATTGCTGGTTTTAATCTCCTCGCTTAACAGGTTGTCTCCCGCAGTTATCCCGTTACGCAACGATGGCAGCGGCCCAGGCTGGTAATAGGTATCTTGGCCGTGCTCTCGGTGAGTGACTAGCACGCTGATTCAGAGCCCATTGGACGCTGCTCACCACGTTTTCCCGACGATAGACTGTTGTTTATGCGGCATTGACAACATGGGTAATAGCATATTCCATACCTACTATCGTCAAGAGCTGACATTTCTCGACGCAGAATGTCTTGACCCAGGGTCGTGAACCCGTCTACACCACCACTCTACGGACGACGATGCCCAGCAAGGACTCGAATCTTAAGTGTCAAGTGCGTAACATTGAAGTGGTACGAATTTTCCCAGCACCTTGGAAGAAACACGCTGAGCCATCGAGCTAGGGTGACTTGGTTTACGCCTCGCCGGACGGAGGTTTCGCTTGGTCTGTTACCGGTATCGATACGGGCTTCGATGTTGGAGGTACGATGGCCCACTGTTCCTTTTGCGTCTCCTATTCTGAGCGACAACCAGCGATCGACGGAGGCATCAATTATGCCGGCGCAAAGATGGTAGCAAACGTCATCAACATGAACATCTTCTATTACTGGTCCATCCAGAGCTTCAAGTACGGTGTATGTGCCAACGCCACGATACCTCAACTCTCGGGGAGCGACACCGACTCGCAGGAGGTTGCCAAAGGACCAGACGGGAGGGAAATAACAAGCGTCATCACTATGTGCTCCAACTTTGATTTGGACATGTCGAACCCAGGAACCTGGGCGCCTCCCGCACAGACGGCTATCCAGAACGCTTTCTATGATCTAGCGGTATATTTCCAGACGTAAGTGGCCTGGTTGGTCGTCACAGATCGTGATCTCACCTGTGTCATAGTTTGAACTTCTCTAACAATACATTCCCCATCTGCTACTTCCCACCGTACTGCGACCCGGACACTCATTTACCACCCCCCTCGAACACTGCTGTTACACCGTAAGCCATCGCTACACATAATTCTTTAGCATCGATCAGCTTTCTGACTTGATGCTTTAGTACAAACTCGTACGATTTAACCGCATGGATGGCCGGTATTTCATACTCGCCGCTGACTATCGAGTCCAACTACACGACGACCGGTGGTATCGTGATGGGCGAACAACATATGGTGACAGTAGCCGCGGACAACACAACCACGTCCTTCCTGGATGCTTTCGAACGTACATACACAAACGGGAGTGGGCCGTCCGGGATGAATATCGGACTCACCGGTATCGGCGCTCTGCATCTGATGACGCAAGCGCAGAATCTCGCGAATAATTTTGTGGAACCCCCAGCCATCACTACGATACGTAGTGCAGCCCTTGGTGTCCTCAACGTCCTCGCTGTTTGTCACGCATATCGCTTTCCTTCCCTCGATCTTGCTTAACACTGCGTTAGGATGCCGCGATCAAAGATCTGAACGACCGCGTAATCGGATCGTCTTACATCTGCACCGCGACGAGCAGTACATGGCGTTCGGCTCCAAGCATGCTCGCCATGATCTTGGGCAACAATGCCTCACTTTTTGGGGTTTGGCTCGTCATCAGCGTGGCTGTCGCGAGTCGATGGGAGCAACACCATGTGCGCAACCGTAAGTTTTGATTTGGAGGGGGCGTTCCGCTTTACGGGTTTAACCGCGTTCACAGGAAGCGCAAAAGAGGAGGACTGTCCGGAGCCGGTAACCCCGGTATCACCGATCGGCCTTCGTAATAAATGTCAGTTTGCATGGATGTGCTTGCCTCGAGCAGCCTCATACAGACTAATCTCTCTTCGACGCCAGACTCGGAAACCCCTCAAAAATCGCTCGAAAAAGATGCAGAAGCCGCATTGGCGTTGCCCGTGCTTAACCTCGCTCCTGGACCTGACTCTCCGATCTCGCCTGAGAGTCCTTCATCCAACATTGCTTATCCGGAGGTATGTTCAAAACGTCATAGATAAGCATGTTGCTCAACCTTATTTCAGGGTCTGAGCCAGCATCTTCAAGTAAGACGCGAAGCGTCTGATGATACAATTCAGTCGTAACGAAAGGACACAGCTGCTCCACCGTACATCTTTTTTATTGCGAGTGTTGCGAGCTGCGCGATTGCATTCGAATCGCTCACAATCTGCGTTCCGGGAGTCAAGTGTCAAGACTGTATGAGGCTTGGATTCCTTCCAACCCTGGTGAAATCACCCTATGACCACAGAACCAAATCAGAACGTAGCATAGCGCTACTACTGTTTTGCGTATGAACATGTACTATATAACTGTGTGTGCCCTCATTTCTCAAAGGGCAATCAATGTATACGTGACTGAAAGATCGAATTCAAGCAATGTTCAGACAACTTTCCTTCACTACGTTCTCATCTCTTCGAGCTGGACTACCACCCAGGAGCCGGAGACCTCCGATGACCAAGCAGTCGTCCTGGTTGATCTAAACAACAAGGGATGCTGGAAGCCTAAGCAGGAACTACCTCAAGTGTCACTGGCCTCGAAGCTGCATGAGCCTTCGAGACCTTGTATCTCTTCCACTTTGTCAATACATCCATCCTGCAACTGAAGTCAGGTGTATCGCGTTTACCGGCCGTGATCTCCCCTACCCCAACCGGTCCTATCCACTCGCGATACACGACCTTGGGGTGTTCGGCTCCACGACGAGTGTCCCCTGGTCCCTCCGGAAATGTGGCTTCGGAAGCTTGGACAGACAAGGCGACAACGAACTCGGCATTGGCGGGCGTGACGCAGTGCAGCCGACGCGTGCTGGGCTCATACCCCCACGCGACAGTCGTTCGGACGGCGCCGCTCTGCGAGCGCGCTTGGCGGGCCGGTCATCGCTGCTAGGCTCCAGGGGATCGGTGGACGTCTGGACCCAGTATCCAAACAATTGACCGCGCACGTCGCGGCTCGTAAGAGCTGTTGACGCTCGCTCGTGTCTCTTGACGCCGTGGTCGAACTCGGGTCCCTCAGCCGTACTCTATACGCAGGGGTTCGCCCTCCCTTGAAAGCGGCGACGAAGACGTGGGTCGTGATGAGCAGGGGTGTCGTCGCGGACGGAAGAATGCGGTTCCCTAATCCTGGAAACGCAAGCGTCGGCCCCGCTCGCCAGTTATATTTTCGTCCTTCTGGATTATGGAATACCCTCGCAGGACGCGAAGCCGGGGGGCAGCGCGGGGGCCATCCAATGAGAGGGTGTCGTGCACCACGAGGGGAGTTCGCGGTCCCAAGAATGTAGCGAGATCGGGCCCTTGGCGTAATCTTCGTCTGGATCGTGGCGAATGTACGTGAGTATCGTGCTCCCGCCAAAAAGTCGAGGATCTGCTGTCCGGTGTACGTTGATGCGTCACCGAACGCGATGCGAGATGCGAAGTGGTTTTCCCCATCCCGTTGCTGGCTTCGGCTTGACCGCCTAGGTGGCGGATGATGTCAAACTTGAGCGCGGACTTGAACGGACGACGGTTGTCCTTGTTCGCCTGAACTTGAAAAGGCCGGAAGACGCGGTTGGATGTCTCTTTCGGGGAGCCCTCGACCTCCCGAGATGTCCATGTCTCCGCTCCCTCCCCTGCGTGCTTCGCACTCGCGTCCTCAAACGTCCAGGTAAGTTCTGGGGCGTCGTCGGCGACGTTCTTCGTGAACCACCATTCCCGCTCGACTACTTCGACCTGGTTCTTCAGCTGCGGGGTCGTACCCAGCGAGTAGTGTCGGAAGGGTTAATGGTCATTATTCTTGCGAGTCAAGTGCCAGCAGGTCGGTCGACGTCAAATTGGCAAAGCACGAAGAAGTGTTTGCGTGACGCGGGGAACGGTCCGGGAATCGGGATACAGGACATGATGAGCCGTCTACTCGCTTCCTGCACGCTCTTGGAGGTCTCGATGCAATCTTCCGGCCAATGCGCGAGCTAGCGATTCTGATCCATAATGTGAAATTATAAATAAGCGCCAACGGCGAGATGGCCGAGCGGTCTAAGGCGCCAGACTAAGGATCAGCGACACACAGCTGCATATCTTCCACATGACATGGAATCTGGTCCGAAAGGGCGTGGGTTCGAATCCCACTCTCGTCAAATGTTTTCGTACTCCCTCTGACGGGAGCATACCTGCGGAAGCTGTCGCCGCAGCCACGGTTGCGGAAGCGCCACAGGAGTAAGGTCTCATACTGTGCCTGCAAAGAGCAACATCTTTGGCGATTCGTTGTACCATGTGGTCAAACGTCTCTTGCGCGGAGCCATGCAGAGAGGGGAGCGGAGCCGTGGTGTAATATAGGCGTGAGGGGGCGAGGCGGGCGGTGGCGGTGTCACGACGCGCCTCGCAGGCAACAGAGCAGGATCCGGTAGTATAGCAAATTAGAATGTAGATACAGGCGTGCAATCGAGTCTTTTATATTCGAGACACCATAGATATCAGAGATAATCGTATCTCAGATATCAGGCGCCCGGGTGGTAGAGTTAAGCACGCAAGGTTTGACCATATGGCGCCCAACGGGCGCGTCATCATTGTGATTTCTCAGTCGCGGCGGAGCCGCGACCGTTCTAAGTTTATTCTACGGTTAAACTACGGAGTACTCCGTTACACCCTTCCCCTCCTGGAAAAGAAAAGAGAAATAGGGGAGGGCTATCTGATATACTAGCATCGTCGTACCAGCCGATGGACTCTGTACGACTCGGGACTCGCCGATGGACTCAAGCGCCCGTGCCACCCACTCCGTGATCGAGGTTCTCGCGATGATCGTGCATCCACTGTTCGGCGAAGGCGTGAATCGGGCCCTCGGCCATCTTACGGGAGACGCTGCAATGAGCCGCGTGTTTGAGGAACGCGTCGAAATCGAAATTCTCAGGGTGTTCGAGTGGGGCGGGCTGCCACATCGCGGAAATCGATCCGCCAAGGGCGGCGACTTTGCCGAAGTACTCCGCTGCGCGTTCCGAAAAGAACGCGCAGATCTGATGCATAGGCGTGTTGCGAACGCGGCGTTCGACTTTCTTGTTCGGAAGGCGCGCCGGCCCGACAATCTTCAGGATGAGCCATCCTTCGACTTGTTCCTTGTCGGCCTTGCCGTTGGCGAGGGTGATGCCATGCGGGCGCGTACGGTCCGTCTTCTCGAAATATGCGACCCATTCGTCGAGCGCGTCGAGCGCGGAGTTGGGCTCAGGGACGAATTTCCGGGCGTGCTTCTCGCGCCACCCCTTATCGAGATGGACGGCGTTCCCGAACCACTGGGGCGCCTTCCATTCGCTCGCGAATTCTTGCTGACGCTTGGTGGCATTGTCACCCAGTTCTTCGATCTTCTCAACGAAGTGTTTCATCAGGAATACCCCGTACCAATTTGCTTCCCTCTCGGCATCGCACGCGGCCTGACCGAGTCCCTCCAGGCTGGGTATGACGACGGTCTTCTTGATGGCCGCGATCTCGGCCTTCGACAGGTGTGCTTGTGGGTCCCCCACTGGGGCATACAGCTTGGCGGCGTACGGGTTGACGCCGTAACCCTCCCCCCTCCCCGGAGAAGTTCCCATCGGCAAAGGAAGCGGGGTGGGAACGCCGTCCGCGTCGGGGACCCACTGATACGACGTAGCCGACCCGGAGTAGGTCGCGCTTCTATCATCGGCCTGTGCACCGATGCCCAGGGCGCGCTCGAGTTGCTTGACACGCTGCTGCAAGCGTGAGACATCGCGGGCGATGTTCGGAAGACTGATCGTCGGCGCCGGGTATGGCGCGATACGCTGATTGTACGAGCGCATAGCGTAGTGTTGTAGCGTAGCTGGAGTACTCAATAGAATTCTAAGTCCTTGCAACGGCTGTAGTGGTTTCTGCAGGCGCGGGTGGGTGATATCGAACCCTTATACCGCCTGGTCCTATCGACCAGAAAATTTTTCCATCACCCTGGACAGGGGTGATACTTTGCGGCGTGACTATCGCACCTGGTGGTGCAGGCAACCCTACGATCGGCGTACGATTTCGAGGCAATTCTTGATAGGTAGTTACCCCCTGAGCCTCAAAATATCTGTCTATTGCGGCCAAATTTTCTACATTAACCCAGGGTTCCCAGGAGCTATCGCCGAAGGTCCAGCGTACTAAAAATAATATTTCATTCTCGTCCCATTCATGGGCGACGATCTCCTCGACCTCCCTTTCGAGCTCATCAGGTTGCCCGAAGTCGTAGAAGCTCGTGGCTTCGCGACCCGGGAACTTGGCGTCATCATTCGGCACGTGGGGCCGAAGCTTCGATATATGAAACCGCGGGTGTACCCTCCGCTGTCTCAAATCAGTTGGTAATTCGATCTCGTAAACACTCGATTCGTTGAATGCTTTAATTATTTTGAATGGCCCGATAAACCGGGGCGCCAGTTTGCGCGCGCGCTTGAGCGGGAGGCTCAGATTCGTCGTGCTGATGTATACAAGATCTCCAGGGGTGTAATTCACGTGGTCTCGCCTTTGTCGATTCGCGTGGTGTGCCTGGCGCACACGGGCACCAATAATGGCGTCATGCGCCCGTTCCAGGCAATCCCTTGCATTCGCCATGAATTCCCGTACTCCCGGCGCTGAGTGTTCTGCCGGTAGTACATCTAACATCCTTGGGATATACCCATAGTTCAATTCAAATGGGCTATATCCCGTAGTCTCAGATCGTGCTGCGTTCATCGCAAACTCAGTGAGCGCGAGCATATCGGCCCAGTCGGTCTGATCGGGCCGGACAAAGCTGCACAAGATCTGCGATACCGTGCGATTTGCGCGTTCCGTCACGCCGTCCGTTTGGGGATGGAAGGCTGTGGACATCAGCAGGCGTGTGCCCATCAGACGGTGAAGTTCCCGCCAAAATTTAGAATTAAACTTCGAATCTCGATCGGACACGATGCTATCAGGAACTCCGTGCAATTGCACAACCTCCTTGAGGAACAAGTATGCGAGTTCGCTCGCAGTCGTTTTAGTATTACAGGGTACGAGGTGTACCATTCCTGTCAGTCTGCATATTATTACCCACAGGTAATCGTGTCCACGGGACTTCGGGAATGGGCCCAGAAAGTCCATTGCTACCGAGCCCCAAGGCCGGCTCGGTATCGGTAGGCTGTGTAACAGTCCTTCCGGCTTCCGGTTCACGTCTTTTGCCGTCTGACAGAGATGGCATGACTTACAAAACAGGTCGACATCCGCGGCGATCTTTGGCCACCAATAGTAGCGACGCAAATACTCCGTGGTCTTATTAGCGCCGAGGTGACCGATCGCCCGGTGCGCTCCATCAATCACAAGCTCTCTCAGCGCACGCGCTCCGAGCTTTCCGGAGGGTACGCAGATTACCTCGTCTCCAAGGTGATTCTTGGTGTACACCGTCCCTTCCTGTAGCTCGAATTGCGGGTGCTCTTTAGGGGCCGCAATGACTTTAGAAAATAGCGAGTCTGTACCGTAGCTCTGTTTCACGGCGGCCAGATATTCTGCGTACTGGCCGAACGTCTGGGGACTGATCGGCCCTTGAGCTGCCGACGCGCCCACAGTGGGCACATCATCCGGCGGTGTCATTTCAAACTCTGCCGAGCCTGTAGGCGCGAGCATCTCGGCCTCGAGGTCCCGGCTCTCCATTGCCTCGGGTAGTCTCATGGCTGCCAAGCGTACTATTTCCTCGTTCCGCAATGCGGGAAGGTCGTCTCCGGCCGGGTCAATGCGCACGTCCGCGTTCACATACCGATAATCTGGGTGCGTCTCGCCAGGTCTATCGTACTTGTAGTATCTGGATAGCGCGTCCGCGACTAGGTTATACTCACCTTTGACATATGTAATGGAGTGATCAAATCTACTGATATACTCCGCCCATCGCCACTGGCGGTACGACATATCCTTTTGCGACTTGAAGAACTCGAGAGTTCGGTGATCAGTAACTATATTAATTTTTCGTCCCATAAGCTTGTCCTCCCACTTCAGTAGGGCTTCTAATATCGCGAGCGTCTCGTGCTCGTACGTAGCATAGCCTCGCTGTGCATTTGTGAACTTCTTAGACATAAATCCGGCCGGCCGGCACACTCGCCAGTCTCGGCCCTGACCGTAATAAGCACCGACTCCCGTCTTCGAAGCGTCACATACGACCCAGATCGGATCGGGATCACCAAAGTTGACTGGTTTCAGAATAGGTGCTCGGCACGCCAAGTCCTTGATTGCCCGGAAGCATTTTTCGTGTATGGGTCGCCAATGGAACGGTGTCCCTTCACTGCAGATGTCTGAAAGTGGGGCCATGTAGGTGGCCACGTTCGGCATAAACTGAGCTAAATATTGTACAAGTCCGAGGAATCGGGCTACTTCCGTGTAGCTTCGTGGCGTTCGCCACTCGCGTATCTGTTCCAGTTTGTCGGATTCCGCGTGTATCCCTTGAGCGTCTATGATATGCCCTAGGCACTCCATTCGGTCTGAATATAGATCGACCTTTTTCTTCGATAGATATAGCTGCGCCTTCCGGAGGGCGGCGAATACTAATTCAAGATGTTTCTCGTGCTCCTCTATAGTGTTAGAGTATATAAAAACGTCGTCTAAATAGACATGGACGAATATTCCGATGTAATCTCTAAAAATGTGTGTCATAAGTCTCTGGAATGTTGACGGGGCGTTACAGTCCCCTTGCTGCATCACATGGGATATCATTGTTCCCATAATCGTCGAGAAGGCGGTTTTCGGCTCATCACCCTTCTCGATCCGGACTTGTTCATACGCATCGCTCATATCTAGTTTAGATCGATATCGGGCTCTGGCGACGTCATTCCTAATACGGTCTTGGTCCGGCATCGGAGTGACGTCATGAACGGTATTGTCGTTCCGTTCTCGCAGGTCAAACACGGTGCGTAATTTCCCATCCTTTTTGGGTATACACAGCATCGGCAATGCGTTCTTGACAGGCTTCCATTCCCACCATCCGGCAGTCGTGTATTTCTGAATCTTATCCTGTAATAGGCGCTGGTACGCCTCCGCGCAGCGCGGGCGGTGTCCCTTGTATCTCTTACTAGGGTCTATTAGTGGTATACTATGATTAACTTCTCTATACGGAGGTTTCCTAAGGGGAATGTCCCCCGTAATATCCTGGATGTGTACGACCCAATGTTCTCGGAGACGGGGAATCGCGTCGTCCGCCATTGCTTCTTGGGCGCGTGATGGCGACCCTTCTTCCGGTTCCTGAGCGCTCGCTTCTCTGGGCGGCCCAGGGAACGGTATTCGCATTCCCCACGGAGTCTTCCGTTGGGCATCTTCAGCGGCGCGGTGCTGCTCGTAAGCTATTTCAAATTCTCGCTCAAATTTGATGTCCTTGATCTCTTCGTATTCAACTCTTCCACTTGCGAGTCGGCTTACAGTGGGCACATTATTTTCTCTTATGTCGGGTAGCTTCGTGTCAAGCGCGTGGGAGCGGACCGCTACCTTGGGCCATGGGCGCTGTCCTTCACGTGTTACTTTACTTCCGAAAGGAAGCGCGAGGCTTGGCGGGGTTGGGCCGAGCCCATTTGTCATTCCCACCGATCCGTCCCCCTTCAAGCTCCGCGGGGATGTCTAGGCCATCCGGAAGCCTGATGGTCCGCTTGTCGGGCATTATGGTGATTCCGTGTTTAGCACAGAACGGCAAGCCGACAACGGCGTCGTAGTGTGCTATGTTAGCTACGTCGAAGTACCACCTCGTGTTGATAGTCCCTAGGGCGGTCCTACAATGACCGCCGTGCGTAATCTTAGACTTGCTGCCTTTACAGCCCAGCTTAAGCGTAACGGGGTTTTCGAGCTCGAAGACGTCAAGATTGCATATCTGTGCAAATTCGGTACTAACGGCATCCGTATTGGATCCGAGGTCGAATAATGTCCAGGCCTTTACGCCGTTAATTTGGACATACGCGGCGAGTAGCTCTGTCCATTCTCTTGGGTACTTCGGCCTGTGTGCCCCGTCTTCCCTGTGTAATGCTGATCTGATGGCTTCACGAGCTTCGGGCGGCGGGGCCGGCCGCTTCCCTTTTGGGAACGGTAGCGCCTGACGCTCGGGTGAGTTGGTGAGCTCGTGCTCCTCGCCGTCTGCGAGTAGAGCCCCCATGTAAACAGTGTTCTCTTCATTATCAGAGTCCGTACTACTGTATTCGCTGTAAGCATGTGCTTCGTAAGATTCCCGGTACTCTTCAGAGTCGTCTGTCCGCTCCTGTTCGGGCAAATCTGGTTCCTTCTCCGCGGCTTCTTTCGAAGCGTCTGGGCCCTCTCCATCAGATCTGTCATCTACGATGTCCATTACGTGCATCCGCGCTGAGTCAGGATAGTGATCCATCGCGATGTGTCCCTTTTCAGAACATAGGCGACATACTAAGTCCGGGTACCGCGGGTTCGGCTTTGGCTTGAGAATAGTAGCGCTCTTGGGCCACGGTCTACCCCCAGTCGCCTTGACCTCTGGCTGTCTATTTCCGCGATCTTCCGTGTCTATGTTGCGAGAAATTTTACTTTCGTCTTTTCGAGGTAGCTCGGAGCGCTCCTTTGGGCGAGTCGGCCCCTCGTATCGCGTGGGTCTGTAGCGGTCTCGATCGCCGCCGCGGTATTTCCCGATCTGATCTCCCGATTCATACTTCGCCGTCGGCGCCTTGCTGCGCAGTCCTCCGCGTAAGTCTCGGATCGCCTTGAGGGACTTCCGTGCTAGCTCGTATTGTATTGCGTAGTCCCGCATTAATTCGATCCTAGTGACGCCGACTCGGACATCTTTTAGTCCAACTAAGTGATCAATGTAATCTTCAGGTAAGCTAGTAAGAAATCTCTCCGAGATATCGGTCTCCGTAGGCTGTTGTAGTAAACGGTCGGCAGCGTCCATCAATTCATCGTAGAATTGTTGTACCCCATCTTTAGGCTCGAATGACACATTTAAATATTTCTTACGAGCCTTTTCCGGTGTCCCGCCCCTAAAGTGATTAGGTGCGAGACGCGTAGAATGCATGCGGGAAACACGAATGTGGTCTATAGATAGCCACTCACAATTACTATAGAGTACAACTTGCGTGACTACAATCATAGTAGCCGATCCTTAGATATGCTAGTTTCTTTCCCAGTACTCAGAACTGACCCATATTAGTATTTAAATATTTTTGGTAGTGTAATAGTTTTGTTTATGTACACATTTGACTGTCTACTACCCTATCATGATCACATAGCATGGATTAGACGGTCAGAGTAGTCTCAATACGCCTCAGAAAAGGGGAAATATGTGGGCACTCAGACATGTTGCTATGGTATCACAGGGCTGTGTTGCAAGGCTGTGCTGATTAGTAAGCTTGCTGCGGATATTAGTAAGCATGCTGCGGCGCAGCAGGCGCTTAGTAAGCCTGTGATCTG